GATCTCTTGTAAGGATATGTTATCTGACTTGGCATCTGTGAGGAACTGCACGATATCTGCGCGATATGAGTTCGATGCCAGTCGTTTTTCGAGTCTCTCATCCGTTGTGGAAAAGTAGAGTCGTCGCATTCTGAATACTTCGCGGAGAATTGGCCTAAGAATGATTCTGGCCAGGGGAAAGTCTGCCAGTGCTTGAATTACGGCGGCACTGGGAACTATGATCAGTGAGGCGCGCGCAAAGGCCCGGTGCGTCGTATCATCCAGTAAGTTAAGTGGTTCTCCGAATTGAAGGTCATTGATCATATCGAAAAGGGCCAGGTTCAAGTACAAGTTTATGTCAACAGGCTTGGCTGTGTGATCAATCTCGGCATAAAGCTTCTTGATTAGCTTGTCGATATGCTGGATTATCAGAGGCTCCTGGGCAGCGAGTGCTTGCTTTGAGAAGGCTCGGGAATACAAACGTCGCAGTCTGGCATGATCTTGGTTATTGGCGGTGACCAAAGAATGGAAACCGTATTCCCCTGCCATAGCCCTGAAGAATACCATATTTCGGGGTATAGCGAGGGGCCAAGCTGCACTACTTGAGTAGATGTCCTTCCAGGCGCTTGCGGCGGTATAGCTGAGCTCATCGGGAGCCACGCGTACCACTGGGCCGTACTTTGCATGCAGCTTTTCCAATATATTGACTGATCTGCCAATCAGGACTAGAAAGAAGATGGGAAGGCGGCTAGAAGCCATGATACGAGGTCCAGGATAGTGCTTGAGAGGGTGGAAGAAGATATTGTAGATGACGCATAAGATGGAGTACTGTTGTTCTTGTTAGTGGATGACACAAGCAAATCGCTGAGAGGAACGAGAGTGCTCACAGGGACAAAAGCCCACGCAAAGGCTTTGAGAAGGAATGGGACAGATAGTTCGTCCATGACTATACCCATCTTGCTCGGTATTTGTTTAGAAAAGTTACTGAGGTTCAGAGATGAGGGGTATGTCTGAGGAAAAGGGTAGTCTGTAGTAGAAGGACCGGGTTAATGTTTTTATAGATACGAGTTACCGCTTGAGATTGGAACCGAGGAAAGCAAGAAAGCAGTCACTCATCATCATGTGGTGAGAATAAAATTCAGCATGGTCTCATGATCTCCACCGTATGTGGCAGTGGAGAACGGAAGATTTGAGAAAGATGAAAACAAAGTGAAGTGAGTCTGGAAACAGCAAGAATGACAAATTGTGTACTTGCTAAGTAAGCGATGAACTCGATATCATAATGATCACACTGAAATCCCGAGGTAATCGATCATAAGGTTCATGATATTTATGTGATAGCTTTTGGCCTGACACATATCCCATGGAGGGATAGAACAAGCACTCGGACTGACTTCCCCACATTGCTTACTGGTTATATGCCTACTGGAAGTTTAAGGATTAAGCATACGCAATGGTTATCACTTAGGTATGTTCAGGAGACATCATGCCTGTGACATGTGCTTGAAATTGCTGAATGTATGCATTGGCCATTCTTTCGATGTACACTTCGGCACTACTCGGATGCACCTCGCTGAGTTTGGCCATACGTAGATCCTGGTTACCAGGATACTTCCATGAAAAGTTCTTTGTTGTGTTGTATCTTGTAGAGTTTGAGATGAGCTCGAAGTTGGGATGCCATGAAAGTAAGCTTCCGCTTAACTGATATTCCGGGATCATCCCTGTGCTTATTAGAGTTGCTTGAGATTCCAGGTCACACATGTGGCACATGCACGTAGATCTAGCCAACAAAAACCAACAATCACTGTAGTATGGCATTGGCGAACACTTTATAGAGACTAATGCAGTGTGAGATGTGACATGCCACTCAGGGCATAGCGTGAGACCCCATCTCCCGCTGTCTCACAGCTTTCACATCTGTGGGCCGAAGCCGGTGTGCTCAAGCCACCGTGCTCGCATGTTCGATTTTCTTCTGTATATGTGTAAATTCATGAGTTTAAGTGCACGAAATGTCTTTATCAGCTTTATCTGTTCAGATGGATAGCATTCACCACGTGGACTTCATTGTGAATCACGACTCCCTGAACCAGGTAGCGATGGATGTCTATAAATACGAGACTTGTAAAGCCTAAGGACCAACCCATAATCATAACATTATTATTACACCCCTCCCTCAAAAACGCCTACTTCAGTACGCCCTAACAATGGGTCAAATCTTCTCCAGTGACCAAGCTCCTACCGAGGCTGCCACCAGCGACCAATCTAGGGAATTCTTTACTGTGGTATCGGCTTTTCTCAAAGAAGTCTTTCTCACTATCCCCGAAGTCCCAAGCAATGATCTTTTCGATGATGAAGTCTTTGACCGGTTCAAACATTGTGGACTGCCCTCAGAGGTCGTCTACAAGTATTCCAAAGGAGCGGCCTTTATGGCCCGATGCTTCTACCCACACCTAGACCGCGACACCCAGTTGTCCATCGGAGTGTGGACATCATACATCTTCTCAATTGACGATCTCTGTGAGGGGGCCGATTTCAGAGAACAGCTCAAGGAATACCGCGCATACTTGCTTGGAGCCAACCAGCCAAAGTGGGCCTACCTTCGTGGCCTATTCTCATCCTTGCAAGACCTCTGCGACCGCTATGACCCCTTCGTCGGAGACATGATCCTCAAGTCCTCACTGGATTACATCAGCGTGAACGTCTTCGAAGTGGAACAAAAGGGACGTCTTAATGTAGATTCCAACACCCGTCTGTTCCCCGAATTTCTGCGGCAGAAGAGCGGTATCGGAGAGGCCTATGCATTTGCCAATTTTCCCAAAGGTAGTCTCAACATCGCGTCTTACATTACCCTAATTCCGGATCTGGCGGCTGTTGTGCCACAGCTCAATGACGTGGTATCCTTTTATAAAGAGTCGATTATCGGTGATGAGCAGGATACCAACCTGATGCTTGTATCTGCAGTAGAGGGCTGCTCCGCTACTGAGGCGTTGAATATGACGGTTGACCGGTGCCTTGACAGTGTTCAGAGGATGCGTGCTGCCTGTTTGAAGAATGAGGGCCTTCGAAATGTGGTGAATGCTTTTGTGCAAGGTTTTGCTTTGTATCATTTGAAATGGTCGCGTTATCATATGGAGGACTTTGGGGATTATCGGGATTGGCTATCAGAAAGCCACTGAATTTGGCGGGTGTATGTAAAGTCGATGTACGAAGTTGGTTTTACTATACATGACTTGCGTTGAACTGGGGAGATCAAACCTGGGTATTTGGTGGCCATTTTTACTGAGAATATGCAGTATCTTGTATCAGTTTTTGTCACTTGGATAGATAGTTGGACTGTTTCAAGCTTCAGCTCATGTGTCTAGAGCAATAAAAAGACCGTATTGTGTTCCCCTAAAGCATAGGCGCGCCTCTTTAAGCTCGAGCTGCAAAGATAACACTATCTCTCGCCTCATCATTGTACTGGCTTGCACAGTCTACACTTGCGATAGAGAGATATGGTCCCTGGCCTCTTGCGTAAATAACCGCGTTTAGGAGTTAATTCCAGAACTGGCTATTCTGATTGATGCGATATAGCTTGTAGGAACTATGGCCTAGACATGTGCGGGATGGATTGAAAAGACCCGGGCGATGGCTGAAGATGTCGACTATAGAGTGGGGCAAACTTAACAATACATAATTGGCTCAGATAAGATGAGCCGGGCAACTGAACTTTGCCCTGATTAGAGACCTATAGATAGCTAGGCGTCACGCAAGAATGCTAAAGATGACGTGTCTGAGGGACCAACTAGTGTAAGTCAACTGCTCGCTTCTTATTCGACAGATCGGAATCCATCGACGCCCGGTCTCCATACAGGAGCTTCTGTCACTCTTCTAGAGCGAAACCTGGACTTCGGCGCAATTGCCAAGTTAAGTGTGTTGGTATAGACCGCATTACGGTCAAGGTCAGTCGATCATTCAGCGGGGCATTGAGGGGGTGAGGGGATTATTGTGGGTCAGGGCGTTGGATGTGTTGGAGGCATTGGCACAAGACACAAGACACCAGGGGGGTCTAGTGGATACTTGACAATTGGTGAGAAGTGAACCCATTGCCATGTCTGCAGTGCTAATTGATTGACACTTTCGCTGTTAATCACTCGGATTCAGTCTACATCAAGGATATGCAAGCTATAGTCTGTAGCGAGCCTACTATCAGCGGCAGATCAAAACCTATAGACAGTGAACAGAGTTTCAAGACAGATAAAGTATATAAACAGGATGCAAATCACTGTCAGCTTCCAAAGAGGGGTAACATGCCTTCTTCGGGAGTTCTTTGCAGCCGATACTAGACTAGAGGCTAGCTAAGTCGTGATCGCTTAGATAGCGACTTGAGGCAGATCCACAGATTAGTAGTTGGAGAGGTCTTCCAGTAAAATATTAGCTGCCTAACTGTACGGTCAACCCTCGAGGATTAGTTCGCTAAATGAAATAGGTTAGAAATATCTAGTATACTGTGAAATGTAATGGTCTAAAGACGCAAATTGTATATTGTTATATGGATCAAAGAATTTTGATAGAAAATCGTGATCAGGGCATGATGAGGTGTGAACACCCACCAAGTTGAGCACTTCACCTTAATGTCCAATATACTGGGTATGAAGTGAGGGTATCAATTGAGAGGCCTGCTTTCAATCTCTAAATACAAGTTCGTTACGTAGGATTCAATGTGTAGTTCAAAAAACCTGCTTTGACAGAGTCCGCCGGAGAAAGAGAAGCTATACCGAGCGTGAGTAGTATGCAGTCACCAATCAAGCATCTGGCATGGGGCTGCTTATCAACACTTAGCTATAGACTCCACCTCACGCCACAATTCACAATGTTTCGTGATGATTATTCCAGAAGACGAATAAAGTGTGCGTCCCTCCCACTTTGTCTCCTGCCATGAGCCCACTCATTCATGACTTTCGGCACTGCCACCTCAACTTCCCAGCTGTATATTCTAACTATTTTCTGAGTTTATCACAATCTCACGCGATAGCATAGTCATGCCTGGACGGGTTGAAGCAGAGCATTGCAGCCATGTCGGCGGTTCTCCAACATTAGCACCAGAAGGACACCCAGAGGTATCCGTGCCTCTCTCATTCCAGGACCCATTTACCCTCTGTCCCCGGGCGAGCACATTGCCAGGTTCCGGTGATGACATGCCCCCGTCGTCTGATACATCCCATTATATCTTGCCTCGACGCAATTCTGTGTCCGCGGAATCCTTCGTGCCCGGCCAGCAGAGCTTGCCAAGCACCAGCTTTGATATGACCGAGGAACAAGCCCATCGTCTCGTGCGCGCGGTGAAAGAAGTCTTTCTCTTCTCCGCCCTGGACAATGAGCAATATGCACAATTATTGAGAGCCTTTGTCGGAAAGGCCGTTCCTATCAAGGGCACCAATGTATGAATAACCACAGGCCCTCACCCCTAGCATGGAGCAACACAGCTCACGACACGCTAACCTACATTACCAGGTTATCACACAAGGCGACATAGGTGACAACTTCTACATCGTCGAGAAAGGCACCTTCGACATCTACATCACCCTCGCCTCCACCCCACAGCCAACCACCCCCAGCATCGGCACCAAACATGGATCCGCCCACCCCGGCGACTTCTTCGGCGAGCTCGCACTGCTATACAATGCCCCTCGCGCCGCAACCATCATCTCCACCGAGCCGGACTGTCACCTCTGGGCTCTCGACGGCGTATCCTTCCGTCGCATCATGGCGGAATCCGCATTCGCCCGTCGACGAGTGCACGCCTCTTTTCTAGAACGTGTCCCGCTCCTGGCCGGGCTGTCTGGGCGGCAGCGTTCAAGGATCGCAGAGGCGCTGCAGACTCGGCGGTATTGCGCTGGAGATACCATCATCCGACAGGGGGACCTGGGTAATGATTTCTTCCTTCTCGTGTCGGGAGAGGCTCGCGCCTATAAAGTGGGGTTCGTGGGGAGCGTGAAGACGTACACGTCGGGCGGGTGGTTTGGGGAGCGCGCTTTCCGGAAGAATGCGCCACGAGCTGCGAGTATCGTGGCTGTCACGGATGTGGTTGTCGCGGTGCTGGATCGGGATGCGTTTGCGCGGTTGCTGGGTCCGGTGGAGGAGATTATGGGGAACACGCAGTATGAGGGCGTTGTTGATGAGGAGGAGGTGGTGCGGATGGGGTGAGATACAAGGGGTCTGTTATGATTTACAGATCGATTTGTTATACTGAAAATTCATCAGTAGAGATATTAAACGACTAGCTGTTATCTGATGGTCAATCGTCAGAGAATATTCCCCCTCCATTTCATGACGAGACTAAAAAGATGACTAGAAGTCAAAAAGCATGCACGAGTTCCTCCGGTGCTTCAATGTGGCTTTGCTTGGCTCGTGGCAGTCAGATTTAGGCTCTGTAATTGGTGGGTTTCGCGGCGCTATATCTCGTATGCCACCCGCATGCCTTGATTGTCTAAATGTCTGATTTCATCAACATAAAGCGGGCATGAAGCTTTCGGCCAAGAATATACTTTAAATGTATAGGAAAGAGTCCATATCTTCTTCGAATAAGAGTGTGAATGTTGTTGAAAATACTTTTTTGATAGTCATTTTATTCTAAAGATGCTATGAATCCCGTCTAGTTGTACGCAGTCTTGCAGTCCAGTATTTAGATGTATTTAGACTTTAAGAGTTCCGATATGCTATGGACAAAGTAGTGATAGATGGGCCATCACTGTGCCGTATTATCCCGCCCATCGGTCTCAGAAACATGAAGACAGGGTCTTGCTCGTATTCGAGTACTGGTTGCAGATCGGCGGGTCGGTTAATCTGGTGAATTTTGGTAGTTTAACACCGTTGACCCAACATTGGCATTTAGAGAGAGAGAGAGATATGTCAAGTGACCTGTGTAAACTATCGCCTCATCCTTACACTACAGGGTTTCACTCGCTGTGACCAAGCAAATCAGACGACAAAACATGATCCTGGTGAGTAAAGAATTTATTGCTCCGGGGTTTCCCGAAAATTAGTGCGAGGGTGAAATAATACAGCTGCTTGACAGCTCGCATTGCTAGGGAATCCGTCTCCATACCCCGACAGCAAAAATTCCACCAGCACAATTGAGTGTTCTGCCTGGAGCCTGGAGAGTACTGCATTAAGCATTCAGTTCTTGTAGCGATACCTTTCCTTTAACACTGTTGCTAGGATCGGTACCGCATCCTTATTTATACGTTTCACGACGCCGTTGAGTAGATGAGTGCCGAGTGTGGGACAGATCTTATGGCAAGTACTTCTGGTCTGGGTTGCCTTAGTAAGGATCCATCCAGTTGCTTCCACAGAGCTGCGGTATCAAACCGGGGCTGGTCCACGTGCATGTCTAACGGGATCGGCGACTGTAACTCCCGGCCACCCCTAGCACACCGCCCTAGAATCACTGTACTACTCATTGCTAATCCACAGTGTTTGATAAAAAGAGTGGTTGCATGTAGAAACGCGTTGGTCGGTGTACTGGGTGGCCGGTGAGGCCGGGAGTTACATTAGTAGGTACTAAACAGAGCAGAGTATCTGACGAATGATCATTAACCTGTATTGGAATAACTCAGTCAAACAAAAGTGATCATACCCAAGAAAGAATACCTCTCTGGGAATTAGTTTGATGGCTCCGGGCGGCTAGGTAGCCACATGGTTACCATCCACTACACAAAAGTATTACTTCCACATTATCTTGTCTCGACCATCAGGGTCTTGGGAGGGCTACTACCCCGGCTGTATCAATATGACGTTAATCCATCAATCAATCAGCACTAGTCTACTACAGGCTAGCCGTACTTCTTGTATTGCTATACGCAGTGTCCGAGTAACGGCCTTCACTCCATATCGCTGCTGGCACATACACACAGCCAAGCCACCGCCACCACTAGCGGATGTCGTAATGTAGATCCTTAAACCGCACACCTCCAATCCCCTGTCGAGGCGGAGAATTAGTCGGATTGCCCCTCCCCCACTCCCTGCCCCCCTTAACTACAAAGACAACCGCTCGACTCCTCTTCCACCACAGTAGTGGTAATATAGTACGCCGTCTCTGCTTCTTATTATAAAGAATAGCCAGGCCACATTCCTGGGGTATATACATGGAGCACGCTCAGAGAAATCTAAGACCGAATAGTAACCCTGTACAGAACTTAACAATATTAATAATGAGAATAAGTAGTAAATCCCTAAAGACTCATACCATTCTAATCACGCTATTATTCTCTAGAATCAACCCAAAAATCAATCATGCCTTTTTGTTAGGATTTCTCTAAACCTGTCGTGTGTGTATAGTGTATACTTCAGGAAAATAGCCCAGCTATTCTTGATATCAAGTCCGTTATTGTACTACAAAACACGCAGAGATTAAACATCATTACTCAGAGAGGTAATGGATTGGAAGGAAAAGTCTAAGCGTGGATGGGGGGATCCGACTAAATCTGGCATGAAGACGCCACGATGCAGCTAGTCTCCAGTGATTCTGGATCCTTCGCCTGGGGTCCTCTCTGAGGACTATCCTCACTGCCCCGCCCCCGTCGATTGACTATACATGTGACACTTTGAAGAGCCTCATCCCCCACTGGCCGTTGCTGTGTGATAAGGTTACGATGGTACTTTGGATCACCATGACTGTAGGAGCAGCTTCCCAACCCATACCTAAACCCCGTGACATGACATGCTCAACTACTACTTACTGTAGTCTGAGGACTCTTTAGGACTAGTGCGATACAACCAACTATCACGGTACACTTTTCCGACGAAAGGCCTGAATAGTACTAGTAGGTTCTTTAAGGTTCAGCATGTACGTTGACCCAGGCACTCAGTCAGACAGACGGGGTGGGAAGAGAAGAAGGAAGGGAGGACTGGCATTCGGTCGGAAGGCAGAGATCCCTGCGAGTACTCCGTGCCACTGGTACTGTGCGTGCTCGGTGTCATTTGTTTCTTACCGAGTCGATACATTTCATTTCTTTCTCTCTATTCCTTTTTGTTTCCTCTTTTCCCCCTCTTGCCTCTCAGCATTTCGCCTGTCAGATGAATCCGTCACTGCAAGGCACCAGGCCTAAAGTGGACTAGTGGTAAAGTCTATATCTCTAACCCTGGAAGAGCAGTGGTGCTGGACAAGCAGGTTTCTTCACCGAGCGACTCATTCAGTTTCTTTCGTCTCTGTGTGTTTTCAGGCCACGTTGGGCTGCAGCCTGGATGCGGGCGCCTGTAATGAAGAGGTGTAATCATCATACCGGACATGTATGATCGTATGGTAACCGAATCCGGTCGAATGCGAAGATAATGGGATGCTTGATCTGGAATAAAATAAAATAGAACATATTAAAGATGAAGAGAAAAGAGATAGTAAAAAAATCAGAAACAATGCTCAATAAACTCTTCGGTTCTGCTGCCAAGAAAAGAACTACGTCATCTTCACATTTTGACAGTCCTCACTTGCAGCTTTTATGCTACCTGGCTTAGAATCTAGACTTTTACCAGATGGCTGACCGGTTAGCTCGAATGCACTACTGAGGAATCACACTTGAAGCGCACAGAACTGGGTTCTGACTTCCACTAGTATGTGCCAGACAAATGGGCTGATTACCGCTTTCGCTACTCCGTACACTTTACAAAGATCCCCTTGCGGCCGATGCCCCGAGAGTGGATCATACTTAGCTCGGGTAGCCCAGTGATCCGCGGAACCGCACCCCAGAAGATGTGCGGAAATTAAATTGGTTGGTGGGGCAGTGCCCTCGGACAGTAGGTTAAAATAATGTCGCAGCTTAGCATCCGGAATTCTAGGTGCAAATATTGCCAAACCAGACAGCTATAAGCTCGTTGATCGGTATAGAGGGTTTTTTTTATGAGGACTCTAGATACGCTAGGTGGTATTTTCCACTACTATATCTATTCACCTTCAGTATTATGGCTGGAGATACCGCACCCTGTCTACAGTTTTCGCAACGGTATCAACCGAGGTAAAGGCAATCTTATCGTTTAAGCCTTCCAGATAGGGGATCAAGCATAGCCACAGACAGCTCTTGGGAAGCCTTCAAGGATCGGTTACCTAACCGAAATTCGACCATCAGATGCATGGCTGACTCGCTTGGCTGTCCAATCGAGACCCTAGGTAAGGTATTATAGATAACATGGTCGCTGACTTCTGTGTATCCCTCAACGGACGGGAGTGTAACGCTTGCATCTCGCCAGAAAACTGTTTTTGTTTCCCCTTTTATTAAATCCTTTCCTGTTCGGGGTTTCCTTCTTTTCTTATTTTCGTGCTTCCATTTTTCCCCTCTCATGGATTTATTGTGAATTTGCAAATGTGGAAATAGACTTTGGGCTCCGGACGTCTGGACGGGAACCCCTACCGTGGACCGCTTAGAGACCTGCCGTAAACTCTGGTTACCCAATGGTTTAAATTACGCTGCAGTAGGAGTTTTCCGATTTCATTTTGATTCACTCATTCGAATATTTATTTTTCTACATCCTCTCCATCCGGTTATTCCCCCCTTTCATTCCTTTTAATCATGATCACCGCTATGATTTCTGGCCTGTAATTCCTATTTAAACCCCCGCCTTACCCCAAATGAAAGCAACCAGTCGAGGTACCTTCAACATGTGTCTGCCTTCCTTTATATAGTTCTTTTCCCTCTCGCCGTTGAGGTTCTGCGTGGCTGTGGCCGTGATGCCTGTAGTGGCTGTCTATAGTATGCGCCAGGGGAATACCACTCTCGAATGATATTTGTCACGTTGACAAGCCACAAACCGAAGATTAAGTTCTCGTCTTGCTGGGATCTGTGTCCAAGTCCCGCCTCTCTGGACTTCGTCAGTCTTTTCCATCATGCGTTACACATGAGAACATGGCTTACCTGAGGGCACGATACTATGCTACCTGCTACGGGGATCATGTGTCTTCCTAATGAGTCAATCGGGCCTCCATTTGCTACTCTCGACGCAGGCACACGAAGAGAGCAGCCATTTTCTGCTGCAGCTCCCGTGTAACCCCTGCCATGATTGACGGCTCTGATAGGCTGACTATCATTCTGAGAAACTTAATGTTGCCTCCAACACGTATAAAGAGGGAAAACAAAATTACTTACGTCTAGAAGTAGGTATTGACAGGCCGAATCTGGGATTCAGAGACCTGTGACTGACAATTACTGAGGAGTACTCTGCTTCAGGCACCCACCCTCCGCCTGTGTGACACCGGGTCTATCATGACCCAGAATATCCACATAGGCTTTCATGCATCCTGGCCAATCTTGAGGCTTGAAGCGTCCCGTGTCTGAATGCCCTGATCATTCTCATTATATAATTCTTTCTATATTCAGAGCCCCATGAGGACACATGACATCTGCAGTATGTATGCCCGGTCGGCTCTCTTGCCCCTCTTCTTATATAAACCGTGACGATTCCCGACTCTTTCGCTCAGTCACCCACAATTCACAATTTGGTATCCTGCTAAAATTCCACACGCGATCTATTCTTTCCGTGATATCTTTCCACGCGAGCTATCATTTTCATGATATCTCTACACCCAAGTTACCATGGCCTTTGCTGGAATATCTGTAGGAAGGACAAGGGGCTCCTTGAAGTTTGTCAAAAGAAGCGAGGACTACCAGGGAGGCGCACTGTACCAGTACTACCTTCCATACACTCCTCCTGCCGGGCTCCCTCCCTCCAATTTTGAGTTCGTCTCGCAGGAAGTATTCATCGAAGATATTAGAGGAAAGGAAGCCGAATTTTCGATAGAAAGACAAGGGTTCTGCCTATATCCCTTCAGCACTCAAATGCCGTATGCAGAATACGATGACACGAAGAAAATTCGTGATATACTCTATCCTGAGGTCAAGGAAGTATTGCAGAGACTTACAGGAGCGTCAATGGTTGATATCTTGTCACATGTGGTAATTTAGCGCCATCTCCTACTTAATAAAGGCTATCATATGTCTGACACCCCCAAGGTCCGCGGAAAACATGCAGGTGGTAGAAAGCCGTCCGAAAAAGTACACATCGGTAAGAACACTTATTTAACCAGAATGCCAAGTGCTTAATTCTGACCTTTGCCTCCCAGACGTGGCGGAGAGCTGGCGTGCAAATCTGTTTGAAAGCTACTGTAGAAAGTCCGATGCGAACATTGCGCCATCGCAGAAATATGAGTTCTATAAGTACATGATCCATTTACATGCCGTTCTTGTCACACCCGGCTGATGATATACTATCCCATCGGTAGCTTTTGGGTGCCGTTACTTCCGGTGAAGAATTATCCACTAGCCTTTTGCGAACCGAGCACGGTGAAGTCAGATGATATACTTGCTGTGATATATCACAGCAATATTGTGGTCGGTCAGAACTGCTTTCTACAGTATCACCAGTCTCAAAGATGGTATTTTAAAAGCAACCAACAACCGTCCGAGGCTTGGATTTTCTATCAGGGGGGTAACAGATTCGAGAACAAACCAGGTATGCCAGCACCATTACCTTATTCAATAGCTGTCCCTAACCTGTGACGCTTTCGACAAAGGTGTCCCACATGGCTCGTTCCGCTCGCATGCAGGTGAGAATATGCGCAGTGATCTACGACAGAGTATTGAATTCAAAGCCATGGTCATGTTTTGAAACATCTTTTGAGCGACTATGAAAGTGAGGGAACTTGGCACTTTGGATAATGCAGGAGTTTATTGGACATTACGTCTTGTGTTTCTACACGGTGCAACTGAAAAGAATGATTTTTTGATGGACTAAACGAAGGATAGATAAGGTAGAATGCAAATACCATTTTCAATCATCAATGCGATCGGATCTTCACAAATGTAAAGTTAGACCTCATTTTCAAGGAGGAACAATCCTTGTTCCAAGTAGCTAGAGAAAGCCGGACCTGATTTCAATGGCGATTCCGCGGGTGGCCGACACGCGTAGCACTGGAACATATCCTCTTCAAAAAGGAGCAACGAGTTCAAAGTATGGAAAACACGATAGGATTAATTCCAATGTCTGCACTGGCATTCAGCTCCTCCTCTGATGAAAGTTTAGCCATAAGTTCGCGACCCGAGGGCGTCAGTGTTATTCCACATCCTCGTTCTATCAACGTATATATCTCCTCATGGAACTCTCGCTTCTGGCGCCGCAGCTCTTCATCTCCATCTTCACCTGTCTCTTCGGAATTCAGATGGTCAAAGCAATCCTCGTCCGGTATCACGCAACAACTTTCAGCATGCATGTTTTCCTCATACACCCTATTGGGCTCTCGTTTCTGGAGCCGCAGCCCTTCGGCTTCGCTTGTATCTGGTTCAGGGGTATTCGACTCGTCTTCCGATGGCTGGGGCAGCTGGTCGTCGGGCTTGGTTGCTTCCTTTGCTGGCGTTGTCGTTTCGTCTGCGTCTTCGTCCGCTTCTTTGTCCGTCTTGTTGTCATCGTTGGGGCCTGGAGACGGGTCGTTGTTGGACCCAGTTGCTTCCTTTGCTTCGGGCCTCGGCTCGTCTCCTTCTTTGTCCGTTTTGTTGTCGTTGTTGGAGCTTGGAGACGAGTTGGTGGAAGAAACGTCAAGAGGAGGAGAGGAACCTAACTGATGTGCCTGCTTCTCAGCTTCAGCGGGATCGTTTGCTGTAGTATGCAGACTGTCTTTCATAAGCTGGCATAGCTTCTCTTTAACTTCCCTTGGGTCGTTGGTCGATTGCTCATGCTGATGCTCATGGTTCTTGATGAAGTCCATTGTTTTTGCTGGGAGGGAGGGAGGCTGATCTTGGTGAGATGGGAGGCAGATCTGTGAGATGGGAGGCAGATCTGTGAGATGGTCTCTTTGTAGGGAGATGAGAAACTGAAAGTAGAACCAGGTAGGTCTGAGATACCGCTAATTCTGTATCTCCAACCCAATGTCTGGATAATAAGGGGGTATTTATATCTGATGAACGACTTCATCTGCTCCTGTTCAACCGGACTGTATCCGAGCGCGCGAAGGCATCTTCCTTGTTATCGGCCATATGGACGATGTCACAAGCACTTCGAATAGCTTAACTCCTCTACTAGAGAGTGATGCTATGGGAATATCAACGCAGAGGTGAATCTGGCCGTCAAAATGAGAGTGTTGGTGTTGGTTGACCAGGGAAGAGCCCAGCAAAATGCTTCGGTCGGGGTTGGAACAAAAGCAGCAGCAGCAATAATGTTAAGAATACGGTATATACAGTTGGGTTGCACCTGAAGCAAACGAAAATCATAACATAGTCTAGATCTGAATCTTATGCTACTGCCAGTCTCTCAGCGGAAAAGCGGTATACTCCGTACGACTGTAGTCGTTTGCTCCCGCGAGTCGTGTTTGGAACGGTGCTCAAAGCCATTGCAGAATTAGTTGGACTCGTGGGCACATCTATCTCAGAGATAGAACTTGACGGCCAATTCAATGAGACCGTCACAGTAAGGCATCTTCTTTCTTTCTATGGCTATGCAGATATGACTATGGATGCTCTGGACTGTCTGGTTCTAGGTTATGTCCATAAATACTCTTCTTGACCGATACAGAAGCCGTCGAAACATTCCTACAATATTAGATGCAGTTGTGTTGCACCCGGAGCAAACGAAGCACGAGACATGCTCATCATGTGATCGTCAGACTGGTCTTGCGAGAGATTGGGTATTCTTCATGTTCATTCAGCCATTTACTAGTGTGTACGCGCAGCAACTCGCGTTCGGCATGGCATCCAATCGTCCCAACTACAGTGAGCGCAGCTGGGTCTGCTACTGCTCGTCTCCTATGCTATCACTGGCTGATTAGCGTCTTCCTTCTATGCCCCGCGCTCTATTGACCTGACTTCCTTCCTGACTTCTTTGCATCGCTCGCCACTAGTTTGGCACATCTTTAATCACGGACAACGCTAATCGGCATCATAGAGCTGGAACAGCGAACAGGAAAAGGCAACAGACACTTCCAACGTCGAGAAAGCTTCCAACAAGACGAAGCACTTCAAACGCGGGCAGACGTCGACGGAAATGACAGCACAGTGCATATCGACATCGTTACTTCAAGATCCAAGGAACCAAGCAGCGTCGTGATCGGGAGCATGTCCACTTAGAGTACCTAGTCTCGTCGCAAGAAACAAGTGCGGAGGATTTTATGGGAAGTAGACCATCCTACACTTGGGGATTTGAGAGCACTGGTGAATACATTCGGCAATATCGAGGAAGGGAGAATCGCTGCCGAAGGCATTGTTGGCACCGGTTCCATAACGGGTATCTAAGAAAGGTCAGTGGACATCGTGGGAGGAGTGGAAAATGCTTAACAAGTATATAGGGAATATTCATACATCGATCACAGTGTAGATCTCATCTTTTGTTCAGTTCTCGTAGCTAAAGACGATTTCAGCATTTCGAGGACCTGATGGAGGGGAAGATTGCCAGCATACCAAGGTATATTCCCGTCTTGGATATTTCAGATGAGGGTGGTCACTCACAAACAGCATCATTTGGACTAGTGTCCTGAACCACAATCACAATCACAATCACCGTCTTCCCCTCCCTCGTTGTCGCCTCCATCTTCTTCTTCAACACCATGGGAGGAGACCTAACAGACCTCCAATTCCCCTTTAAGTTTCTCACATCTTCCTCCGCAAATCACCAACCTTATCCGCCGACTCCCCCACCAACTCGAGCTCCTCCTTACAATTAACGGGATCCAAGGGTAAAACCCTGCGATATGACGTCCACAGTGATATGTGACAAATAGTCTCTCCTCTAGTTAGGCTTCTTGTGCATTCTTGGAGGGACTGTCATGATGTACTCGGACTGTTTCGGCGGAAATGAAACTGACGGGGAGGGCGAGGAGGTATGTGCCGAACTTATAATCAATCCATGTCCGGTTTATCTGTCTTATATGATTACTCGTCTGTAAATAGAAACATCCAATTCAATTCAGGACAATCACATCATCATCAATCATAAGCCATGTATATCCAACTCATCAACAAAACCAATATCTCTAAATACGGCATATATGGTATGCCTACAACCCAACCCAATACCTCGTTCTCTCCACCCCAAATTCCCCCCTCAACTCTCCCTCACCAGTTCCTGTGACAGACAACCCATATGTGCCCTTCTCCGACGCCCATTTACCGCGCTGCTCGTCCCACCAGCTCGTCGCCAGTTTCTTCTCCACCACAATCTCCACCTGTTTCTCCTCCCCAGGCTGGAGGAACACCTTTGTGAACCCCTTCAGTTCGCGGACGGGGCGGTTCACCTCCGTTTTCGGGGGAAGGACCCACAGCTGTACGATCTCTGCGCCGGCTACGGTACCTGTGTTCTTTACTTGGACTGTGGCAGTGATGGGTTCGCCGTCGGTGAGGGTGCCCTTCTCCGGGGAGGTAGTAATCTTCAGATCACTCCGGGAGAAAGTGGTGTAGGATAAACCGTGACCGAAAGGGAAGAGTGGCTTCACGTTCGTCTTTTCGTAGTACCTGTATCCGACGTAGACATCTTCACCGTAGAGGACACGGCCCCGCTCGGAGCGGAAGTTAAGATAACTAGGGTTATCCTGTAAGCGGACGGGGAAAGTCACGGGGAGTTTAGCGGACGGGTTGACGTCTCCAAAGAGGACGTCTGCGATGCCGTTGCCGCATTCGTTGCCGCCGAACCAGGCGTGGACGAGGGCTTTAGCTTTGTGGACCCATGGCATGGTGACAGGGGTACCGGACTGGAGACACACGACTGTGTTATCGGGATTAGCGTCGAGGACACGGGAAATCATCTCGTCAGTCCCAGGAGGCAGATCCATGTGTTCGCGGTCGTAGCCTTCGGTTTCCCATTCACTGGTGAGGCCGGCAAAGATGATTACTTGGGAGGCTTGGCTGGCTTGGGAGACGGCGTTGGAGATCAGCTCTTCTTGGCTGACTTGACGGGCAGCGCCGAAGCGGAATCCGCCGGGCCCGAAGACGACGATGCCTCGGGTGTCGAGGTCGGAGGTGGGGGCGCTGCCGAATTCGAGGACTACTTTGTAGGTTTGGCCTGCGTTGAGGTGTTTGGAGCCGCGCTCTTCGACGGTGGCGTTGCCGAAGAAGGCGGTGCCCTGGCGTTGGTTCTTTGTGTTGTCGACGACGGTTTCGTTGTCGATGAGGAGACGGCCCGTGCCGACTACGGTGACGCCGAAGTCGTAGACGCCGGATTCGGTGGGGGTGAAGTAGCCTTCCATGTCGACGAAGAAGGTGAAAGAGTGGATCTTGGGGTTGATGTAGTCCATGAGGAAGCCGCTGGAGCGGAGAAGATGCAGTTCGTCGACAAGGGTGCGGTTCTCGTGGGAGGGTGGTTCGTTGTAGACGCGGAACGTGAATCCGGGTTTGCCATCCTGGGTTTTGAGCAGGGGACCGAGGAGAGGGAGTTCTTTGTGGGAGTAGACGCCTTGGGAGAATTGAACTTCGGAGGTGGCTTTGGCGGTGACGCCTTCAAAGGGCGAGACGGTGTAGTAGGGGTCTAGGGAGGCAGAGCCGCCGCCACAGTAGGCGGCGATTTGAGCATTGGGTCCGATGACAAGGATGGGTTTGTCTTTGCGGAGGGGAAGAATATTATCTTCGTTCTTCATGAGCACGACGGACTCAGCGGCGGCGCGGCGGAGAAGATCCCGGTCTTGGGGCCGGTTGAGGGCTTTTTCCGGGGCGTGCTCGGGGATGCCTAGAGGCTCGACCCAGTTGACGAGGTTGAGGATATTGCGGACGCGGTCGTCCAAAACGAACTCGGCTACCTTGTTGGAGGATACGGCGTGAGCCAGGGCAGAGCCACGCCAGCGTGTCTTGCCCGGCATTTCGAGGTCCAGACCAGCATTGATGGCGTCGGAAGTGGTGTAGGTTCCGAACCTAGAATATTTCGTCAATACATGTATAGCACCATTTTGCGGTACAAATCTTACCAATCACTCATAACCAGACCATCCCAATTCCACTCCTTGCGGAGGATATCAGTGATAAGCTCCTTATTCTCACTGACATGCGTGCCATTGACCTTATTATAGGCCGTCATAACACAAGCAGTAGGACATATCCTCATCGCCAACTGAAAAGGCAACAGGTATATTTCGCGCAAGGCACGCATGGTGACGATGCTGCTCACCGCCAAACGCTCATGCTCCTGATCATTGCACACAAAGTGCTTAAGCGTGGCAGCGACGCCCTTCTCCTGCAACCCCTTGCAGTAATTCCCGGCCAGAATTCCGGAAAGCACGCCATCCTCTGCGAAAGACTCGAAGCCTCGACCGCCGAGCGGAGAGCGCTGGATGTTGATGGTGGGACCCAGAACGATATGCGAGCCCTTAGCGATGGACTCGTCACCCATGAGCTGGCCCACCTCGTGCAGCAAATGGGCGTCCCAGGTTGCTCCGAGGGCGGTGGCACAGGGGAAACAGGCGGCCGGGATTCCGTTGAAGAAGCGGGTGCCTCGCACGCCATTGGGACCATCGGACATGCGCAGAGCGGGGATGTTGAGTCGGGGGATTGAGGCAGTGTGCCAAAAGTCCACGCCTGTTCAATAGTTAGTTATGCTTTCTGTTTTTTTGTATTTGGTGTTGGGCGTTACTTTCCAGCCGTGAGAGCTACCTTTTCGCCCAGTGTGAGCTCTTCAATGGTCTTTTCCACGTCCAGACGTGCCATAGTGACGGTGACGGGAGGGGGGACGATTTATTGCAAACTTAAAATACAATGGAGTAGCATTCGGGTCAATGCAGGCTACGATGATGAGTAGCAGTACTTAAGAGACAATTGCTGGTTAAGGAACGGGAAAAGGGAGGGAAGTATAAATTGATCACGGACCACACGGACTGACTCGAGTCGAGGACTACTGAAACAAATGGTTGGAGCGGGGCAGAAGGAGGAGTTCATATATCCGGAACCCACGGTGCCTGGCACCCCGCCTGAATCATCCGTGCATAAGGTGACTACCGAGTGGGATGGAATGCATCATGGATCAACATCATGAATGGGCGGATCGACGGCAGGAGCTGCCGAAGGAGCAGCCACGAAATGTCCCGAAGATTACCCGACCGGTTTGGTCGGAGTGTCGGCCCGCTTGCCCTGTCGCCAGTTGGCCTGATGGTCTTGCAGATGCACAGGGTATCCTGGCAGCCACCATCACTACTTGCAGATGCAGATGCAGATGCAGGGTCTAAGAGTTCACCACGTCGGACATTGTCCTACCCAAAAAGGTGAAACATCCCACCGGAGTCCATTGTCCTACCCAAAAAGGTAAAACATCCCACCGGAGTCCCTTGTCCCCACGGCTACTACTCATGCAGGCAGACTACGGACCGGAACCTAACTTTCGTAACGGGCAGCCAGCTGACTGACTGCGAGTAGGTAGCTGCTATGCGTCCGGGTATCCAATCAAGAACACAAATGGGGAAATGGAAGAGAAAAATTGTATGGTACAGGCCATGCGTGCACATAGATCAGAGAGTCCCAGGTAAACAGACGGAACGCAGAAAAACACCGTCCAACAATGCTAGTAATAGAGTCGTGTAGTAGGTCAAAAGGAAATGGTAGATTCAATGAGAGACAAAAAAAAAAAAAAAAAAAAAGAGCAACATGCAACCACGCATCATTCCGCCGGTATCAAGATCCCTAAATTCTCTTATTCCTCACGCGCCACGTCGGGGCCGTTTAGACTCGCTTCCCATCCGCATTCCTCCCCGTCCGCCGCCATCTCCATGTCCTCCTTCGTCCCCAGGTCGATTACGCTTGCGGTGAGGCCCACTAGGCGCCCCCTCGCGATGGTAATCCCGTTCACGCGGACGATCCCGATTACGGTCACGCTCACGATCGCGCAGCCCGCGCCCACCTCCCCATCGTCGGTCATCCTCACCAGCAGCAAGCGGGGGCGGCGGAGGTGGTGGAGGACCCTGTCCGCCAAGAGAAGACGGAGGTCGGAGACGGCCTTCATGCTCCTGACTGCTTGGGGCAATGTCCGAGCCCTCCTCCCGGTCACGTCGACGCCGGTTGTCTTCACGTGCGCCAGGCCCACGTCGAGACGCCTCGCGAGACTCATACCGTTCTTCCCGAGGCCCTCCCGGGGCACCACCCGCGTCGCTTCGGCGACTCCGTTCACGCTCGTAATCCCGGTTTCGATCTCGATGCTCTTCCCGTCGACTGCTACTGCGTGAGCCCTCTTCATCACCACCACGCCGTTCCCGATCTCGCTCCCGCTCCCGTTCACGCTCAGGGTATGTGCCCGAAGAGAACCGCTGGCTTCGCCGGCTTTCCGCGCTGGACTCCTCCGCAGGCTCTCCTCGGCTGCCTCCTGGTCGGCTACGTGGATGACCGTCCTCTTCCCCGTAGGGAGCGCCAGAAGACCGGCCGGCCATGAGATCAGGGCGACCTTGAGACGCCGGGCCACCGCGACCACCCTCCTCCTGCGCAACGGGCGTCGGAGGCCGAGCCGATTGCGGTGATGGGGCATTCATGGCGCCCGATTGTCGATTGGCACCCCGTCCTCGAATCGTAGGACCAGGGCCACGGTCCGGCAGCCCACCGGATTGCTGGAGCATGTTGTTGATACCAGCAAAACGCTTGTCTCCCCGGCCGCGTTCACCGCCAAACCCAGGACCTGAAGGCGGGCCACGTGGCATAGCTGCGGGCCCAGAGGGTGGTCCCAGTCCACTGCGTGGACCAGATGGGGGGACAATCGATGCAGGAGATGACGCATGATGCGGGCGTTGACCGCCCCCATATGTGTTTTCCTGGGGTTGCTGTTGCAGGACCTTCAGTCTATCCGGGTGGATTCCGCTAGTGTCGAGTTTCTCTGGGCCCGGTGACGAGGGCCCTGTTGGGGCAGGCTGATCCGGTGCGTTTCGTAGCCCCTGCCGACCAGGGCCAGTAGGAGGTTGGCGTTCAGTCGGAGCCATCGCACCAGCCGCAGGCTGTCCTTGAGAATGTTGTGACCCGGGGGCATTGCGGCCACCACGCCCAGCATTGTTTCTTCCTCGCGGGCCAGACGGAACATCCGTAGGCGGCTCCGGTTGACGCAGTCGTCCATGATTCATGTCAACGCCGGTCACTGTATCTCGACTGTCAGCGCCATCCATGGAAGGACGCCCATATCGCTCACTTCGTGGCCCTGTGGGCATATCCTCGTTGCGCGCATGAGGGTGGGCAAAGTTCGCACCCCGGCGATCATCAGCTGGGAACCGTTCTGGACGCCCCAGTGGTTCCATCCTCGGAGGAGACAATGCTCGTTGTTGCAAATTCCGTCGGTCGTCCCGATCTTGTCGTCCGGTTTCGCCACGCCGAAAGCCTTCTGGATGGTCGTCTATCATACCAGCGCGATCAGGGTGCGTAGGAGGAACAGATCGTACATTTGGTGGTCCCTCCCGAGCATCCGGCCGTAGACGGCCTGACCGATCCGGCCAGTCCGCATCACGCGCTGGGCGCCCATCCCGGTGAGGAAATCCACGGAATGGTTCGTCCATAGGTTGCCTTGGGTAATCTCTGTCAACACGGGGGTAGGGCCTCCCATCACCCATGGCCGGATCGAATGGCCGAGAATAGTCGTGGTCTCCACCGAAGCGACCACCACGAGGATAGTCCTGATGTCTGTCACGGCGATCCTCTAAGAGATCAGGCCGAGGAGGCAACTTGTCTTCACGGTTGAATCGGTGTGGGCCCTGCGCTTGTGCTCGGGCGTTCTGTGTACCGGATGGTGCTCGCTCCGGTTCAGGGCGCTTCGGTACATTTGCCGGTCTACCAGAGTCTGAAATCTTTGATGCAGCCTGCGATGCAGCGGGCGATGCTGGCGCCTGGGGTCGAGCAGGCAAGTCTGCCTCTAGATGAGCTCCACGAGCAGAAGCGACATCCTTCTCGTTTGAATTTTGCTCGCGATTAGCGGATGCTTGTGTTTCGGTACCTTGAGCCGCAGTTGCAGGCGAATCACGTTGGGACGTTGACGAAACCTTTGTTTCAGTCGGCTTTTGAGCTGTTCGATCAGCCAGCGGGACATCAGCCATCTTGGCATCCTCGATCTCTCCATCTTCAACCTCAGCCTTCGTGGCGCCCAACTCGGGCTTCGCCTCGCCTTGCAACCTGTAGTTGCGTAAAATATCAGCATTCATGATCAACACAGTACAATGATCTGGGTTCTATCTGAGGACTTACCCGTTGGTGGATGTAGGCTTGAACTCGACAGCAGTAGCATTCAAGGGGGTGGGTGTAGTAGACGAGGGACGTGGTGTGGTTGGTTTCGCTGCTGCACCTGGTCTGCCAGGCACTGGCGGGCTGGCACTCATAAACGCTTGAGGGAGCAACCATTTCTTTTCACGCCGGTTAAGATCGCCGATTAGAGAAGCGGCCGGGATCTTGACATCATCTCGTTCGTCGTTCTGACTCAAGCTATTCATGCTAGTCAACATGTCCCGGCCTATCCAGTTCACTGCAGGGAAATTCTGCACAACAGCCTTCAACACACTGATAGCGTTACGAATGTGCATGTATTCGCCACCGTTCAAGCACGTCTTCAGAGCGGAGGAGAATAGGCGGTGCCACTTGTACAGAAGCCGACGGAAATCTTCGTACTCCAGATAAATGGCTGGCTTTCCATCCGAGTCAACATTCTTGGCGAATCCAGGAAGGTCTTTCTTGGTACCAAACGCTTCCTTCTCGTAAACAGCCTTGTCGGCGTGCCAACGGCCGAGGTCGCGTAAGACCTCATTCAAAAATCGACCCAAGTTATCGGCCTCTCTTGATGTGCACTGGAATATCAACGCGGTAAGTCTTTGCTCCCTGAATAGCTGATCCAGGAGGCCGACGGTTCGGAAGTTCGGCGTTCCAGTTGTGTGCAAGAATTTGAGCATCTTGAAGCAGTAGAATGCATCGATAGGAGACAACAAGAGACGCGGTAGGAAACATTGCTCCAGAAGGGCAACATTCAACGAATCGTGCTTCCCACGCATACCTGCAAACCAGCGATCTTTCTCCTTCTGTAGTTTGGTCCTTGTTTGGCCGTAGGCCTTCAAATGGGCCTTGTTCTCTTCCAATATCCGGTCTTGGAGTTGCGTGATCTGCTTTTTCTCTCGCTCTTTTCTTTGCGTTCCTGCCATGCTGATGTCGGACCGATCGTTGCTGATGGCCATAACCTTCCTCTTTTGCCGATCAATTTCGTCTTCATACGATTTCTGAGGTATATGTACGTCGTACAAAGACAGCTGCCAGAATGTCACGTAGAACTGTAAGCCAACAACGCCCCACGTTTCGGGACTCAGGACAGCCTTGACTTGGTCTTGGAGGTCTTGCATGACGGGATTCAGAGCAGGCACCTCGGTAGTGACAGAACCAGCCGGTACTGTAGCAGCGTTGCTGTCGGTGTTGTTCGCGGTCTCTGCCTTTTCGGTATCGACATCCATGGCATTCTCCGACGGCTGTTCACCTTCAGTCACGTTTGCCTCCCCATCTTCCGTCGTTTCCATCTCGTCAGCCTCGGGCTTGGATGGGGATGTCTCTTCGCTCTCGCGGCTGGATACCAATGCCACCGGAGTCTTTGCGGACTCTTCATCCTGCATTGTCTTTTCTATATCTGCAACCTTTTTTGCAACACTCGGACGCCGAATCCAAAACGCCACTTCGGGCTGAATGCCGAAATCGCTAATGAGAGAAGCCAAATCGGGGACGAATGAATCGAATTCCTCGACCGACAAGTTGCTGCGAAGCAGATCCAGGTACTGAACCAGAATACGGTGAATCTCATCAAAGATGTTTCCTAGGAGCTTGAGCTCGGAAGCGCCTTCCGTTTCTCTGAAAACGCAGATTAATCGTTCTTGAGCAATGGCAATGAGCAATTGTCCGGCAAGCTTTGAAACAGTGAGAGACTTCATAAGTCGTCTGGAGGTAGTCTTTGACTCGTGTCGCTTATCTAGCAACTGCAAGATTGTCTGAGATTGTAGGATTTCGCCACCCGCCATGGCCTGAATTTGTGCATCGTTGAAATTGTTGTCGGTGATGATTCCCGCCATAGAACTGATCATCTGCTCAAGGATGATCAAATCTGTCGAGTTGTTCTGGCGAAGCTGCTCCACAACGTATTGTAAGACCGGAGTGGGATCCATCACCGAATACCTCTTGAAAGTCCGTCCTGCAAATGTCGCCAAGGCGTTCAACCAACGACTAGTCAACAAGCCACCTTCTTGAACGCGGCTTCGTCCCTTCTGGCCGAGCGAGCTAATCATGACCCATGTCAGGATATCATACCCAAGATATGTGAAGTAGCGCGCACACTCCACAACGACTTCGATAAGATTCTCATAAGACTCAATCTGGTTGATGGCCACACTGATGACGATGCCCGGATTGGCGTAGGCAATCTTGGCCAAGGCACGAGCCATAGGTCGAATATTCGTTTTGCTGAGCCTCTTAAGAACATCCTTCGTTTCTGCTTTCGCCTGATCAAACGCCGACTTGATGTCGGGAAGTCTAGAAGTTTGGCCAGAAGTCCACTCGGCATACATATTGTACCGTACCTCCCTAGGGAAGAAACTGATGAGGTCGAATATCTCATTTACCACACCGGGATTTGCCTTGGTAAGACTGATCGACGGGACCAGGAGTCTTTTGCAAAGATCCTGCCAACGAGCTCGATTCTCTGGCGAATGATCCTTGCTCATGCTATCCTTTCCGATCCTTGCGACTTTGGTTAGCAAGCCTGGGTCCTGGCCGATTTTGTGACCCGATAGATTAAGGAAGGATGAACACAGTGCGAAGACGTCGTCAACAGTCTGGCATATGGGAACATTATCCGCCCAATCATCCCAGTAAAACCTGTAGTCGGTTCCATCGTTTGTATCTTCTTTGTCGAGTTGAGCCCACCGGAGAACTCGGCGCGGTGGCGCCTGTGCCAGTCGAATTTGCCCCTTCGGCACACCGGACTGATCATGGTTGAGTATCTGCTTCTGCTCTTTAAGCACTTCTACCGAGGGTAATGGGCGTAATGAAGAATAGACCTTGCCAAGACAGTGGTGCAGAATGCGGTGGATGAATTCAGGGAGTTCGGGGTAGACATCCATAAGCCAGGGGAATTTGCTCAGGATGAAAAGAGACTCGGGGAGGGCACCAATTGCAAGAAGGCTCTTTAGAAGCATCACTTTCTGGTCAGAAGGCTCAGGAAGCTCGTCCTCCTCCGTCTTCGCGCCTGTGGATTTGTCCGTTTCCTGGTCTTTTCCAGGAGTCGCAGATCGGGTTTCGGATTCGCGGATGCGTGGAATAGGTAGGGTGTCGTCGGATAAAGCACCAGCCATCATCAAGGCATTGATGCCACCTCCGGGCCGTGCTGCCCGCTCACGATCGGCCTTCTCCTTGAGCTTCTCCTCCTTGAGCGCATCCATTGAATCATCCGGTCTCCAGAGGTGCGGATACAGATCACGTAGTGAAATGAAACCGACTTTAATCAGTAGAGCCGCAAGGTAGATGAGGTTATCCGGAAGGACATCGGATTTAGCGCGAGCGCGGGAGGAATAGAAACGAAGCTTGAAACCAAGCAACTGTGCTGCTACTCGACTTCCCTTGGGCGGTAGTGTGCCGGTTTCCTCAATCCATTTCCGCATCTCCTTTTCCTCCTCCGAAAGACTGTTGCTTTCCGGAAGAATCCGCTGTAGCTCTTCCTTGGACACAGGCCGGCGGCCAATTTCAAAGAAAGCACGAATTCCGATTTCTCTGACTCGGTTCCAAAATTCGTGATCTCGTTGCTCGTTCGCTTTCATTGCTTCAAGTCGTTCCTCATCGGTAGTTACCCATCCGGAAGATCCAGGTAAGGCCCAGTTGGGAAGGCCAGAATCACGGTTACCTGCATCGACTGTGCGGAAGGCATCCTCTTTCGGCCACCAGGAGCTAGCCCGCAGGAGCTTCACAAAGAAGCGGTACTGCTTAACAAGAACAGCAGCAAATACGTCGAGAGTAACATCAAGAACACGGCCGACATCCATATCAAACGCACCAATCATCGCCTTCACCCTCTCGAAAGTGTCTTCGACAACTTCGCTGGAGGGGGGCTCATTATTACTCGTCGTGAACAGCTCCGTAAGCAGTTTGGAGTACCCTTCAGACTCTTCCCGCAGAAGGTTGTAATTCGATTGCCGATAAAGAAGGTTCGTCTGCTTGCGGATGCCCATGCGGGTGAATGTTTCGCGGACAAGTCCCAGGGACTGAAGGAGTTGAGTGTCGAGTTGGAGGCGCATAAGAGCGGAGTTAATCCCCGTAGAGAACACGAGCGGTCTCAGGGCACTATTAGAAGTGTCGGAATCGGTGAGGATTGATAGAGTGTCCAGGAACAAGGAGCGAGTGTCGAGGAGGGCTTGCGCTTGTCCTTCATTCTGCATATCAACATCCTCTGCAGCAACCTCTTCGCCAATGATGTCCCTGACTGCAGCTCCAGCTTCCTCCGGCGATAGACGACCGTATAGGGCGGACCGTATGAGTTCCTGGTATATCGAAGCGAGTGCGGCGGCATCCTGCGCATCTCTCACTTGGATACCCCTCTCCACGAGATGCTTCTTTCCAGTCGTGGCCCACTCGTCGATGGCGTTTTGTGTAACATACTCGTAGTCGTACGGTGGGGGAGGGCCGGGAGGAGGCTGGGGAGCCGATGCCTGAGCTTGCGGGGCAGGTGCCGGCATGGGAGTAGGCGCGGGCGATGGATTGATGTGTGTTTGTGGTTGAGAAGAGGAGGGAGAGGGTGATGGAGGGGGCTTTTGGTGATCTGTTGTCGGAGGGACGCCGTTTGCCTGGCTTTGATCTGAGACGTCTTTCGCCGGAGTTGTGCTGGGCGGGGACATGGCATTATCCCTCCGACCACCAGGAGGGTTCTGACCGTCGGTGCTGGGCCTGCGACCCATGCTATTCCTTCCACCCCGACTGGATTGCCTTCGTAATCGACCGCGCGCGTCAGAGTAATCGCGAGACTGCGGACCGTAGTTATGTTGCGCCATGTTGAGATTGCCCGGTCGATGGGGCGATGGTCGTTGACCGTCGTTCCCTGAATCGCCAGACCACGATCTATCACCTCTCTTTCTCTTTCCTCCGGCACCTGGAGCCATGACAGCCCGATTGGAGCTAGAGTGCGCGGATAGAGAACCGATGTGTTCCCGACAGGTCGCAATTCATGCGGCGAACCTAGATTTCCGAGGTCAGCTTCCTTCACGTGGGACCACAGAGCCGCAATCGGTCGGATCAATCGATGAAACGCGGTTTAGGGGACTATTAGAAACAACCTGCTGTGGAAAACTCATACGGCGGAAGGAGGGAAAGGATGATGCCTGGGGAAGACACAAAGATCGCTGGTCGGATCAAAGAACGTAATGGCAGTGAATGCACGGGTAGCAGTAAAGGCGGCGGCGTCTACGGGCGGGTGTCGCGCCTCAGTCGCTTAGTCTCGAGAAGCTCCGCGCTAGGCTTTTTCGGTGTTACCCGCCTGAGGCATTTGCCTTTAATCACAGAACTCATCGTGACTATTTGCTATTTCCTACAAACAATATTATCACTTCGTTTCGGGGTAGGTTATATTCCTTGCAAGTGGTGATGAACACCTTACAAGACTCATATTTCATTTTAAAGATTATCATGTCATTCATCATATCAATGCGTCGTAGTTGACTACATAAATTTCCGAGCTCCCTCACAGCAAGCCCAAAGCCTTGGCTTCAATGTCAACAATCTCAGGAATAAGCTCCTTCAGACTGGGGCGGTGGGGGTTCCAACCCAACAGCTTTCTGCCACGGTAGGAAGTACCGCGAGAGCTGCTACCCCAGGCATACAGGCCAAATTGGTTGGTCTCAGTAACCTGTTCGTCGGTCAAGGGCTCAACCTCGGGGGACGGGATAAGCTTCTTCTCATAAGCAACCTGGGCCACCTGCTTCTGAATGTCACCCCAGCAGAAAGGACCGTTCTCTGCCAGGTAGTAACCCTTGTCGTTCCAAGTGGCCTTGCCACCGCCCGCAGCAGCAGCCTCACTCAGCAGAAGGTAAAGATCACTCAGATCCTGCACGTGGATTTGGTGCCAGATGTTCTTACCCTCACCGACCTGCAGACCCTTCTTGCGCTTCAGAACAGCAGAAGCCAGCCAGTATGCCTGCACACTCTTCTGGTTGCAGGGTCCACGGCCCGGTCCGTAGATGGTAGGCGGGCAGACGATGGCAATCTTCACACTGTCGGGAGCACGCTTGCCAGCATTGATGACGATCTCATCGACATTGCGGTGGAAGGAATCAGCAGGAAGGTTGAGGAGCTCGTCGACACCATCCCAGTCATCATGTTGCTTGGCACGTTCCAGACCCCAAGTGTTGCTACGGAAGTCCTCCACAGTCAAGATACCGGTTCCAGAAGTGTGGATCCACCACACTGGTCGGTCAGGGGTGTGGTGAGTGGCACCCTTTGCAATTGCTTCGGCGGCAGCGACATGATCGCAGTCGGCACAGTCTAACCATGGCCCGTGAGTTATACATTCAAGTTACAGAGAGAGCACGTGAGCAGGGACTCGGGAACGTACGGAGTACGATGTCTGCGTTCTTGACCTCCTCCTCGATGATATCGGCCGAGTCAAGGTCACCAAGCACAATCCTTACGTTGGGGTACTTGCTGGTAACTTGGGCAGCCTTGTCCTTGTTGCGCACCAAGACGGAGTACTGCCAGTCCGGATGAGCCTGGTAGACGTCGTAAAAGGTGTCTCCGCCGATGTATCCAGTTACACCTGTGCTGCAATATACGGGCAGCGGCCGTCAACGAGTGTACTAACATCTTTGAAGAAAGCGGAGACCTACAGGAAAACCTTTTGGGGAGCCATCTTGCCGTAGTAATCGTAAGAAGGTTGGGAAAGGATGGATAATGAATCGCTGGGGAAAGAGTGCTACTAGAAGTGGGGGAGGGGAGCTCGACTTTTATAGCTTTGATCAAAACAAAAGAGCGACCAACTGCCACTTCCAGCTTAAGCTCCGCCATGCTTTGAAATCAAGAGTGGGCAAAATGGATCCTCTCTGGTGCAAGAATCAATCAGAAGTTGCAGACCTGGGCAAAAGTGGGGGTGGGGGTACCAGAAGTAGCTATCCCCATCAATTGCGGGCTTCGTTGTGCTTCCAGTCTTAACTGGAATTGATGGCTCGGAGCATATTTTTGGTTCCACAGAATGAGCTTTCGGCATGAACCCTTAAATTGACAAGAGTCAAATCCTTTTGACAGTATACTACTATCACATTGATCCTGATAAAGGGTTAGGTGCTCTGGGGATGGACAAATGAGTACCTTAGTTACCCCTCATGACGTACGTGGGCGGGGCTGAAGCCCAACGAATTCAACAACTGGCCAGTTCTCGGTCAACTACAAGTAGACCGGCACCTCGCTGGTACATTGCTTCGGTCGCAAATGAGAAGGCCACAATTACCACTTGAAGAACCGGGGTGACAATATGGAAGTATAACCGAGAGGCTACAGTTTTTGTATAAAGTAGACGTACATATACTCTTCTTGAACGGAGACAAAGTTCAAGGGAATGGTACAGCAGAAAAGATAAAGCAGAGTGGCTGGATTGCAAAACTCAAAGGTGGCTTATTTCAATAGAAAACCGGCATCAAAGGGGAATCTTGCACAGAATCATGCCTATAATCTACAGTCGCTTAGAAAGTGCTCGTGGCCAGGCGACTAGCCGCGTTACGAGCGTCAAGGCGATCATCGTCGTCTTCCTCCACAATCGAGCTCACACCACTGGCAGAGCGCAGGCGCCCTTTACCGGTGCCGTGTCCGTTGACTTCTTCGTCGTCTTCACTTGGGGTGGGTGCAACGAAACTGCCACTGAGACTCCGGCCAAGGCTGTCGCTGCGACGCGGTATGCCGCTCCAAGCATCCCCTTTGGGGCCTTGGCTTGAACCAAGATTAGGTCGGCGAGCGGTTGGGTGGGATTCACGTCCTAGACGGCTGAGTCCTCCCGAAGCGTCAATGGCTCGAATATCAGGTCGCACACTCTCCAAGGTAGCGAGGGTCCTCCGTTCGGATTCAATCTGGCGCAGCGTATACTCGCGGAGGCTGGCCAGCATGTCGTTAGTCGTCCGGTCAAACCAACGTTGCTTCTCGGCGAGTAAGTTCGATGTAACCCGCTGTGTTCGCTTCGTCAGGTAGTCCTCGTGGCCCTGAGCCTCATCCAGGGCATTGATGGCCTCGTCCACCTTGTCCGGGCGGACGGAGGAACTGACTTTGAGGCGATCAGCGGCGGCGCGTTTGCTCCGTGTTGCCTGTTGAGCTTGGATCAAATCACGAAGGAGGATGTGGCGATTTGTAAGAGTCTCCTTGACAATAAAGGCATCGGACGAGTGGTAGCTTAGCGGATCCCCCAGTGTTGTGGCCTCCGCAGTCGCCTGGACGGCATGGAAATCCCCGACCGTTTGGATGATCTTTCCCAATTTCCGGTATGCATTTGACAGTCCAGGGTGCGTCTCCTGCACGTGCATCTGGCCTAGCTTAACACCAAAGTCGGATTCTGCGAGACCGAGTCCTGGATAGCCCAATGTTAGTTCCCATGATCATGAGATACGAATCCCTGGCGCATACCTCGACGGGCTTTGACGACACGGTCAACCTTGTGACTAGTATCCATTGTTCCAAGATAGAACATCTTCACAATCGGACGCGCATTTTGTAATTCGGGTGTGTCATCGGGGGGTGGCGCAAACTGCTTCAAGACCTTCCTTCGAACCCCAGTCGCAGGTTGTTTCATCCGAACTACGGGACTGTAACCGAAATCACTCTCAACGAACAGGACCACCTCGTCGTCATGGATGAGAACTTCATTGCTCAATACAACATTCAACCACCGTTGCAAAGACGACTTGACTCTGATTTCATCCTCTTCGGTTCCAGCGCCGGCAGGGGTAAGTGGTGGGGGGACCGCAGGAACCAACGCTTCCGGGTTAGCCGAAATCAGATGGTCCGCAAGCTTGACAAACTCGGCATGGGTACGACGAACGTCTCGATACTGTGTTGTCCTAAACTTGGGGATATTCGTCTGGAGCCTGTAATCAGTAGGCGCAGGGCGAGGCAAGGAAAGGGTATCGCTCACGTGAACATCAAATCGAAGAATAGGGTCCTTCTTGCCCGTTCTCTCTAGCCCCGTGACTTTCGCCTGGATTCTATACACAGGTGCGGGTTGTCTGGGATTCTGTCTTGGGCCCGTTTGGTAGCGGGCGGGGAGCTGAGAACGAGGCTGTTGTCCATGCTGCTGCTGAGTGTGTTGCGAGTGCTCATCAACATAGCCCGGCTCACCCAGTTGTGCACCCTGCAGTCGCGCAGACAAGTCGGGCGATCCAATCTCGTTCTCCTGGAACCCAGGAGTCTCGGTAGGCTGCGATTCGGCATTGTAGGGATCTTGGGGAGGCAAGGGGGCAGGGGGGATGTCGCTAGTCACGGAAGCCGGAAAGGTTGTTTGAGTCGGGCGAGGTGAAGCCCATGGAGAAGTACCCGCAGGATGGTCAGGATCGTTTGATATGGCGGAGTAGTCCATCGTGGCTGTCTTGGTCTAATGGGACCACGTCTACACCGCGCTGCGGGTGCGCAATCATCAGTATTGTCTCGTCCGGGACGGTTATCATTGTGGATCAATTGGTGTTCACCTAATAGTGCTCAAAAACAATTGAGGAGAGTAAGATGCCGAAAACTTTCAATAATTCGGGCTTGACTAAAGGAGAGGCAGATGCAAGCGTTGAGATGGGGGAGGGGAAACTGTTCAACTGAGCGGAACGGGATGAACTTCGGAGGTTACGTCGTTGGTGCCTATGCAGCCTGATTGGCCAGGCATCTGCGGCCCCGGTCACTGGACCGGAAAAGCTTCAACAGCTTCATCCATACTCCCAGTTACTCCGCATACATACTACCTTTCGAAGGGCTGGGCCTTTCTCTTTTCTACAATTGTTATCCTCCTCTTTGGTCTTCTTGAGGATGTATGTCAAGCCCTAGGCCCCATATTACGCCAATTCATTGTCTCCCATTACATAGACAGTTGCCGTCCCCATGGTTACAGCTCTTTTCTTGCGCGCCTCTCACCAGACGGTGCGGCCAACTGGCCTCCGGCAATGCCAGGCAGCTGCCAGCCGTCTGGGGTGTAATGCATCCTTGATTCCAGGGGCCAAGAAAGGGCAATTTCCTAAGATCCAGATGCTCTCAACGTCTGCATCCAAATTGCAGGCAGACACCCTTGACCGAACTAGAAATATAGGTATCATCGCACATATTGATGCCGGTAAAACAACGACCACTGAGCGCATGCTCTACTACAGTGGCTTTACCCGAAGAATTGGAGATGTGGACGAAGGGTCCACCGTCACAGACTTTCTCCCTGCGGAACGCGCTCGCGGGATCACAATTCAATCTGCCGCCATCACCTTCCATTGGCCACCTCAAGCGGCAGGTGATCAAACTACAACCCTTCAAGATAATCCGCAGACCCCAAGGTCTGCCACTTCCCATACAGTAAATCTCATCGACACTCCTGGGCATGCCGACTTTACCTTTGAGGTTATGCGTTCTTTGCGCATCCTAGACGGGGCGGTGTGTATTCTGGACGGCGTCGCTGGCGTCGAAGCTCAAACGGAGCGAGTATGGCACCAAGCGAGCACATATCGTATTCCCAGGATTGTCTACATTAACAAGCTGGACAGAGACGGTGCAGCTTTTGGGCGTACGGTAAGAGAGATAAGCTCCCGACTTGCGGGCCACCCCGCTGTCTGCCAGATCCCATGGTTCGAGGGCGGAAATGGTCGCTTTGTTGGAGTTGGCGATGCGATCAACTTGCAGGGTCTCCGCTGGCAAGATGGTGACGGTAAAGCGGTCAAAATGTTCAACCTCCAGGAGCTGGACGGCGAGGAACCGGAGCTTGCACAGGAGATCAGACGCGCAAGGACAGCACTTGTCGAGCTGCTTAGCGAGCATGATGAGACTATGATTGAGAAGTTCTTTGAGCATGACGAAGACCATCTCGCAGTGCCTCCCAACGACATTCTAGACAGCTTGCGCCGGTGCCTCTTGCAAGAACAGGGTAGGAAGATTATCCCCATCTTCGCAGGCGCTAGCTTCCGCAACATCGGTGTCCAGCCTCTCCTTGACGCCGTGACGAACCTTCTTCCTAGTCCCCTCGAAACCCCTGACCCAGAGGTGAGCATCGGCGGCGTCAGCGGAGGTCTTCGGAGCCTCCTCTCCGGTGATCTATTGGTTGAACAGAGCGAAAAAGCAGCCACCTCCAAAGGGAAGCAAAAAAAGAAGAAGTCTGTCACCCAAGCTGAATCACAAAATGCTATCGAGAAGCTTCAGAGCTGTGCGCTTGCTTTCAAGGTAGTCAACGATGCCAAGCGGGGAGTCTTGGTTTATGTGCGCGTGTACTCAGGTTCTCTGGACCGAAACAGTGCTATATTCAACACCAATCTCAAGATCACTGAACGTGCACCACGCTTACTGAAGATGTACGCCAATGATGCTGTCGAGGTGGATTCCATCCCTGAGGGACACATTGGCGTCGTGGCCGGCCTGAAGCATGCTCGAACTGGAGATACACTAGTCTCATATGCGGGCAACAAATTAACACCACCAGAACCACTTGACACCCTCCAACTACGTCCTATACAGGTGCCGCCCCCCGTTTTCTTCGCCAGTATCGAGCCGCACAGCCTAAGCGAGGAGAAGAAGATCCATGAATGCCTGGCCCTACTCCTACGTGAAGACCCAAGTCTTCACGTCACTGTTGACGAAGACTCTGGGCAAACACTCCTAAGCGGCATGGGCGAGCTCCATCTCGAGATTGCCCGAGACCGCCTGATCAACGACCTCAAAGCCAAGGCAACAATGGGCCGCATTGAAATCGGCTACCGTGAATGTCCGCTCGGAGAGTCGCCTGTTGTCACCAAAATGTTCGACAAAGAGATCGCCGGCCGCAAAGGCAAAGCCGGCTGCACAGCAGTAGTGGAACCTTTCGACCCGGATAACGCACCTCCAGTACCCGAAGACGCGCTCTCAGTTGAGACCAAAGAGGGCAATCAGATAATCATCATCGCCCCGGAACTGCAGGTAGAAACCAACCGCAAAGGCATCGAGGAAAGCCCCGTACTTCCCCCAGGCCTAGATATGCAATCCTTCCGCGCCTCCCTCCAAAACGGCTGCCTTGCTGCCCTTGCTCGCGGCCCTCAGTTCACTTTCCCTATGCACCACACCCGCGTCACCCTCACCATTAACCCAACCGAACACCTCTTCGGCACCGATACCACCCCGGCCGCCCTCTCCTCCGCAGCACGTCTAGCCACCTCCGCCGCTCTCCGCGACCTCCTCTCGTCCGGCCCAGGCACCTCCCTAATGGAACCCGTTATGAACGTCATCATCAGTATCGACGAAGCCAGTCTCGGAGCCGTCGTACACGACATTTCTTCCTCGCGCGGCGGCCACATCGTCTCCCTGGACGAAGAAATCCCCCTCACATCAACCGACCTTTCCGCGTCCCCGCAACCGGTCGAGGACCTCCCACCCATCGACCCGAAGAAGGTCTACGCCCCCGCGGACCCATTCGAGTCTGGTTCTGTTGGTGCCTCCCTTCCCGACACAGCTAACCGGCCTAGAACCATCACGGCAAAGGTACCACTCAAGGAAATGGTCGGGTACTTGAAGCACCTGCGCAGTCTGAGTGCCGGCCGCGGTACTTTTGTGATGAGTGTCGATCGGTTCGAGAAGATGAGTACTCCGCGACAGAAGGCTGTGTTGACGGAGCTGAGGGGTGGGTTTTAGGTCGGTTGCATTTCGCAATTTCCTCTTCTTCTTCTTCTTTATCACTTCTCTCTCTAGATATGCTGTATATTATAAATTCATGGGTTGGTCAAAACCGAGATAGGAAATCGAAGTGTGTACAATACATCTTGACATCCAAGAAATGAAAAAAAAAGAGAAGTTGTATATAATTTGTCCTTCCAATGTTGAATTCGGGAGTCTTGATTGAATACCTCAAAGCGTATGTATAGTCAGTAACTGTCTCGCTTCGTTCCTTGTCCCAGTCTAGTCGATACAATCAGTGAGAGAATAATGAGTAAATAGTAAGAGTATAGTAAGGGAATGGTGAGAGAATAGTGAGAGAGTAGTGAGTCCCAACTTTTACTAAATATATATCCGAACACACAGTCTCCACATTGGTTGATCATCTAAACTCCTATCCGAAGGCCAATATATAAATAAAAATGATAAAGTCAATTCCGCTGAATTCATCATGCACCGCAAAACCACAATCCAGATCGAACTACAAGTTCGATTGCACACCAGCCGACGGCAAAAGCTGTGTTCTGGCTGGAATCACCCCAACCCTGGCCATCCGATCAAACGCCAAGAGATGGCCCTTGCCTACCGACCTCTCCTCCATGAACCCAATACTACGGATCTTATCCAAACTGAATTCGCGATCCCGGTCCAGTAACTTGAAACCCGCGTAGACGAAGAGCCAGGTGTCTGGTCCGATCTGTCGCTTCTGCAGGCCATATTCCTTGCACATGCGGTCATAATCGTCCTGGTGGTCGTACCACCACTTGTCGATCGCTGCGTAGTCCCTCTGCGTTGGTCCTATGGCCTTCAGGCCGAAGTACTCGGCGAGGATAGGCCACTTGACGCACCATGGGCCTGGAGTGGCCGTGTCTGCGATGTTGAATGCTTCTCCGTTCGCTTCATCGGGTTTCACTACCGATAGGTAGATCTCTGCTCGAGAGATTATGTCCTGGGAGGAGTCTGTGAAAGTGTAGACATAATTGGTGGGCGTGCCTGGGAACGGAACTGTAGCGCCGTGGCCATACACGTAGCGGTAGAGAGACAGGTAGAGAGCTATTGGCTCAACTGTGGTCATGCTTGTGGTGCTGGGTACATGGCCTGGATAAGTAGATATCTCGTTAGCCCTATGTATGCTAGTGTCACATTGCCAGACGTATCAATACTACCTATGATTTGATCTGGGCGGACTTCACACCATCTCCAGCTTTTCCCTTGAGCTGCTTCTCGGATCAGGTCAACCTGGCCATAGTAGAAAATCTCGTCACCGTATGGGGATGGGACACGCGGGGCGTCTTCCCTCAGGGGTGTGTTGAAGGTGAGCTTGTCGATGTGTTGGAAAACGGCGACGCCGTAGTGCTATTTGAGTCAGGTTTACTGAAGACATGAAATTGGTTCAGGGTATAGCATACATTGGTACCTGTTTGCAGCACGAAGAAGGTCATGTTCTTACACAGGGAATCGCAGGCATGGACAGCGTTGTAGGTCATGGCGACGTTGATGTCCTTGATATCCATGACATTTTCGGTGTATGCGGTAGCATTGGAGTACGCTGAGCTGTTAGTAGAGATATTCGTACCATTGCTCTGCACGGTCACCTGCAAATAACCGATGTCTTACCGAGATAGTATACATGAGTGACCTGGTCTAGCTGCGGGATTGTTTCACGCATCTGGGTCATTACTTTGTCCAGGCTACCTCGCAAGTTAATGCCTGAATACACCTCCAGTCTCGGATCATCGGGGAGGCCTAGTTGTCCCCGCGTTTGGGGCCGATGCGTCAGGCCGATCACCCGCGAAAAGGTGCTGCGAGTTGGATATTCCAGCAGGCTCCTAGTCACGGCCCAGCCAGATATTCCACTTGCGCCAAATACCAACGCAACTTTGTCGCCAGAGATGCTGCCCATTGTGATTGACGCTGCGTAGGATAGAATGAGATACGAGTGGAGAGGAAGAAAGGGGTTTACTTTACATCCCCTTTTATTGTTATAAGTCTACGACCCTGTGGAATAGGTGGACAGAGAATGACCCGCTACTAATGATGACACAGTTATAGGGGATTGGTCGTAAGCTCTGCCGTGCCACCCTAATCCAGCGGGCGACATACGACCCCATGCTTCTTGAATAGGCGAGATACCAGATTCAGTAATACCTGGAGCCTGGTATATAATATAGTGCTGTGTTAAGAGACAAAGGCCATTATAACACACGACGGAGGCTGTTAGTGGATATAGCCTAGAGGAATTGAAACAAACACGTCAGATTGGCGCTGGTTCGAAGCCTCTGACAGGTATAGTGGAATGCCTTACAATGCCCGGACATGGCCCGGTCCGTGAATTAGATTAATGATGGGATCGACTGTGCGCATGCTTTCCGTTGCCAGCTACTGTGTCCAAGTTTCCCCTTGCCCTAGTTAGGTCTTGGATTGGCCCTCATATCCACCCGTGAGCGCACCATTTTAAGGCCGTTCCTTCGCCCCACCAGGCCGCAACGAACCGGTCTTTTGCCTCAGCTGGCTAAAAATGTGGGATTCATTTAGACTAGGTCCGGCGACCCGTAGTGCTTTCATTTGTGGGTTTAGTTCCACAGCCGAAAGCCCGTTGCGCCTTATGGCAGCCTTCGGAATTGCGGGCTGGTTTCTAGATGCGCCCAAAGAGAGTTGCTTTAGTCACGAAACTTCCCTCTATCGAATTCAGTAGAGCCATGTGGTAAATCTAAAGTCAGGTCAGAAGTAGTGGGTACTAGACTGAGAGGGAGGGAAGAAGGAAGAAGGAGAACAAGCAAAGGGGGAGGAGACATGAGAGACCACCAAACAAGCTAGTCCCCGTGACAGGGCGCTAGACCCATTATAGGACCAGGATCAAGCCATCCCGCTGTGGGCTTTTCAACTAAACCACTCATCGACAATAAAACTAAAGTGCATCTAGTCCGCGATGCGATTCACCCGTGCTTACGGTGGGACCTGAGCCTAGATATATCTCCTGCCTTCATTGGTTGTGCATTCTCTCGGCCTCATTCGATCGGCCCATGAACGTCCTCTGTCCAACCCGAACTCCGAGGCAGGAAGTACCATTGTAAAGTGTTGATCCTTTCCTTCCGGCCGAGTACTATAGTAGCTAGCGACAACATAACAGCATCCTTGTACTTACACCCATCGTAGCCCAATCAAGTACTTGAGGCTCCCCTGCTAATTTGCCCCCTCCACAGAAGTCTGGAACATTGGCCTACCGGCATGACCCTGGTTAGTTAGGCCAATGCAATCAGCCGTTTTTTCAGCTCCAAGGTCGGTCTCAGCCAAAGTAATATAAAAGAATGGCGCACTTTGATCGCGAGCGAGGCCTCTTGGGCATTGGCTGTCGTTGCAGGGACTCAAGATGCTGTCGCGATCGCTGGGAAAGGGAACGTCCTTCACAGGGCAGCAAACGACAGTGCTTGGAATTGGAGTAGCATTTATGGCATTTACCTCCGTTGTAATTGCCCTTCGCGTCTATGTAAGAACGCTTTTGCTGCGTGCGTGGGGTGCTGATGACGGTGAGCCGACTATTGTACCTAGGTCCTTTGATAAATCTAATGAACATGCAGTGCTCATGGTGATCGGAACGGTAAGCCAGATAGTACCATTTCGATGTTCCGTCAAGTTGTTGACTTTGGGGTCAGATGCTTACATACGGTCTTTCTATCGCCTCAATTGTGGGTAGGTCCAGGCACGTACATACGTCTTAAGTAATTGAGTTACTGACCGTGGCAGCTGCATACTATGGGGTTGGAAAACACTGTACGCCTTCTACTGATTTGCTTGACTTTACGCCCTTCTAATGCGAAACAAAGATTCAGATGTCCATATTGAAGACCAGGTTCCTATGTTCAAGGCAAGTTATAACACCAATACCGAGGAAGACGACGACCCACTGACTATAACCAGTGTATATGGGCTACACGCCTCCTCTACGTGCTCGGCCTGTGCTTCATCAAGCTATCCCTTCTTTGGTTTTATCTCCGGCTGGAAACACGACGTTTCATGCAATGGCTTGTGTACTCGGTCATCTTCATCGTTCTAGGGGTATCAATCTCAAGCTTCTTCGTTGATACACTCTCCTGCATACCTCCTTCTAAATTTTGGAATTCTACCAAGTCCGGACATTGTATGTCAACGGCGTCCCAGCAGAAGTTCTACGAGGTCAATGGCATCCTCGTCATTGTCATGGATATTCTCATCTGGGCTGTTCCCATTCCGATGCTATGGCGTGTTCGTATCTCTTTGGTAAGTACAAAGATACCATTTCCAATTCTTTGCCACCTATTGATTAACATCTTACAGCGCAAGAAGATTGCAGTACTGGGAGTTTTCAGCGTGGGCCTTCTGTCTATAGCTGGTAGGTTGCTCATTACATTATCCGTGCCTTTTTGTTTATTTTTCCTCGTCTCTTTTTTCCCCCTTAGAACAGTTTCGGATTAACTAATGCAGCTGCTTGCGTGAGATACAACACCGTCTTGCAACTAGCCAACAATCCAGATGAAACATACGTCCTCGCTGCCTCGCTTAACTGGTGTGGCATCGAAGCCTACGTCGGTACGTACCATTTTTCCTCCCCGACACGTCAGGCTTCGTACTAATAAAGCATCCCGTAGCCATATTCTGTGGCTCCACTCCGGCATTATATGTCTTTGTGAAGCGTTACCTCCCACAAATTCTGGGCCCCTCCTACGCGCACAATCCAACTTACCCAGGACAGAGCAATGCAAAGAGATTCAGCGCACCTTTCTGCAGAGTGTCCCGTCAAGATGTGAGCGAAAGCCGGCTAGGAGAGAGCCAAGATGCATTACATGATGGGGATGGCATTATGCTTAAGACAGACATTCACTGGGAGGTCACTGATATAGATGCGGAAGGTCGAGTGGACTCGCACCATGTAAATATCTGAAGGGTTGCGCCCTCTAATCTGAACAGCAGATGATATCAATGAGAGGGATTTGTGACTGATATATGGCAGCATGTCTGTTAAAGAATGTGACAATTGCAGGCCACAAAGTGGAAGGATCTCAGACCCACCAGACTAGTAAATTCCGTCACCGTCTTTTTGTCGTCTGGAATTTAACGGTTTACTGCTTATTCTAAGGAATATCTTCATGTGTTTCTCTCCCCTCCTCTTGGCAGGGACTTCTCCAGTCGCTTAGAGCCGCCTGCCTTCCTGCATCTCCGCCGTTTGTCCCACGGAACGTTGTCGCATCATCTTTCCCAATTACTATCGCTTTTCCGTCCTCTCTACACTAATCTGCAATTACCAAACACACTACTACCTCACTCCAAACATCCCAGCTGCTTCCGACCCTTCCGGCTACACTAAATCTGAAGCATGCTATCATAATCGCTCGAGCCCAACAAATTCCCGTCACTCGGCATCCCCGCCATCACCATGAATTCCTGTTAGTCACTTTAACCCCCAACCTCACCCTCTAGTCCCAAGTTATTAGCCTCGGTGGATCATAAATCATAATATAGATTATTAACAACCAACTAGTCTTTTACTCAACCAAGCACGCCAAGACTTCATACTATCACATCCCCTCCACCGTCAACTTAGATGACGTCCAACAAATCCTCCACAACCACTCCACCCTTGCAAACATATTTTGGCCCCAAACCGTTAACGATCCAGAAAACCTCATCTTTGAAAACCAAACCGGCCCTAGCACTACAGAAATCCAAGTTGGCCCAGCATCAGGTTCCAATCCCGGCCCTTCCGCGACAAAATGCAAAGCTCGCATGATTTCTCACCACGAAGCCAGAGAGGTTGTCGTTGAGGAGGAAATGCCTCTCGGGCTTCGGATGACTCTGGTGTATAGGGTCTCTGATGAACCTCCCCAGGGTATCTCGGCAGAAGAAGGTGATGGTCTGCTCGCGTTGGCTGACTCGCAGCCCTCCACGTCGCTTTCGCCCTCTGGGTCACGAATAGGGCTGTATCTGGAGGTAGAGAGATCTGTAATGGCACCGAGGCCTCTCTCGATGCTAATTAAAACGACAGAAGGGCCGGTTGTAAAGACGAAGAATCTGTTGTTCGTTTTAGACGAGTTAGGAAACGGGAGGGACTTGGACGCTGTGTTGGGTGCTCTTAATGATGGACTGGGGGAATCGGATGATGAAGGAGAGGGGGTGTTGGAGAAGTATAAGGCGGATTGAAACGCATATAGCCACCTATTCTTTGGAAAGTTTAAAACTAGCCGCTACTACATAATCAAACCTTGGTGGACTAAGATCATCTTTTCAGTGCCGTGCCTGCTACAAACTCCTAATACGCAACGGTGATCTTGGAGAATCAATTGATTAACTGCTGAACCAAACAGACCCCCGTCCCTCTATCCAAGCCAGATCGTCTCGCATCTGACCAAAACTCAATTCCGGTGCATTCCCATCCCAGAAAGGGTGAAGGAAGACAGTGATAGAGCTAGTGAAGGCAAAGACATGAATACCAACATGGATTGATTGACAATAATTCCAGAACCAAGGACGGGAATGAAGCCCTATTACCTCTTCCTGAAGATTCACCACCGTACTCGGATAGGCATATAAATGTCCCCATTTCCCTTCGCAGCTTCTTCTCTTTTCTTCCTCCTACATCCTCATCTTCAGCCTTGGCCTTGCTGCATCTATAACATTAAATTAATAATCTTCATAAAATTATGAATATGATCATCTACTGATAATGTGAATATAAATACATCTACCGTACCTTACTATCTTGGAATCTCGAGAAGACTACTGCCACATTAGTATGATTCATGACAAGAAGCATGAGGCAGGCCCGGCGCCGCTTATTCCAACATTATCTCTCGATATCCTATGCCTCTCCACCAATACGAGATATGTTACGAAGCCACCAGGGATATCGAAATAACCAAGCCCATCCAAGGTACAAGAGTTCGTTGCTGTACTCATGTTAATGGCATTTGACACTACATGCTACAGCGAGCTCGAAGACTACTCGCGCTCTATTTCTATTACCCAAATGTGGCTCACAATAGCGACAGGATATGTTTTAAACATCGAATAGAAACAGTCATATGAACGGGACAATAAGAAATGCCTTCTCATAATAACGGTCGATCCCATCAAAGTCGAAGTCGCACACATTTTCCCAATTCCTCTAGGCAAGACAGCTGGTCATTCCGAAAACCACTTGTTCAATAAAGACGGGAGATGCTCTGGCCCGTGCAGAATATTGAGGCTTGGAAAATCGCGATCTTGCGACTGGAACACACAAGAAGCTCGCAAATCATCACCCTTAGCCTCGACGGTGCGTGGAATATGGGACAATGGAAAGATCTGCCTAGAGCCATGTCGACTGCCAGACGATGGAAAGGCGTCCACGGTGGAAATACACTCATTTCCCAAGGGGCCTTGTTTAGTGGACTAAGTTACCTTGTCATTATGAGCTACCGTCGGAACATGCATGGCCACTAGAACTTTCCGGCAAATACTGTTAAATGAGCTACAGATGTAAACATTTCAGTTTTACCCACTTGGTCGCCCTGATAAATTCCCTCGATGACTATATCATAATCAAGTCATGCGTCGCGTCAAGTCTAATATATGCTTATAATCTGTTACAGAGACTTGATGTCTATCGCGATACGCAATATCCTACTTCGAAATCATTTCATTTCATGCCTCGGAATAAGCCTACAGCAACGATGCGTTCTAAATGGTTCTCACAGGGTGAGATTGACCCAAGATCAATCATAAAACTCAACAAGGAATGGGTCGTCCAGCAGGCTATAAGTGAGCACACGTTCCAGAAAGATCACGATGACCATCTCGCTAGGAGAGACCCTTCCTGGACAGCAATTCGCCTCCTCGTCGAAGACAGAAGCGCGCGCACCAAGGCCTATATGCGCATCTACAAGCAACTTATGCACGGTGGCACGGAGGCCGAGCCGGCCAGGGTTCGAGCTCGGCAAGCTAATTCTTCGTGGTGTCCGGTTGAGAAATTTCTATGGAATACTGTGCAAGGTTGTGCACAAAAGACAATGTAGTTTACGTGCCCGAAATCCCAAGCCCAGTGGGACAGAGATTACGACCTACAATATTGTAGGCAAGAGCCTTCGCTCATGGCCTGATCTAGAGTCGGGATACAACGTATCTCGTGAGATATTTTTCTCGCGTATTCTCTGCCCCGAGTGATAAAAGCAAGAATTTATGGTCAATGCCCAGTTTGGCATCTCGGCCGGTTTCCTGATTACCCAGGCTCGAAATCTGTTACAATCAATAGCAGCCCACATATCGAACACCCAGTGATCAACTGGGCTTTTTTCTCAGGCCAGTGCTAATGCTACAGAAAATCGCACATGATTTTGAAGATAAATGGACTGATGAAGATCCTGTGAATGCAGCCTTCATCGAGCTTCTCAATGGCTCTGGTTTCTTTCTTCTGGTGAGGAATAAATACACCTAGTACTTATGAGGACAGTCACCTCAGGAAATAGTTGGACAATGAGGACATCCTTTTGACTAACGTTGGACAAACAATTTTCACCTTCTAACTACAATTTACCGTTTCAGGGTATAAAGAAGGGATATGCCAATATACAGCCATTACTGTATTTATTGTCTAGCTGACCAGCCCAAGGAAACGCAATCGCAAATCATTAAAATTGTCTGTAGAGTGCAAGGGTTTTGATGGTTTCTGAAAGGGTAATGGGCCCATCACTTGACAACAGCAGCCAAGAAAGAAGCAGAATTCCCACAAATGATAATTAACGTTAGATATTCAGAACTTTTCTCATCCGTCGTTGCACGAGCCCCTACAGTAGATGGAATATTCCTGTGGCACAGGTCAAGTACTTTCTTCGATTCCACTCGGTCACGAGGACCACTAACTATGCGCCTTTCGAGTGGCTGATAAACCATAATGACTGCGCAAACATGGATTAAGATCCATTAGTTTAGTGAAAAGTCGCTGCAAACATTCCCGTGGACGAGCACACTAGTCGAAACACTCATGAAGTCCAGGGACGAGCTAATATGCCTTTGTTCAAGAAAACCAAGCTCATCTCAAACTAATGATTTATTCAAACCAGTTTGAGCTCGGATCGAGACATCGCGGACAATTTTCTTAAGCTCTTATACAACGTGGACCATGTTGATACTTATTGTACTTACACCTTCGCAACCAGTGTATGCTGATTATCAGTGTACATTGCACTTCCAGTAGGTCCAAGTATCTTTATTATCCTAAGTACTACATTGCCCGCGTGGGAGTTGTCCAGCTTTAATTATGACAAGAATTGGGAAGGGAATATTACAGATAGATATGAGGATACAGAGATCGGAGTCCATCCGGCAAGTAAGATAGAGCATGCGCGAGGACAGAACGCATGTACAATGGGATACAAAAGTCTGCGAGTCTATTCATGTCTGGTCTGCATAAAAAAGACGAACCTTGATTCAAATCGCTGTATCGAACACGCAAATAAGCGACGCATGGGTCTATGCACTGCTTCAAGATTCATCGATTTCAGCATTGGTGAGAGGATGCCATTGGATAAGATGTGTGTGGTGACATTCGACCAAATACCAAAAAAAAAAAAAAAAAAAAAAAAAAAAAAAAAAAAAAAAAAGAGGGTATATGACTTGACTTCTCCATTTGCAAATTCGACTTACAAGACCCGACTAAGGTGTTGGCCTGAAAAATGTGGAAGGGGTGGTTATGTGCTATATATGACCTACGTGCGCACCATATCCCCAGTCATCACTGTATCATGATGTGTAATAGCTGAAAACTCTGCTATATCACCCTTCCTCCAGCTTTGCCATTTTCTTTCTGCTCACCTCTCATCACCCTCATCGCTCTCATCACTCTGACTACTCCTACTACTCTCATCACTCTCATCATCCAAGATGCGATTCTGGTCCTGGCTTCGGGGAGAGCCCAGATGCGAATATTACTACAAAAAACGTCTTCAGGAAATCAAAGTCCATATTCGCTATGGCATCCCAAAAGATCCAGTCAAGAAATGGATAACCGAGTTCAATGATGAGGAAACGCTGGGGTTTGCCATTATACAGCGACAGCGTCGTCTGCAGAATGAGAAAAAGACGGCTGAAGAGCAACAACAGCAAGAGCAGAGACAGCAGTTTCGGCGGCGTCGGTGCGAGCAGTGCCGGTACCAGGAGGAGATGTGCAGTTCCTGCCATGAAGCGACGCAGGCAGCAGATGTTCCACCACCCTACTCGAGCAGATCCCCAGAGGAATTCGAACAAGATCTGGCCAAGCTGCGCGAAGAGTTTGTGAAGAATCGAATTCGCTTGGAGGCGATCAAACAAAAACTTACAGATAGTAGGAGTTGGTGGGTCACATATGCTATGGCCCCCCGCTGGCATAGAGACGACACTGGCCGGACGTTTAAGTGGGTTGAAGACCGGAGAAAGTGTGCTGATCTGGGGGGTTGCTGTGGCCGTACTTGTGGATGCTGCGAGAAAGTTCTGATTGAATATCAACGACCAAGATTATGGAGGAAAACACACTCAAAGGCACACTTCAGGGTGCATGGTCATTGCACGGTGGAGTGTGCTTGCTGTATCCAATTCTGGGGGTTCTATACTCCCCATCCTGCTCTTCCTGCTATGTGCTAGGAGGCGCTTTCCCTTTAGTACAGACAGCACCTTCCTCAAATATCAATAACTCGCTCAGCGGCAGGCAAACCATCTTCGTAGGCTTTGGATCCCCTCTCTTTTCTCTTCTTCTTGTTCTTGAAAACAGTCGCTCGTTTGACAACGCTCGTTTCACACAGCATTAAGTCACTCTTTGCGACATTCACTCTTATCCATCTCGTTCATTACCCCACATTCTCTTTTATATAGGTTTTTTTCAATTTTTTTTTCTTTAGATAGTTATGGCTGAGGCGGTAGGTGCCAACGCCACACTCTCGTTTTGGCAGAAGTTGGACCCCAGTCACTTCTTGTGGCTGTTCCTCGCGATCTTCGTGATCGTGATTTGCAACGTGCTTTTCGGTGTGTTGAGGCTCTATTTAGAGCTATTGATCAGACGCCATCACATCGGAAAGTCACGTGCAATGCCCCCATCTCGAGGTCGCGACGTGGAAATGGGTGAGTATGAGGAAGAGGAGGATGCGGGGGCAGATGGGGGCAAGAGGAGGGAGCGGAGGTGGAGGTGGAGGGGGAGGTGAATAGGGGAGAGAAGAGGGGGTTTTGGGTGGGTTTACAGGGTGGGTGTGGCGGGCGGGTGGGAGGGTCCTCTCTCTATAGAACCATGCTGGCCGTTTGTCTAGGACTGACCGTTTCACGATGATCCGCATCGCATCGACTTGACGAGCTTGCCGATGAAGCTTAGCACGGTATACGGCATCAACCTGTGAGTTGAAAGAATCCCTTTGTTTCTGATATATATTGACCGTTGCTATAGGACATTGATTTATCTTTTCATCTCGCCTCGACGAATTCGATCCGACGGGTTTTATAGACGTCCAGGGGGCGTTGGAGACAGAGAGAGGGAAGGGAGCGAGATGAGATTATCAAGAGATATTTGGAAAATGCAAGTCACACCTTCGACCATTGCTACGCCATGAGTTGAGCCGGTCTCTATTATCAACTTCGTACTGACTTTGCTTCGTGATAGCAACCTCCGAAACCATGGCTCGGAGGCTCAGGATAATGACTTGGAGAGCAGGGATAAGGGTTATACGGAAGAGGGAAGGGTGATAAGAGGAGGTGATGTATGGAGGTGGGTTGATGCGAACAGGGATATAAGAGGGAAGGAAGAATGGTGTGAGATGGAGAGAGGGAGAAAGGCCTGGTGTTCTGTATTATCCACGTTTTCATATTGCACAATGGGAGGAAGTGAGCTCGATCATGGGGATGAAGGGATGGAAACAATGGTTTCAATGTTGATATCAGATGCGGAGTATCAAGTCAGGCTCTGCTGAAAATGTGATAGGGACTGGTACTCTTCCTTTCTAGTAGTATATATTTATGCCGTTCAACTGTAGCAGTTCAAAGCTTTTAACCCTGTGAAATGTACTACTAGTCACATTATGCATCTAGATGAATAACTTCATTTAGTCATGGAGCACTCACAACAGTAAGAGGATGGGAATCTCATGTATGTTACTTCAATATCATCAGTTATTTACAATTATATCTAGATATTTTCCGACCCGGGTGGATCATGTATGCTTACTTCGTACTTTCTAAAAGAGATACATCATATGCTAGTTACCTAGCCCGTGTAAAGCATTCAGTTCATTAGTAACCGTAATTGTATAGGAAAACCGCATAATGATTGTCTGACAGGTGATGTATTGCTATTATGCATATCAGGCTAATTAATTGGAAGCTCTAGATACTTGTCACCGAAAGCCAATGCCAAGCCGCTGACTGGGAGAACAGACAGGTCTAACATGGATAGGAGAATTTGTATATGTCGGGAATATGAGGTTGAGCGATGCTACACAGCAACACCGGGTCTCTTTAGATGTTGAAACAAAGTAGTAGTTATAATGGAATAATGTAGTATTGTCACCGAAAGTCGTAACAATTGTGTAAATAAAGCCAGCCAGGGCCATAGAATATCCGTCCTATCTATATCATCAATGGGTACCCACCGGCGGGACAACGTTCACAGGTTTGCGCTTCGAGAAAAGATTCTTCAATCTGCGAAAGACAGTTTTATCGTTGACAGGCCCGTCCTCGGTTCCTCGCGATCTGAGCTTTCGGCTCGTTGCCTTGCTCATTGTGGACCATGAGGTTTTCAATCTCGAGGCATTAGATCCAGGACGAAGATTTGAAACATTGTCCGTCGACTCGGTGTAAACTGGTAGGTGTGGCGAGCTGGCATTAGCAATTGTGCCTGTTCTCATCTTGGCCATCACTGCCTGCTGGATGTTCATGTCGCGTTCGCTTTCTTCTGCAGCCGTGAGGACGTGTGCTAGGCCGCTGCTGTCGATAATAATTCCGGGGTGTTGTTTACTCTCTTCGATAGCAGAAGCGCCCAGGTCCAGCGGAGCCGTGTACTCTGGGGGTTGAACGGTTGGGGTCTCCAAGCCAGCTACTCCACAATGGCCGTTCGGTGATGGATCCACAGACTTGCCGAAACCGGGTGCACTATTGCTGGGGACTGAATGGGGTGAATGAAAGCTAGGGACGCCAGTGGACATGAGTGTAGTCTCGGGATCCAGATAGACCTCAACATCATCACCGCAAACAGCATCCACAAACTGAGGGCCATCCTCATTCGGATGAGATTCGGACTCAGAACCATCCAAGAAAGGTTTGACACACTGGCCCCTATCCCTACTCCATTTTCCTGAACTTATTACTTGGTTATCATAACCTGCTCGACTAGGTGGGGCACTCGAGGACTGTGTTCCGTCGCTGGGGAGTGCTGAGTGGGAAGATGTCGCTCGTCCCGATTTGAGACTATCGCACTTGAGGTTCTGGCTGGTCTGAGAATGGAGAACCCTCATAGCCTGCATACTGGGCTGTTGGGTCAAGGCGACCCCCGAATCGTACTTGTTCTTCAGGGCTGCCACATCGGCTCCCACTTTTGGGGACACATACATGGAGTCGATTTGAGGCGCCGTGGACGATTCGTGCATCGTCGTATTGGTTGTGACCGCGCGAGATCGCTTGCTAGACCCCGACTGCTGGCCTTTCCCGATCTTGTATACGAGTAACGAACAGGCATTTCTAATCTGCTCTTCCACGTCGGTAGGTATGTTTGGTCGGTCAACCAACGGCGATGGTGGCTGATAGGTGCCAGGGCTATCAACAAAATCCCAATAACGGGTTGGTTGGTTATGGGCAGGTTGGCTTTGCTGGGTTATCAAAGTGGGTTTCTAGCTAGCACATTAGGCCACGATCGTGAGGCAGTTTAAGGGAATACACACCTGTGACCCGAACAGAAAAGAAAATGAGGTGCGTCGCTTCGTGCTAAACTCCATCGTGGCTGATGTTTGCAAATATGACGAAACAAGAGGCGTTCGGTCCGGAAAGGGATCAGCTAGATAGACTGCAGGAAAGACTGTGGCGACGCCAGCCAATGTAGAAGGACGCAATGGTGCGTCGACAAACGACTCGTGATATGGAGAGTAGCGACACAAAGGAAAACAAATCCGGTCGCTGGGCTACCAGTCCCAGGGAAATGGACCAAAACCGGCGATACTCAAGATCAGCCCAGTCCAATTCCTGAGCCAAAGAATCGCTCGAAGAGGCAGGTTCTGTCCAGGAACTGGTGGGATGGAATGTGGGGAGCGATTCGAGGAATGCTGTCGAGATCAAGGAAAGGAGGGGTGAGGACCGATTGAAGGTCAGGGGAAGAAAAGCCACCGGAAATTATGAGAGACGAGAGGTAACAAGATGACTCAGGAGCAATGGACCAGTCCATCTGCTAGGTATACCACCTCTAATAATCAATCGCAAGGAGTAAATAGAATGCAACCGCGGCGCTGGGGACACCGGCTGTCTCAACGAGGGACCAAAGAATGAAATATCAGAGACTGGAAGGCCAGTGAGCAAAAGCAAACGAGCGTGGTTGGTGCGATGAGGCCGTCGGCCAGGGAAGAGAAAGCAGGAAAAGAGGAGACCCTGCAGAAAAGCAAGCCTTTGTCACACGGCATCACGGGGCTGCTGCAGGCCTGAAAACCTCGCCGTCTGATTGCCTCGTAGTGGCCCCGGACTTAATCTTGCAGTGCACTATTGTCGATGATGCAGCCAGTCCGGCTGCCATTCGCTAGGGGTGAAACCGGCCAAGGAGGGGTAGCAAAGTAGGCCATGCAGCGGTCGATGCGTATGAGATGATGATGTCCGCGCTTTTCCACTTCTAATGGTAGCTAGTGCTGATCAGAGCGTCACAGAGAAGTTGCGGGTTGTTCTCCCATCAGACTCGCTATCGGACAAACCAAGTCATCCCCCAATGCGAGGATATGAGTCTCACACGAATCAACTGGGTGTGACAGCATGGGTGTTGCACCAAACGGAACGCTTCCCTTGTCCAACGGTTTCGCAAGGGGGCCGTTGGGGTTGGAAGAAGGGATGAATCAAGGGGCTGGACAAACTTTTCGTGGAATGACCGATCGGGTAGCAAGAATGAGATCCATCACTTATAGGCAATCCTAGTGGGACTGCAGTAACTTCTGATAGGCGGTTCGCCGCTGCCTTTCCTGCTGGGAAGAGTTGATCGAACGCCCTACTGTGTACTTAAGTTGCCATCACCGTCATGCGGCCGGCATGCGGAAACGCTGTCGGACCCTGAATATGATCGATATTGTGACACAAGACGAATTCAGTATCCCGGACTCAAGTATATCCATATTGACCCATTCGCCCGAAACTCAAGTCCCAGAGGCTCTGTGACATCTCCGCAATGCCGAAGCAGCATGGTACGGAGTACAGCAAGCGTCTCCGTGATGCATTATGGGAAGGTTGAAGCACCATTCCAGCCGAGCGAGTGGAAGTCAAAATGATACATCACATCCTAACCCGACTCAACCCGTCCATGCCAACCTAATAACCAGCTTCAAAGTTCGCACGCAGCATCCCCATCTGCACTCCGCATTTCGCTTCAATTTCTGCAAGCAGCCCAGCTCTGTCTTGTACTTAATCCCCGAAAGCCTATCCAAGGCGTTCTCACAACGCCAACCACGTCATATTCCCTGGTGGTTCTTCCATAATGACCTCAGGAGGGCTTTCAGGCACCGAACTGGTAAGGCCCAACGGCGGGTATCATATGCGGAGCAGAGCTGCAGCTGGCCTAGGTTCCTGGTGCAACGATGGTTGCTGGGCGGATTGGGAATCGAACTAGATGGAAAAGGCTGGACTGGTTGATGGAGAATATTGAGAGGATGATGGTGTGATGGTAATTCCGTGTAGTAGGATGAGGTGAATGAATGATTTTGAAGTTGAGTCTGCAGAGTTCGTGCGGGATGTCTGGTTACATGAGTCCTTAATTACAAGGCCACACCGCCAGGCTCCTAATGTAGTGGATACCGGTGCTCTGAGGAAGAGATGACAAAACAAATCTATTTACCATAACGAATCTATGTACGATCGAACACTTTTCTTATCAAGGTCGCCCACCACCCTCGGTGTCTTGACGTGTGCAAAGACACTCGGTGAGGGCTTATCTGATGGAGAGCAGTTGGATGCTTCTTTTACAGCCTTACCTGTGTAGAGGAAACGAGAGAGGCAGTTGGATGCTCATCTCTCTGACTGGCTAAGATAATAAATCACAAGACCGCACCGCTACTTCCCCAAGGCGCCTGAGCCTGGCGGGGTCCGAAGCCGCCGGCGCGTCCTCTCTGGCCGAGAGAAAGGCCGGGACATGCCCACGCGGTACATCAGGCAGAATAAAAGGCTGCAACTAATGCGCCACATCTAATAGGACTCTGAGGGTCAGTTTACCACGCGGTGATATCTTCCACTTCCGCTTCGCCGAACGTGCTGCTCTTGGTTAGCTTGTTGACTCCGTCCACAGCCTGGACTCCTTCGGCAGGTGCCTTGGACATGATGTCCGGCAGGACCTCGCGGAAGAACTCGAGGATGTAACGGTTGACCTGTTCGAACTGGAGGAGGAAGGCGTCGTGACCTTCGGGACTCTCAATCCGCTTCAGGCGGGAGTCCGGAATGCCGGCAGCGATCTCCTTCTGTTCGTCGAAAGTGAACAGTCCATCAGATTCGATACCTAGAACCAGAGCAGGCTGCTGAATTTGAGACAGGGCTTCACGAACGGGGTTCTCCGCGGAAGGACTGGCCCGGTGTCGGGACACATCGTGCGTGTCAAGCTTGCGGGTGATGGCGATGTAGCAATTGGCATCAAAACGCTTCACGAATTTCTCGCCCTGGTACCGAAGGTACGACTGCGCCGAGAAATAGGTGGGGAGCCGCTTCTGGGAACCGTTGGTCTCGATGGTCTTGCTGAAGGTCTTGGCACCAGAGAATTGAGGATCTTGAAACTGGACTTCAGAATGTTGGGCGTCGGACTGCGGCCCGGGCGAGCTGCGTCCACTCTTGTGTCCGTCGTTGTGGATAGCCCAGTGCTCGTTAGGGGGGGTAGGCGATCTTTCTTGGCCATTGATGGTCTGCCGCTTGGAGGGATCGGGCACGTTTCTGCCAAATCGAGACTCGAAAGAGTTGCGGCTGCGGTAGGTGAGGAGGGCAGACATGCGCGCCGCACCCAATCCGGTGGCCGGAGGATCGTCAAACGGGTAGTAGCCATCCTCATACTTCGGGTCACTGTAGATGCTCTGCCGTTGGGCTTCACCCCAGCTGATACACCAAGCCGAATGACGAGGAGAGGTGGCGATAGGAACGATTGCACGAACATAGTCCTTGCCAAAGTAGGCGTACTCGAGAGTAAGCATACCACCCATGGAGCCACCCACCACGGCTGCAATTTGACGGATGCCCATGTCATCCAGCACCATCTTGTGAATCCTATGCGTTGTTAGCACGCCGTTACACCACAAAGAAAACAAGAGAATGAGAACTCACTTTACATCGTCACGGACGGTAGTAAGAGGGAACTCAGGACCGTACAAGCCCTTGGACGGGTCGCCGTCCTTGTAGGTCACGGCACTGGCACTTCCGTACGGACTACCCAGACTGTTCAAGCAGACGACGAAAAACCGCGAGGTATCGAAAGCTTGACCGGGGCCACCAAGCAGGGGACCCCACCAGTCCGCGACATCCGCACTACCACTGAGAGCATGACAGATCACCAATGCATTGTCACGTTCGGGGGAGAGTTGACCCCTCGTCGTGTAGGCCACAGGAACGTTGTGCAAGGTAACACCAGACTCAAGGGTGAAGGAAGGGATGGTAACGATCGTTTGATCGGTGATGAGAGCCGAATAAGGGTTTTCGGGTTGGGAGTCAGCCCTCTCTACGGGATTTAGTAGCTGTTCACATTTAAAAGGCGGGGGAGGGGAAGAGGGGGGAAACTGACGGAATTGCCCGGGGGCGGTGGCTTGAGCGACCATGCTGGATGGGCGCGTCTGGTTAACGGACGTACGGATTCAGAACAAGTAGCAAGAACGAAGTTAAAGTAATGGGAGAAGGAGAGATCAAGATGAAGCAAGTAGAGACACACAAATGAATAGGAGGGAAAGTTAAAAGGAAGAAAAGACGGGAAACGCAAGATGATGGCGATCTCTGGTCCCCCGGGGAGTTTTCCGGCCTTGACTCATACGCCATCACGGGCCAATCACATGTCTCACATTGATCCTGAGGCAAGATTGAGTCTACGGAATTAGGTTCCACCGAGGATCCGCCCCCGGTCCCGCTTCCCGGCTTTTCTCTGCCTCTCCGATCCCGGGCTCTCCAAGCATCGTCATGTATACCACCAATTGAATAAGTGGTCTGCAACAACGGTTCCAGCACGTTCCAGCTGAGGAAGTTATGAGATGACAGTGTGTCTGCATTAGGTATCCGGTTCGGTATCGTTTTAGCGAATACGAAGTCTACCGTTTCATCGAAGCTTCAATTTATTTGGTCTAGGCCCCTTCGCTTGCTATCGGGCCGAGTAAGTATATCGAAAACAACTAAAAAACTATATAATGGACATGACGTTTCTCAGACTTGTCACTTGTTTCCGCAGCGATATAACTTTTGTCGATGCAATGTCTAGGTAACTGAACCAGCAACGCTCTAACACCTCGATTCCAACGATATCCGGACAAAAAGAAATTAGTCATGTATATGATTGTTCAAGCCTCGAAGATAAAAGATCATGTCATCTCCAAACGTCTCACAATAGAGAGATACTACTATCAAATTACAAATAAGCTTGGATAGAAAAGAAACAACACATTGACAATGTCTGAAAGCCGCTAAATTACAAGATAACCTTTAATCACAAATCTAATCCGTCATCATCGCTCACCCACCTACAGCGAAACAACCAACTTCTTTGCCGAAACGCCCTTCTTCAAAACATTCAACGCCTCCTGCACCGACTCCAATCCCTCACTCACCACCTCAACCTTCGGCGCACTAACAAAGCTCCCCTCCTTTAACGCCGCAGGCAAGAAATCCACAAAGATAGCAGGTCCAACCTCATTCTCAGCCAAGTCACCACCAAAGACGAACTTCGACTCGACCCCATCCGCCAACGGTCCAGACGGCGGACTCACCAACGCAACAAACTTCCTCCCCTCGACCCTCGCCACAATCTCACCACACTTTTCAGGAGACCCCGTTCCAATAGCCAATGCACCAGCACTACACTTCCCCGCAAATGTAGCAATGATATCCTCAACCACCGTCTCGGACTTATAGTCGAAGACGTGACTCGCACCCAGAGACTTGACAAAGTCGTAATTCCGCGGCGAAGCAGTCGTAATCACTTCATACCCCGCTGCCACGGCAAGCTGAATAGCGTTGCTGCCGACGCTGGATGATCCGCTCCAGATGAGGACGGTCTGGCCTGTTGATGGGGCCTGAGGGGCTATGGGATGTTGCAGCGCGAGGTAGTCTTTCTGGAAGAGGCCACATGCGGCGGTTGAGATGCCAAGAGGGATTCCGGCCGCGTCGGCGTAGGATAGATTGGATGGAATGGGCGATGTCATATGTGCTTTGAGCACAACGTAGGTCTGGAAAGCACCTTGGCAGGAACGGGTGCTTTTGAGCTCACCGGTTAGGCCAAGGACACGGTCTCCGGGCTTGAATCGGGAGGAGATTGTGCCTGGTCCGACTTCAACTACTTCCCCTGCAACGTCGCTGCCCAGGATGGCGGGATAGGGGGTCCAGGCGAAGAGGGCAGAGCCAAGGTCTTGACGGGCGTAGTCGACAAGGTTCAGACCGATGCTGTGGTTCTTGATTACGAGTTCGTTTTCACCGGGATGGGTGTAGGGTGCTGTGTCGATTTCCAATGGGTAGGCCTTTTCGGACTTCAGCCAGGCGGCGGTGTTGGTTGGGGCCATTGTGATGAGTCAATTGTGACCAAGGACTTAGTTAATATTAAGGTATCTTGTGTAATAGTAGAGAATACTTGTGGAGATGCTATAATGCACCGTCAGTTGTTCCTGACCAGCGATATATATACTACCCTCGCCAAGTTGAAGTTCAACGGCATCTCGGATTAGGGCACGGTGATAAGGCCGTAATATCCGATGGCGAATCCTTCGGTGCTTACACCCCGACGGGGTTTGCGATTCTTAAATCCTACGGCATTGCCGCTCAAATCTGACGGAATCCCGACCCCTCTTTGCTTCTCTTGTGTCATGATTTATGCTCAAATCCGCTTGTCGCCATGGATCAGTCCCCCACCGATCAGTCCCCCACCGAGTATGATCTCGCCCCGGCCCCATACGGCCGCGCCTGCATGAATTGCTCGCAGTCTAAATGCAAATGCATCCTGCCCAAAGGGGGCGGGCGATGCCAGAGGTCTGTCTTACGATATGATATATGTTGAGACATTTGAGTCACCCCTGCTGCTTGGTGGCCGTTTACACCAGTACGGTCTTCTGACAGTAATGGCAGGTGCCAGCGGCTGAATAAAGAATGTCGGCCATCGGCGTTCCATCGACGGCAGAATGCACGCAAGCCCTCGAAGACAGGGCGATTGGAGAAGAAGCTGGATGATTTGGTGACTCTGCTTCGCGCGCAAGCGCCTTCCCATGCCCATGCGGGGGATTATGCAGAGTTGATTGATGAGCTGCGACGAGAGCCAGATGAAGACCCTCATCACCACCCACCACCGCCACGCTCGCAGATCAAGGTTACCCGGACAGTCTCGACGGCGGAGAGATCCATCGACTGTGGGTTCCTTAATCACTTTGCTCAGGTCGGAGCGAGTACCTCCTCCCGGGATGAGTCGAATAATGCAGCAAGTGCAGCAGAGCCGAGCTGGTCGCAGGCTGAAGAGTATCTGAGCATGTTTGTCACTCAAAAGCTACCATATCTGCCATTCGTGTATTTTCCGCCAGGAACAACAGCACAGCACCTTCGCAGTGACCGTCCGTTCCTCTGGCTTTGCATCATGGCAGTAACGGCAAAGAGCCCGAGTCAGCGACGCACGCTCTGCGATAGAATCCGCGATACTGTAGCACAACGCATGGTTCTAGACTGCTACGGTCGCGACCTCGACTTCCTCCTCGGTCTCATGGTATACATTGCCTGGTACGATCACCCTTCCCCCTTGATAACATATACTGACAGCCACAGGTCCAACCAGCAAATCTTCAAGAAGCTCAATATGACCATATACAGCCAGTTCGCCACAGCCGTAGTCTTCGACCTTATGCTCAACCAGGCCCCTGGCGGAGACAAACCATCACTACTGTGTATACTCCAAACCCATCCAGACGAGGATCCCTCCCCATCACGAGCCCGAACAATGGATGAGAGACGCGCCGTGCTGGGCTGTTTTCTCTTAACCTCCAGGTACTCCATCCACCTCCCATCCCATCTACCAAGTATAATCCCACTCCTAACCCAATCCCAGTATATCCCTCTTCCTGGAAAAAAGCGAACCTCTTCGCTGGACTCCCCACATGGACGAATGCCTACACCACATAAGCGAACACCCCGAATGTCTCAACGACGAGATCCTCGCCCAACAAGTGCACTTCCAACTCATCAACGAGAGAATCAACACCACCGCCACAACCACAACCGACTTCTACCACACTAGCCTCCTATCCCCCTCCCCATTCAGACCCCCATTATCAATCTACAACCAGGCGATAGACACCCACCTCCAACAAACCCAAAGCAAACTCACCCCCCACTCCCAACGCTACCGAATCCTCCACCTCCACCACTCCAACACGCACCTCACGATCCACGAATCCGCCCTTTTAAAACCATTCCCTAACCCCTCTACCACACAACCCCCCAATCCTCCCCTAACAATCAATCATCACCTCCACCACCTCGAATCCCTCCACGCCTGCCTCTCCGCCGTGAACGCCTGGATATCCTCCTTCCTCGCCATCCCACCAGCCGAGTACGCAGGCTTCCCCTTCCCCATCTTCTCGCAGCTCGTGCGACACCTGGCGGCGTTGTATCGGTTGTCTACACTTGACGATCCGAGCTGGGATCGGGGGTTTGTGCGCCGCACCATCGATCTGATGAGTGTGATGGATCGGTTGATTGGAAACCTGGGACAGGCGGCGGCGTTGGCGAGACTCGAAGCGCAGGGCGAGGATGAGGATGAAGATGTGTTTTTTTATTCGATTGGGAAGTATGAGTCTGTTAGGTTGAAATGGGGAGGTGTTTTTGGGGGCAGTGCCCCTGGGAATGGGAATGGGGTTAATGGGGGAGTGGTGGAGAGACAGGGGGTGCAGGATGGGGTTGGGGGAAGTACTGGGTTGGGTCTGGGTCTGGGTCAAGCTCAGGGACATGCACAGGCACAGGCACAGGAGATGGGGGGTTGGGGGGCGGGTTATGATGATTGGTTGTCGGAGTTTTTGAATTCGATGGTGCATTGATCATTGATCAATAAGTAGTATGATCTTTGGGTTACTTGATGGGGGTATGCTGTGGGTTTGGGATCAGTTTATGAGTATGCTTCTCTCAGATATTATATGATAGATAGTATAGTATATCTACTATGCAAGCATCTTTCAATAATACACCAACAACAACACATCTACTGTAGTATCGGGCTTGCTATGCAAAAATATCTCCCCCCTCCGGTCCATTCCTCGCCTTCTCCATCCTCTCCACACTCGTCTTAAACAACCTTGGCATCCCCGTCTCCTCGAACTTCTTCCCCGACTGGATCATCTCCGCCAGTCCCTTAGCGGACAGCAGAATCACCGGCATTCCATGTCCATTAAACCCAGCACAGACATACTGCCCGGGTTTATTGGGAACTTCACCGATGTGCGGATGCGAGTCGGATGAGTAGCCCATAACTATCATCAAATCAGTACGAGCCATTCCCCAATCTAAATAGAAGATACAAAGGAGACTGAAAAAGAATAGTAATACTCACCACCCGTCCAAATCTCCTTCACATACGCCCCACTATCCTCCCACCCCCTAAACGTCCGCTGCATATACCCATCATAGTAACTCTTTGCAGACTCAATCAACGTCGTGTCATCCACAACACCATACCACTCCTCCCGCTTGTCTTTGAATGTCGCTTGCGCACCACCCACAATAATACTGCCATCCGGTCTGGAAATTAAATAGCTGCCCCCGCCGACAACGTCAGATCCGTACCCGATTGCATACGAGTAGGGGAGGAACGGCGCGGGTTTCTTGCCCTCTCCCTCGGGGACTGTAATATGGCAGCATATTCCCTTGCAGGGAATAATATTGGCCGAGTACTCGGGGAGTAAGCCGGCCGTGTAGGCGTTCGTCGCGTAGACGATCTTGCGGGCGCGGAGAGAGCCGCGGAGAGTGGAGATTATGTTGATGTTGTCTTCTGAGGTGATGGATGTCACAGGGGTGTAAGTTTGGACGTTCAATTGTGGGGATTTTATGATTTTGCTCAGTAGGCCGAGGATGAATTTGTAGGGCCAGAGAGTGCCCGATGTGTAGGAGATGCAGGCTTTGGCGTTATGGGCGCCTGATATCTGTGCCTTCATTAGTATTCTCTTCTTTATCGTCGTCTGGGAGATGTAAATGTATAATGAAAGAGGATATTTACTCACCACCTCCGCATCCCTTTTCCCCGTATAATGCAAATCCTCGGCCAGCTTGACCCCCCTCGCCTGCAACATCTCATACGCAAGCTTGGCTTTCTCCGCCGACTCTTCATCCAAATACACATTCATATTCCGGGTAATGTTCAAATCGCAATCGATATTCTCCTCGCGAAGAAGATCTTTTAACGCCTGGATATGCGCGTATTCAAATTCCGCGATCTCCAGACCCGCTTCTAGTCCGGAGCGCTCGATGTAGGTTGGGATGTGGCCGTAGATATCCGGGCGGAGGTGGCCGCCTTCACTTTCACGGTTAACATGGTGTTCTAACTAAAATATGGCACGTTCAGACATGAACAGGGAATATACCATTTCGACCTGTCGCGCCCGAGCAAATCTGTCTCGCTTCGAGGAGCGTAATACTGGTAGACTTGTCCCCCTGCTCAGAGAGCTGCTTGAGGAGATAGTAAGCTAGTGTGACGCCTGAGTAGCCGCCGCCGATGATTACGATGTCGCTTTGCGGGGGCAGGTCGGGGGTGCTCCGGATGTCGTCGAGCGGGTCGAGTTGGGTGCGCCAGAAGGGAGTGATGGGGTTGTCTGGGGGGAGCATGGTGTTGGTTGCTGTGTTGGAGCCCATGGTGATGTGTTTACAGTGGTATTCGAATAAGATGTGTGAGTCTGAGAGATGTTTACTACAATCATGTTCAGTCGGCTCTCACCGCAATATATACATGAGTCGATCGCCCAACGTTTTAGCCGTTTATCCCGCCCCAACATAGATGGGGTCGATAGGTGGATAACGGCCTAGCCCCGATCTTATCTGCTTTATCTTCGGAGTCCGGCTTGGGATCCAATAGTTGGGGTGACTATCGGCCGTTGTCGGAGTTGTGTGGAGGTGTAGTTTGAAAAGCGTGAGCTCTAATTAATAGTATGTGGTTCTATGTGGGCGATAGTCTTCTAGAAGGCGGGATATAATCGGGAGAAGTTTTACGAATACCAACTGCTGGACATGGTTCTGGAAGAGCGGGCTGAGAACCATGTCTATTACGCCAAGCTGGCCACTAAGAAGCTCTCCCCTGTTAAATGCCCGTCTATCATAAGGCTTGCCTTGTATCAGCCACCCACGTCTTATCAGGCGTCACTTTCGATGAAACCTCATTATCATGATGCACTCCGGCTTATCAATTCCATCATCTGCAGAATGGACGAATGCGGGGGCTGTTGATAATCTGATAAACTACACCTGGCCTGAGCTTAAGCCTTACGGAACTCTCCCATTGATTTCATTCTATGAATAGTACTACTACTACTACTAGGTATCATGTCAGAGTAAGATGTAAATATATTCACTTTCCCGGTAGTATTGCAACAACTGTAACTTACCACTGGTAGTAGCTAGTATTGTGTGGGAGATTCCGGCTAAGAAGACAGATTGGGCCGCAATCAAATATAGTACGAGTTGATACATCAATAACACCTGGCAAATACTTAAAGGACAATGTGTTGCTCTTAGCTCTGCTGAGTACAAAGAAGCATCTTCAGCTGGAGCTCCCCAATCGGGTAATTTTCTTCAAGTGGAGCCTTACTCAGCCAAACCGGATCAGGCAAGTCACCATACCGGAAATAGCTACGCACCCAGTGACCACCGCCCTCATCCAGCCTAGCGCGCGACATCATTTCGATCGGTCGCAGCTCAAAGACTCACTTCCCATGCCCGACCACCGCAGGGGCATCGCATCGCATCTCAACACCTCCCAGCAATGATTACGCCCGTTTGAACTCATCCGAACGAAAGAACTATCGCCGATATTCTCTACATGCTCGAGTCTACCACGCCGTGCGCTTTCCGCTACAATGACCGACTATTCTAAATGGAAGGTGACCGATCTTAAAGCCGAGCTGAAGCGGCGCGGCATCGCGCAGACCGGTCTCCGCGTGAAACAACAGATTATTGACCGATTGGTGGAGGAAGATGCTCGCGATGAGAAGGATGCTGTTGCAAACGGAGAGCCGGCCGCCGAACAGGATGTTGCGCCGCAGGAAGCGCAGCCCGTTGACGCGGAACAGCCTGTGCCAGAGCCAGAGCCAGCCGCGGATGCGCCAGCTCAACCCGAGGCTACTGAGTCTGAGGTGATTAACAAACAGACAGAGGAGCCGGCACAGGAACAGGAACAACAACAGGCACAAGCGGAGGAACAGGGTGACGCGGCTCCTGAGTCAAAGCCTCAGCCGGTTACTGACGAAGCGCCTGCCGAACAAGCTGCTAAGCAAGGACAGCAACAGGAACAGCCACAGCAACCGGTCCAGGAATCACCGAAACCAGAGGAACCAGCTCAACCCACCGATACTACTACTGTTGACCAACCCGCCGATACTTCCATCCCGCAAGACCAGACCGAGAATGACACCGCTGCAGCACCGGTAGAGCAGGCTCCTGGAGAAGCAGCACCGGAACAGTCTGAGGACATGGAGCCAAAACCTGCAGAACCAGCCGCATCTGGTGAGACCGCTGCGCCGCCCGCGGCAGTCCCCTCGGAGATGAACACCGGGTTGTCGACACCCCTGCCTACAGAAGAAATGCTGGAGGACAGACGCAAGAGGAAGCGTCGCAGTCAGAGTCCTGTGCCAACACCGGAAGCGCTTGCAAGTAAAAAGGCCAAAGCCCTAGATGAGACACCCCGTGTCGTCTTGCCAGAGGACCGGGCTGCGGTGGACAAAGAACACGAGTCACGGCCGGACGAAGCTCTTTCCGGTCCGCAAGGAACCCCTGAAGAACGCGCGGGGCGCGAGGCCGCGCAGGAGGAAGCCCCGCCTGTGCAAGATGAAACATCCAAGAAAGGCGCCCCCCTGAAACATGACGTTCGCTTCAAGGGGCTCTTTGCTGCCAAGGAGACGGAACAGACTCGCCCCGTCTCCCCTCCACCGGCGGATGCGGTTATGGAAGATGCCGACGTCGAGCCTGCTGTGCATGCTGCCACAGCAGCTCTCTATGTCGGCGGACTGATGCGTCCTCTCCAGCCGGTCGCACTCAAGAACCACCTTGTCAGTCTCGCGTCCCCTCCGGATGCCTCACCCAACCCGGATGTGGTCGTAGACTTTTACCTGGACCCCATCAAGACACATTGCTTTGCTAGCTTTAGGTCTGTCTCGGCAGCGTCGCGCGTCCGCACCGCCCTCCATGGTACAGTATGGCCCAACGAACGCAACCGCAAGACTCTATTCGTGGACTTTATTCCCGAAGACAAGTTGTCCCTCTGGATTGAGAAGGAAGAAGGATCGCGACAGCGTGGTGGCCCTCCGGCGCGCTGGGAAGTGCGATATGAGCCAACTGATGATGGGGTAGAGGCTGTTCTCGAGGAGGTTGATCCCCGAAGCGCTTCATCTCAGCATATGCGTGCACCTGACGCCTCAGGATTCTCTCGTCCGCCGCCTACCGGGCCACGGGCGGAACTGGGCGCTCCTCGACGTCCCAGTGGCCCAGTCACGGCAGACTCGAGTTCACGACCTGGGCAAGGATTCAAGCCACTGGATGAACTTTTCATGTCTACTACTACGAAGCCAAAGCTCTACTACCTACCGGTTCCTCGGGAAGTGGCCGACCGGCGTTTGGATCGGTTTGACGACTTGCTACGGAAGGGAGAGTTTCCCCGACGAGGAGGGGACGAGCGCCGTCGCATCACCTTCGAGGATGAAGATTTCTTCGTCGATAATGGACCGGACTTTGGTGGTGGGCGCAACCGACGAGGCCGAGGCCGCGGTGGTCGCGGACGTGGAGGATTCGGAGATTCGTGGAGAGACGACCGACGTAGTCGGTATTGAAATGAACAGATATACCCCTGATGATATACTATGGGACTGCCACGGTTTGGGATTAGGTGCTTTGTGTAATTGCAATTTCCTGTACAGTAGGCGAATGCCAAGATGGCGCGGGGGACGAGCAAAAAAAGAATAAAAAAAAATATGATCTACGGACAAGAAGTGATTTTATTTGAGCCAAGATGGCGAGGTGTATACTAGGTTGGGTAAGTGTTCCGGGAGACGAATCAACGAATACCATCAGGATTTATTTTTATTCGGGGAGTCTCTGTTGGCGTGGATGTGTTTTAGGTGGATAAGTTGGAACATCAGAATCATGCAGTCAGAACCGCTCACTACTTTCACTTGTTTAAAATTGCGGTGGCGCAGCGACCCTCCGCCATTGCGATGCGCGGCAGATGCACCGAAGGTGATTGATTGGCACAGGAACAGTCCTCTGTAGTAACAAGAATCCATCGTAAGAACCGCATCTGACTTAAGAATAAATGTGGCTGCCTTGCCGGTTCGGCCTCATTCTCCTCCTACCAAGACTTTTTCTCTGGCATTACTCCACGATCTATTGTTTTGGATAACAAAGGACCAAGAAACCCGACCGGTCCTTCACGGTTACACCTTATATGATTATTTGTTCCTAATTCCGATTTCCATGCCTGACGTGCAACGACGACGTACCTCCCGACTTGCTCCACTTCATTAACCCAACTGCACTAATTAGTCTCCGTCATTCCAACTCTCTCTCATCCGCCAGTCGCTTGCAAATCCCGCCTGGTTGTCTTCCCTGCCAGCGCATCCCGAAGCATCGCCAGGGCAATCGGTCCGTATTGACTTCGCAGGATCACTTTCGCCAGTGACCCGACCGGCCTCCCGAGTCGAAAAAGAGGCACAACAACGTGACAAAAGCTTAAACTTGGGTGGCTCCCAGGGGTTCATGGGGGGCCAAGCCCGGCTGTGCGGATAAGATATCTTAAGAAAAGCGACGGGCTGGCGTCCATCACGACGATCCTCTTTCTTCTCCCTCTTCTCGCTTTCGCAACCCGTCTCTTTTCCTTTCCTTTCCTTCCTTGCACCCCCAAAGGCTGTTCATCCTTGCAGTCTCCTCTCCCTACCTGCAAGAATGGGCTGGCCAGTGTGCAATTCGACTGTGGAAGACGAAACCAGTAGGCAAACCCCCCTCTGCGCCTTGTTGATTGCGACTCGGTTTTGTGTCATTGAATTGGGCTGACGCGGACTTTGACAGTCACGGAGGTTGACCTCTGGGATGGCGGCATCACCTTCCACCAACTCTGCCTGATCATGGGTGGGGCTTTTGGTCTCATGGCTATACTTGTTTCCTTCTACCTGATTGGAATGCACGCTACACATTACAGCAAAAAGATAGAGCAACGGCAGTATGATTTCTCCTCACTCACTGGCACTTAGTCTCTTGCTGATAGCTGACTTTCGCTTCCCTTCACTAGTATCATTCGAATCCTGCTTATGGTCCCCGTTTATTCCGTCGTCGCATGGCTCGGTACCTACTTCTACAAGAACGATGTCTACTATGATTTGATCGGCAACTGTTATGAAGCGTTTGCGATTTCGGCTTTCTTCTCTCTTATGTGCGCATACATTGCGCCCGACTTGCATAGCCAGAAAGAATACTTCCGTGGAGTCGAACCCAAACCGTGGGTCTGGCCGATCCCGTGGCTTCAGAAGTGTACGGGTGGAGAGAAGGGCATTTGGAGGACACCGCGCAGTGGTCTGACATGGTTCAACGTGAGTGCCGACAAGCCAGGATTTGCGCGATACAAGTTGTGCTAACATGGGCGCTAGGTCATCTGGGTGGGCGTTTTTCAATACTGCCTCCTCCGAGTCTTGATGACTATCATCGCGGTCGTCACGCAAAAGTTTAACCTGTACTGCGAGGAATCCCTCAACCCGGCGTTTTCGCATATCTGGGTATGTGCTGTGCGACTCTGTTATGGAACTCTGCTAACATGCAATAGGTTCTCCTCATTGAATGTATTGCAGTCTCCATCGCCATGTACTGTCTGATCCAGTTCTACATTCAGATCAAAGACGACATCAGCCAGTATCAGCCATTCTTGAAGATTTTGTCAATCAAGTTGGTCATTTTCCTGTCCTTCTGGCAATCGGTAAGCGCAGCATTTTGCCCGCATGTCCATTCCAGTCGTCTAACCCATTTCTAGACTTTGATCTCCTTCCTCACCTCAGCCGGAGCGATCAAAACCACCTCTAAAATACAGAGTCCCGATCTCAAAGTTGGACTGCCGAACCTACTCATCAATATTGAGATGGCCTTCTTTGCCGTCCTTCACCTGTGGGCATTTTCCTGGAAACAGTATTCGCTCAAGAACCAGCCGTCCGAGATCACCGACTTCTACGGCAACGGCAAAGGCAGCTATGAGGGCGGTCCCTTCGGCGTTAAAGGCATACTCGACGCCTTGAACCCAATGGACCTCATCAGAGCGATTGGTCGCAGTTTCCGCTGGCTCTTCGTCGGCCGGAAGAGACGCACGATGGATCCCAGCTACCACCAAACCGCAAATGACGCCTTCAACATGAACGCTACCGAGAGCGGTATCGATTCCCACGGCACCGAATACGGCGGCGCAGGCGTAATGATGGCCGGTGGACGCTACAGTCCCCCCGGCGAAGAAGGACAGGTCCTCTTGTCGCACGCTCAGCCAAGCCCCGGGGGTCCCCCGCCTCCGATCGACGACGAAACGGACCCGAACCGCTTCTACAACCATAACCGACTCAGCGCAGCCTCCCTCCTGGAGCCAACAGCCACGCATACTGCCCGGCCGTACTCCCCTTACGAGGAGGACGCATACAACCCCTACCTCGTGAACTCCCACCTGGAACAGGACCACTACCACGAGCCCGTCCACGCCAATCCACCTTATCCAGACCACCCTTCCGACATCAACAATCCCTACCACCCCACCACAACGCTGCAAGAACAGCCTCCCATTCCTCTCCCGGAATCCTACCAACCCCCTCCCCCGAACTACGACAGTGACCACCAGCAACAACAACAACGAAGGTAAAGCGACGAGATTTGATTTCGACGAGCAACAAAAGAAACTCCGTTAACTGCGGAGTATGATGACCCATTTAAGTCTTCATGCATGTTCTTTCACTTTCTTGCGCGTTCCTCATCCTCCCTACTGGGTAAGAATTGAGAGCGCCACGGCTTGCTATCTAGCTAGCCGTGTTTATCTTTGTCTCTTGGCGTTGGCTTACTTTTATTCCCTGCCTGTCTGTTCTATGCATCTGTCGTATAATACCCTCTGAATTTCTGGGCTGCCTTTCTTGTGTTTGATTTATTCTAGCTATATGATATCACGGTATGAAGATTGAGGTTTTGATGAGACCGGATTGACTTACTTACCTGGGAGACTTTTCTCTTGGTTGAGGGAGGTTGTTTATATATGATATCACTCCCCCTCGTCTTCCTTTTTTTTTTTTTTTTTTTTTTTTTTTTTTTTTTTTTTTTTTTTTTTTTTTTTTTTTTTTTTTTTTTTTTGTTTTCTTTCTTCATCATACTTTCTTGCTATATTTCTGTCTTTTTTGCGAAGATAGAGATTACATATTAGATACTTTCGTTGTACAATATTATATTTACATTAGAGATATATATACCTTTGCGGCTGTGATTTGATTGACATTGACTGCATTATAGTGGTAATAGTAATAAGTTATATATGTTTACGATCTCGGTAGTGGTACAAGTCTACATATACATACTTGTAAGTATAGCAGTCAGGGTATGATCATGCATTCATGGTTCGTTAAGACTCCTATCAGCTACTAATGTTGATTAACTCCATCTCACACCACATACCTCACTCCTATCCATGACTCACCCCATCCCCAGTCGAAAAAGGTTCAGTGAACCGATTCTGCCAAGATAATTGTTGCGTTTTCCGCGACATCATCGTCCGTCTGACACTGTTCATCAGCGCAGTTCGTTTCCCGAGCTCGCGCATCGCGCTGATGCTCTGGCCGAGTTGTCCTAATAGGGAGACGAGGTGGACGTCGTTGCTCTGGGCGATGGCTTCGGCTGTGAAGGCGCTTTGTTCATCAGGGGTGAGGAGGGAGAGGTGCGAGAGGAGGGCGTTGATGTTGCGGAGGATGGGGTGGGAGAGGGTTGTTGTTGAGTTGGGGGTTTCTGGGTCGGAGGTGGAGATGCTCGCGACGTAGGATTTGATGAGGGAGATACGGGATTCGAGGGTCTTGATGGCGTTGAGGCGGGTGGTGAGGCTGGCGATTACTGTGTGGGGTAGTTTTGGTTAGTGATGGACTTTTGGTTTTAGGTATGGGGGTGGTGGGGTGCTTACGTTCTTCTTCCTCGGGGGAGAGCACTTCTGACTGATCCTTGCTGGGTTCTTTGCCGGCTGATTGTTTTGTGAGAGAGGCCGTGCCTTGTGTGTCTGCGGCGGCGTTTCTGGCTGTCCTTGCTACTGTGTCGACGCCAATCATCTCGGCTTCCCCCGTTTCGACGGAGTAGGGCAGTTCTCGGAAGCGAATCGTTAGGGATTGTTCCTCTCCATCAACCTGCATTGTCTTGCTGTTCTCTGTCGCATTTTCGCCCTCGTATACGCTTTCGTAGATTGTCACGGGGAGCTTGCCGCCGTTGGAGGATGCGTCTTGTACCAGGGACGGGTGGAACGCGAGGAACACGGCGGACTCGTTGTGGTTGTGGAGAATCTGGCGATGGATTGGGAGGTGGACGGTGTTGGGGCCGGACGGGGGAGCAGTTGACCACCAGCCGACAAGGTCAAGGGCAGGAGCTTTGTGTACATCTTTGACTTGGAGGGGGTCAGCGCCCAGATGCATGTAGATGGTTGAGATACAGGTGGACGGGACTTACATTGCTTGACTCTCTCTACGAACCAGTCCTGCGGAATCTGCAGATCTCCATTGGGGCCCTCGTTCACAATACACTCAAAGACGTGTTCCAAGGTGATTTCGCGTCCGTTCTGCTGGCCTAGAAGCGCTCCCACTATAGGTCCTTGCTGAGAGCGGGCGGCATGGCGGGTGATGTGGTCTGAGATGGTCAGGAGGATCAGAGGGTGGAGCTGGATATGGAGGCCGGAGTCGGAGTTCTTCGGAGATAAGAGGGATTCCGGCTGATCAGACATGATGAACAATATGTCCTTGAAGGAGGAGATGGTATACCGAAGTGAAATGATAGGAGGAAGCAGTGATGGTCTGGAACTTATCGTCGGGGAGACTGGCGGAGATGTCATCGGTGTTTGTCCCGTTTGCAACCAGCTTTCCCCGCCGCCGAGGATAAGAAAGCCGTTCCTGACTTGCCTTCGTCGTCTCTCACTTCCCCACGGATCGCATCATCGTGGATCTGTCTGGAATCAACATGGCTGTCCCATCTACTTACGATGAGGTCCGCCAGCACCTGGAACAGGTGCAGCGCGAGCCCTCCACTCCTCTGGATACAACTCTCCTAGACAAGTTGAAGCTCGAGCTTACCGAGAACGTCGATCGCAGAGTCCCCGCCACCCTTTTGATCCAGATATCGCAGCTTCTCCCCGTCCTGCAGGAGGACCCGACTCCTCTTACCGCCCTTGGAGTCAAGGCTACTACGTATCTCAGCTTCGCTGACCTTCACTCCGTCGATCCTCCGATCAATTTCATTGCCGGTTTCAAGGCCCCATCGGAACCCATCAACCTATTGGCTCTGTCATTGCTGCGCAAAGCAGGTCATGTCGCTAGTGATGCTGCCATCGTTGCCGGCGATCCGGAATTGGTCTCGTCTCTGGTGGAGCTGTGGCTTTCGACCTCTTCCACAGCGGTAGCACAGGCGGCATTTGACACAATTTGGGAGCTGTTGGAGGTTGACTCGGCCAGTCCGCTCGAGAATAGTGGGCATGAGGGAGAGGAGGCCACCGGTGGACAAGGGCTCGTTTGGAGGCGAATTTTCACGGACAAGGATGTTTATGGACTGCTATTTTCCCTCTGCAGTCTCAAGGAGAATGGATCCGGAAGTCTGTCCAAGCGCGACAAGACTGTAGCCCAGGGACGGTTGATGGGACTGCTTGTGAAGGCGGGTCGACTGCATTGGGATATTATTTCGAAGCCACAAGTGCCAGAAGTTGAGAGGAAATACCAGAGCAATGGCCTTCTCCATTTCGCTGCCTGCCATATGGTCGACAAGGATGATGTGCTCATGCATATGACTTTGATTAACTTCTTTCATGATCTCCTGGAAATTGATGCGCCTGGTCTCATCGCGCGGACCATTGTGCAGTCAGCGTCCACCTTCTCCTCTCCCGCCCTGGATTTCCTTATTTCGCATAAAATCCACAGTACGCTATTGGAGTATTACTTGGATGAGTCAAAGCTGGACGCGGTGGACCTGGCTTACCTGTGCGGACCTATCATGACTTACGTTGCGCAGTATGCTGAGCTGTATCCCAACCACTTCCTGCAAAACCCACAGTATCTGCTGGACCGGATACTATCTCGCATTGCTGCTTCGGTGGCGGTTTCATCTTCCCAATGGGCGCATGGTCCAGTTCCTAGCGGGCAGTTGAACGTACTCTCCTGTCTGCCCCGAGTGTTGCTCGTGGAAGCCAGCAAGCAGGGATTGAACCCTGTACTGGCCTTGCCAACCAGTCCTCCCAACAAAGAGGCTTTGGACGTGCTGGCTAAGATCCTCCATGGCCCAGTTAAGCAAGACCTTACAGACTCGATGGAGTTGAATGCATCTGGCCAGATGCCGACAGACTGGCACAAAGAGGCTGCGGCCGCCCGCGCGCTGTACTTCATGTACACCAATCATCATGCTAACTTCTGGACTGATGTCGTTGCGACGGCGGATATTCTCGCTATGAAGGATGTCTCGTTGGCATCGATATCGCTCATGAAATCCCTCATCACTGCAAACTGGCAGATCTTGACGGGCGAAGTCACCTCGTCTGTTCCTGGGACTTCCCGGTACCAGCTTCCCACCGAACAAGCTTTGGAGAGTTTGTCTCCGGCTACACAAGGTGTTCTTCCATCATCGGGTGCATGGGCAGCGCTTACGCCTCCAGCCCTGACTATTCTCTTGCCATATCTGTTCAAGCCTCCTCGCTCATATGCCGAATTTGTTGGGGGCGGAGCAGGTGATTCCCAGCATGCAGTCTGGAAAGTGGCGACGGCGAAGCACGAGGTCTTGGTGGCGCTGTATGACTGTCTCAAGGAGAACGGTGGACAAATGGAAGGATTCGAGGATATCATGCGTACTCTCCGGCAACGGGTGAACGAGGGGCCATGGGGGCCTGTATCCCAGACTACAAACCAGGTTGCCACTATTGGCCTATAAGGCTAGCGCTGCGGACATGCCCACCTCACTGGACGATTTACGATTATGCCATTAGATACCTGTACTTTTCATCCTTCAGACGTTCAGCAATGAGCAAATAATTTTAACATCAGTAATAAATCCTACATACTAGGTAGTAGTACTATTTAGTAGAATAACTTATCACCATACGCCCTCTGATTGGCCCATCCCAGCCATCCCAGGGTTCCCGCCCCGGTACCCTAATTACCCAATTCGCGCAGATCTCCGCAGGCGGTGAGCCAAATGCAAGCTCGGCCGGAACTTTTTTCTCAGCCATTGGATCATGGCGCTGTGAACGCCCGCCAGCGCTTCGGCCTTTTCCTTCCTGGACATTAACAATCTGGCCCCAACGGAGCCATCCTCAACCTATTGACAAAAAGGGGCACATTTGCAGTGAATATTATCACCGCCCGGCATGTCCCGATTCGGCGCAAAGAAAGGCAGAAAGCTCCCCGGAGCCGAATTCACTTGGGAGGCAGATCCCAGCGGAGAACCTGATACGGCGCCGACGCCTTTGTTCCCGGTATGTTTTGGGCTGATGTGATGTGATGTGATATATTTGCTTCTTTGTCCGTTTGCTTTTGTGACACGGTATTTTCTTCGTTGCTGTTGCGTCTACCAGCGTCGTTTACATCACCCTGTTGCTATAGCATTCTGGCTTGCTGTTACTTCTTCTACAATAAGAGAAAGGGATAGGTTCTAATCATGCCTCTCTACAACCAGAAATACACCGTCCCCCGCGCCAGACCTCTCACTTCGCAGGAACAATTGCAGGTGGATTTCTATCGTACTCTCCGGGAACGGTTCCACGATGGCCCGTATTACTCGATTCTGGAGGGGGCGGGGTCGACGATGAAGAAGGATAGCGCGGCGCGGGTGAACTTCGATCCGTTTCATGGCATGCCTAGTTATTCGGGCAAGTATCAGAAGAAGAAGAGGGCGTTGCCGAAGTTACAGGGGAGACAGTATGGTGAGTTTGTCCATTATTCCTTCATAAATGATATAGAGAGATGTGCTAATGGGATTGTCTCTGTAGTGATGAAATTCTTCCCTCGCGAATTGTGGCAGACAATTCAGCCGACGTTCAAGCCCGATGCCGCGATGGATGGGTACGTGCCGCAGGTGGCACGGGCCGGAGTGAAGCGGGGATTCGAGGACGATGATGAAGAGGAAGATGAGGATGCGGCGAAGCGGGCGAAGGCTGGTGGTGAGGAGGGTGAGGGGGGTGAGGATGATGACGACGGGGACGGGGATATCCTGGATCCGGAGGAGGAGCAAGAAGGGGAGGAGGAGATCGAAGATGATGACTTTGAGGATGATGACGATGAGATGGGCGGGGATTATAACGCTGAGCAGTACTTTGATGGTGGTGATGATGAGTATGGGGATGATGGGTTCGGAGATGGTGGTGGTGGCGGGGAGGAGGATACTTATTAGATCGAGCTGGATTCTTGAGATACCCTTTGTTCAAAACTATTATTCTTTATCGGTTGATCTTATCAATCTAGCGATTACTTTGGTTTTTCTCCTGAGGTTGATTGGGTAAATTCACGCCATTGCCGGAGTATCTGACGGTATAATTGTCTATCTAACATTGAAGTCGCACAATAGCACATACACCAAGTCTTCTCCTCCTCATAACTACCTTAATACACTACAATCCCATCTCCAACACCAGCAATGCATACACATCCCTCTCTATCTATCCTCCAATATGCCTACCTTATCCTCTCCGATCCTCGGGATGACGTCATCCCGCTATTCGCGCCAACTGGACGATCGGATCGAACCCCTCAAGCCAAACGAGGGGAAGGAAAAAAAGAGACCCGCGAACGATAAGCCCACCCTATCCATTGGAGAACAGCACCACCACACCACACTACTACCAGGGAGAAATAGGGGGGTAGTAGATAGGCACAATGGACGGCAACCCATCAACCCCACCGCGGCGCTCAGCTCTCGTCCTCTATGGCTCCGAAACGGGCAATTCGCAAGAAGTCGCCGAGGAGCTGGGGGCGCTGGCGGAGAGGTTGCATTTCCACACGCATGTTGGGGAGATGAATGAGTATAGGCCGGTGAGTTTAGACCTTTCAAGTGGTTACGCTTAGTTATGTTTTACGTGGATTTGGATGTGAATGTGGGCGTGCAATGTATGCTGACGGGGTGTGTGACGATGTATAGGAGGTCTTGAAATCGCATACGCTCATTATATTCGTTGTCGCGACGACAGGACAGGGTGATTTCCCGGCGAATGCAAGGTCGTTTTGGCGGTCATTGTTGTTGAAGAGGCTTCCGGGGGATTTCCTGGACGGGGTTCAGTTTGCGTCGTTTGGGTTGGGTGATAGTTCTTATCCGAAGTGGGTTTTGTTCTCTCTCATACATGGATTAAATGGGAAGAAGAAACTAATTGACTGGGTGGGCAGGTTCAATTGGGCGGCGCGCAAACTGCATAAGAGGCTGTTACAGCTGGGTGCGAATGAGATATATGATGCTGGGGAGGCGGATCAGCAGCATCCGGAGGGGTGAGTTAATACTATGGTTTGCTGCTTGGCAGATGACTTTGCTAAATGAGTGTACAGGCTCGAAGGGACGTTTATTCCATGGTTGACTGGTCTGCGTACACATTTGCTCGAGACGTATCCGCTGCCTGAGGGGCTGGAGCCGATACCGGATGATGTTCAGTTGCCGCCGAAGTGGATTCTGAAGCTCCAGGAGGGGGATGCGGCGACAGCACAGGAAGGGCATGCAGTTCCTGGGACACATGAGAACCTGCCCGCGCCTGAAGAGAACCCGAAGTTGACTCGATTGGATCACGACCTGCGGCCTCTGCCTGATACCTTGACGGCAACACTTAGGGAGAATAAGCGATTGACTCCGCAGAAGCATTGGCAGGATGTGCGACATGTATCCCTTACGGTCCCTGAACATACGTCCTACGTCCCTGGGGATATGTTATGCATCACCCCCAAGAACTTCTCTGCCGACGTGGATGCTCTGATCCAAATGATGGGTTGGGAGGATAAAGCTGATCAGCTCATCTGCTTGGTTCCTAATAGCCATATCCCCGCTGATGATCTCCCTTTGCCACCTATTCGGGGTCTCGACTCCTACCCGCAATTGACACTACGGGCACTTCTTACGGACTATCTCGATATTCAGGCTATCCCGCGTAGGTCCTTCTTTGCGGAGATTGCGCATTACACGAATGATGAGATGCACAAGGAGCGTCTACTAGAGTTCACATATACCAGTCCCGAGTATCTTGACGAGCTCTGGGATTATACTACCCGTCCGAGACGAAGTATTCTGGAAGTCTTGCATGAGTTTGACACGGTCAAGGTGCCGTGGCAGCATGCTATCTCAGTTTTTCCTGTCCTCAAGGGGAGACAATTTAGCATTGCCAGTGGGGGCGAGTTGAAGAGGGGCCCTGAGGGCGGCACCAAGTTTGAACTGATGATTGCCATTGTCAAGTATCAGACCGTCATCAAGAAAATCAGACAGGGTGTATGTACACGGTATATATCTGCGCTTCGACCCGGAAGCACTCTGAAGGTACAACTGCAGCGCGGTGGACTCAATTCCTCCGTCAACCAGCTAGTTGGTCCAACCGTCCTGGTCGGCCCCGGCACCGGTCTGGCACCGCTGCGATCTATGCTCTGGGAAAAAGCAGCGATTATCAAGGCATATCAGGAGGAAAACCCCGGGGTTGAGCTCAGCATCGGACCTACGCTTCTTCTCTACGGCGGTCGCAACCGCGAGGCAGATTTCTTCTTCGAAGATGAATGGCAGCAGCTCGGCCAGTTGACCAAGTTGAATGTACTCACTGCATTCTCTCGAGATCAGAAACAAAAGGTCTACGTGCAAGATGTGATCCGGCAGAACTATGCGCTGCTGTTCAAGCTGCTGCATGACATGGCGGGGTCGGTGTATATCTGCGGTTCCTCCGGACAGATGCCCAAGGCAGTAAGGGAGGCGCTGACAGAAGCATTCCAGCACGGCGCAGAGGTGGAAACCGATCGATTCAACGAACAAGGGGCCGAGCAGTATCTGCTTGGCATGGAGAAGACGGGACGGTATAAGCAGGAAACTTGGTGATCCGCCACTAAGAGGTACCGTCACATGTGAAGCGGTTATACAAAGTACCATCAATGCCTATAGATAGAGCGATGGCATGTCTGCCATATCCGACACCACACGGATAGAGTAAAACGAGCACAATATACCCACATACTCAATAGAACCAACGCACCCTATGAGGTCATTCTAATATTCTAATGCCTTTTTACCCCACTAAACCTGCCAATCTGTCGTACAAAGTCCCATCATAGAAGAGGCTAACCTCGGCTGGCGGCGGAAGAGCAGCAAGTGTGGATGGGATCTCGGCCCGCCTCGGGGGACTCTCCGCCCAGGTCACCTGTTTTCTGCCGCGGAAGGGCAGCTGCTGCTCCGACGGATCGGTGTCTCTCTACTCTTCCCTCAAAACGGCTTCTTGCTCGCCTTAAGAGTCGACGCCCCCTCACTGTCTCTTCCCCTCCATTGCCCCTTCTCTTTTGAAGTCCCTCTACCATATAATTTTGTCATCATGAGCGGCTTGCGAATTCTTGTTCCCGTGAAGCGGGTTATCGACTATGCGGTAAGTTTTGGTTTTTGTCGCCTCGTGCTCCTCCTGCTCCGTTCTCGGTGAAGAGTCACATCTCCGAGAGCAAAGTTGCCCGCACGCGCGGTTTGCAATTGTGCTCCGTCGGCACCAACACCTACATTCACCGCACTATTATGATACTATAGCGTATTATAGCAATATTGAGCGTCACTGATAATGATAGGTCAAACCCCGCGTCAACAAGGCCAACACCGGCGTCGAAACCGCCGGTGTCAAGCACTCCCTGAACCCGTTCGATGAACTCTCCGTCGAAGAAGCCATCCGCCTGCGCGAACGCGGCGCCAAGAACCAGAGCCCCATGAAGGTCGAAAACATCCTCGCCCTCTCCGCTGGCGGAGCCAAGTGCGCCGATACCCTCCGCACCGCTATGGCCATGGGTGCCGACCGCGCATTCCACGTCGACGTCGGCGAGAGCCCCGATGGAGGTCCCGAGCCCCTGACGATCGCCAAGATGCTGCAGGGTGTGGTCAAGTCTGAGAACATTAACCTGGTGCTGCTGGGTAAGCAGGCGATCGATGGCGACCAGGGCCAGACCGGTCAGATGCTGGCAGGTCTGTTGGGATGGCCGCAGGCGACGCAGGCGAGCAAGGTCGATATCAAGGATGCGGATGGTACGGTGGAGGTGACGCATGAGGTGGATGGTGGTGTTGAGACACTGCGGGCTAAGTTGCCTATGGTCATTACTACGGATTTGCGGTTGAATGAGCCCCGCTATGCTACGCTGCCGAACATCATGAAGGCTAAGAAGAAGCCTTTGGAGAAGAAAACGTTGGCGGATTTCGGTGTTGAGGATAAGAAGCGCTTGAAAACTCTGAAGGTTACTGGTAAGTTCACTTCCCTGCGCTGCACCCCCTCGGTGTTATTACAAACTAACCTGTTCCAGAACCCCCCGCTCGCCAGGGCGGTGGCAAGGTCGAGGATGTCGACGGCTTGATCGGCAAGCTGAAGGAGCTGGGTGCCCTGTAAATGTGGAGTAGGGCAGATGATTGGATACAATAGGTATACCTTTGTGTGTATGTTTACGACTAGACTCGCGTCCAGTGTCAGCTGAACCGGCTGGACCTTATTTCTCAATTTTTATCACCCGCGAACCATGACCCCGACGTGTTGTCTGGCTCCTGTGTATTTACTTATGCTTAACTCTATCTTTGGCTGGCTATACCTGCTGCAGCGGGTCGACCGCACGAATCACTCATCGGGACAGGAGCAATTGCCTGTTAGAGTAGGAGAGTTCTCGACGAAGTACTATCTAGCTAGCTAGACAGCTGAACAGCTGAACTCGGGAGTTCATCCGGCAACTGAGTAGACTAGCAAATTGTCTCCAATATGACACATGTCTATCCCCCTGTCACGCTGACATATACCCACATGCACTAATAACAGCTAGTCGATTATATCCGTACGGGGATCCCGATCCGCTAGATGGCAACCAGTAGTCCAGCGTGGGACCCGGGCACCGGGAACCAGCCGGTCATCGAATCGGGATCTCGATGAAGGCAGATGATGGCTGGTCAGTACGGGAGTAGCATAGGAGGATGGTTAGTAGTAACTGCATGCACTAGGATGAGTACTAGTTTGATTGAACTAAGCTGGATGGAGATATATTGTTGGATGTATACCATTTGTATAGATATACTATCTACCAGTAGATGAGTAGTAGGCGGAAGGGAAGGGAATAAGGTGGAATTTATTGATAATAGGAATTAGTAGTAGTTACTAGTATATTGTTTGTTAGTAGGAGTTTAGTTTGATGTGAGGTTGTTCTAACTCTCAGGTTTATATGTATTTACTAGTTATATTGAATCCAGATCCCATACTACACGTACTCACCCACACATGGAACTCTAGATATAGTAGAATACTAGAGAAGTAGAGTTAACCTTCAATGCAGATATTCCACGAGCCAGACAAAGCAGACACACAGACACAAACCCAACTGCCGGACAGAGTGAACGGTGACACTCCCGTTCGCAGTTCGCATCAGTCAACTAACTAACTACATTCTCCGATCGATCCATCATCCCCCCCCTCCTCTCCTATTGACAGAACTCTCCCCAATCCGATACATCATATCAGGCACGGTTGGTAGCGCGAACTCCAACTCGAACTGAACTCAAAAACTCAAAAACTCAATTCATCCACGGAGCACGAATATACATCCACATCCATCTGTCTATCTAACTTTCTGATCCTTAGCTTAGCTAACGAACTGCATGATTCGCTTCTTTAGCCTATTGATCCACTAGGGCATATGACAGGAACCCCAACCATCCATCAACTAGGCTAGTGATAGTGTATAGAGTACACTAGTTAGTTAGTTTGGAAAGTCAAGCCGAAGTATGATGATCGTCGAATTGACTGGGTGATGGGTGATGGGTGAGTGTTTCGGCCGAAGTTGCCTCGTCTCGTCTAAGAATAGCCAGTAAGTAGTACGGAGTACAACACAAGGAGACAGGGATTCACCTGTGGTTCAGCTGAGGCGAGCTGAGCTAGATTGGAGTGGAGTGTTTCGAATTAGTTGCCAGGGATTATGGAATGTTCTTTTCTATTTACTTTTACTATCTATGGTTTACTATAGAGGGGAATATACTCACTCACCATCTGACTGTCCATCAACAAGAGGTAGGGATACAGAGAGACCTTTTCTTCTCTAGGTTACCTACACCCTACCCAAGTATGATAACCTTCTCTTCTCAACCGCAATAACCGCATCAATCTTCATTCCTCGTGGACCTACCTTCCTTCCCACCGATGGCATATGATATATCCAAACAAAAAGCTAAACCATAAAGCAACACGGGAAGTGAAAATTTTTTTCTCGTTCTAATGCGCACATGGTCCTGGACCAGGTCCAGGGGAGATGGAGATGAGAGGTTCGTTCGTGAGTTCTGCTCCCGTTCCGTTTCCTCGGCTCCAATGACCCGGGATGATGAAACTCTGTCTGAAGGGGTGATGGTGGGTAGGTTGGGTTGGACTGGTCAGGTTGGGCTAACTGTATTGAGTAGTAGATAATATCTTTGGTAGGTAATTAGGTAGGTAGATAGGTCTGTGGTGGTACCTTTTGTAACAAGGTACCTTTTTTTCCTTTCTTTTTCTTGGTTTCTTTGCTTGAAACAATGCAATTGAAGGGGATGATAAGTGAGCCACTTGCGTCAATTGAGTAGTATCATGTCCTGCTGGAGGTACCGGTAGGTAAGTGAGAGAGTAGGAGAGTAGGTATAGGTATAGGTATAGTAGTATCCCAAGCAACGCATCTTCCCTGTCGTTGGTGAGAAGTGGAACTAACCAGACTAGACTAGACTATTGGATCTCGATTGGGGGTGGAGAAGCAGAAGAAGGGGGGGAAAGAAAATGAAATTGGACCTGTCAGGGACAGGATATTATTTATTTTTCTACTTCCGGAGTAGTTAGCCAGCTATAGTATTTACTTCGATATTGACCTGGTGACTTGTTTACTAACTACCTACTTAGCTGCTGCTACTTACTCAAGCCTGCAGCTAGGGTTGGAGGGGATAGTGGAGAAAGGAAACATGAAACTAATGCAGAGAATTTTCTTTGCCTGGGCGACGAGAAGGAAATGAAGCGAGGGGATACACCAAGTCAATGCGAAGGGATACAATTTACCCATCCATGGATGGGGGCCAGACAGAGAGCTAGTCTAGATACTAGTTAGGTTGACGGGCTGGCTGGTTTGGGGCTGAAGGAAGAAGAAAAAAAGGCAGCACCACTGCACGTAAGCAAAACAAATTCGCGGCAGAAGAAGCGATTGGACCTGTCATATTCTTCGGGTGGGAAGTTGATACATCCCTTGTGTGGGTGTTTTTTGTGGACGCAGGGATGAAGAGGGGAAAATTCATGCGGATCTAGTGGAAGTTAATCGGAAAATGAATTTTAATTTTTTTGATTTTACTTTTATGATTTTTTCTAACAAGGAAATTGTGAGGGTGGATTCTACGTTAGCAAGAAAGCAGACTAAACTAGACAAAGATTAGCTGGGGATCTGGCTCAGGGACTCTTGGCCCCATCGCCATCTCCATCGGGTACGTAGACGATGACGCTGTCATTGGGGGTTCATGGTTGAGGATTCTTCCAGGATACTTCCACGGAAGGAAAGGCCTCATTGCGAGAACAGTAATGGACTTAACATTCAATGAATAATTGATGAGGATAGAAGAATGTAGAGCAAAATATCTGAACTTCTACATCCGAATAGCCGACGGGCAAATTATAAATGTAGAGAAATCTAATCCGATCGGCTTATCGGGCGCGGCGAAAGCGATGACGCTGATGCTGCCATGATGCCATGCATCCGGAACCAGACTGAAGGAATCACTGCCTAATCGTCTTGTACTCCCCTTCTCTCTCCTCTCACAGACTCTCTCCACTTCCTCGTCATCTTGCTGACTGACTTGACTTTCTGTACGCCTTTTCACCCGGCCGTTCCATCTCCGGCCAGCCACTTACTTCCCTCCCACTTCCCAGTCCAACCATGCCCTTCCGACCCAGCCGTGTGAGTATTCGTGCCTGGTTCGCATCCACGGCTCTCCAGACTTCTACCATTTAGTCTTGTCTTCCCCTCTCGAATCTGTGAGAGGATCCGTCCGTCTTTTCCCTTTTCTGCTTGCTTGCTTGCTTGCTTTTTCTTCCTCCTCCTCCTCCTCCTCCCCCCGATTGCATTAGCTCTCGGTCATACATCCAGCCTACATCTCTAGCACATCTGACCGACGGGTCCTACGGGTCGATCACCCCCCTCCACTCTGGGGTTACCTCTTTCCTCCTACATAAACTGTCCCTGCTCCTGCTTGCTGCGGACACGGAAATTAGCTGCTGTTTCATCTGGTCCCTTTTTTCACCTTCTCTCGGATATATTTTCAGGTTTCCTTTTCGTGGCCCTGGCGAGGCTCAGGCGGAGGTAAGCCGACCCCCGAATCCCATTTGCCCGTCCCATGGTTCCCCTCCTTCCTTTCCTCGTATGTCACCGGTTCTCCAGCTGCTCGCCACCCACTCAAGGCTCGGTCTGGAACGCACGGCTAGCACGGCGAAAAGCTCGAGGTCATCTTGGGTTTAATAATATGGCCCTCTCCTGCTTCTTCTGCATCCATACATGCAATTTTCTCTCGTCGCAGATCACTGACGTTCCGGCTACTATATAGTTGACTTGCATTCTCACTACTCTCCGGACCCGCATTCCTCGGTTGTCATCCCAACTTCTGTTGCGCCCGTTTGCTGCCTCTTATACATTCCTGGCCGCATTGGGACTTCATGTGAATTACTGGGGCCGTCTTCGTCTACAACTGCTACTGTACCCGCAATTATAGACTGCCTCATTACCCACTGCGCAGTCCTCAGGACTCCGTCCTGTGTTACTCTGCTTGGTAGGCTTGGAGACCCCACGGGATTCTGAGTCGCCACCATGCCTTCCACTCTGTGGGAGAAGACGAAAGGCACATCTAAAAAAGGATTCGATAAAGCATGGCATACGCTCGACAAGCTGGGTGATCCCGTCAACCGGCTTTCCTATAAGGTCGGCGCAGAGGCTTTCTGGCCCATGACCCTCGATAAAGAAAGCGACAAAGCGGCGCGCATTTTGCGAAGTTTCTGCAAAGATGGTTTTTATTCCAACGATGAAGCCGAACGGAAAAGCACCGACAGCTCGATCAGCAAAGAATCCGGCAAGATAGATCGCCCTAAGGGCAAGCAGCGGGTCTTGAAGAAGATCCCCGCTAGGGTTATACAGCGGGCTAAGGGTCTCGCTATCTTCACTACTATGCGCACAGGCCTCTGGGTCAGTGGCTCGGGTGGTAGTGGTGTGCTCCTGGCGCGGACCCCAGATACCAACGAATGGAGTCCGCCTTCCGGTATTATGCTTCATACGGCTGGTATCGGTTTTCTGGCGGGCGTGGATATCTATGACTGTGTGGTGGTTATCAATACCTACGAGGCCTTGGAGGCTTTCAAAAAAGTGCGATGCACCTTGGGTGGAGAAGTCAGCGCTGCAGCCGGTCCGGTTGGGATGGGCGGCGTGCTTGATTCGGAAGTACACAAGCGCCAGGCGCCCATCTGGACCTACATGAAGAGTCGTGGTCTGTATGCTGGCGTCGCAGTGGATGGTACCATTATTATTGAGCGTACCGATGAGAACGAGCGTTTCTATGGCGAGCGCATATCGGTTACTGACATTCTCGCGGGGAAGGCCAAACGGCCTCCTGCATCGATTCAAACCCTCCTCAACACCGTCAAAGCTGCCGAGGGCAACCCAACGGTGGACGAGAACTTGCTGCCACCCGGCGAAACCCCTGGGGATGTTGAGCTTGCGCCGGGACCGGGCTCGTTCGGCATTCCCGACCCGGAGGACCCTGATCCATTCGGTGTCAAGGCGCTGGAGGCGGAGGGTCTCTTCATTCGCGAAGCTGGATCAAAATCCAGACCATCGCAGGAAGCGTTTGAGTTTAAACCCGGCCCGAACAGCCCGATATTTGCGACTTTCCGACGGAGCATCGACAGCTCACCACGCAATAGCTGGCGAGCAAGTGTGCAGAGCTACGCCAGTATGGATCGAGGGACCCAAACTGATGATGGTCCTACAACTGCCCCGACCTCTATCAGTCGTGCCTCCTCCCGGAGCTACCGTGATGTATCCGACCGGGCCGAAACCAGTCCTTGGGACAACGAGGAGGGACGCTGGGAGACTGTCATCCCGGAACATGATGAATACCACGGTCGGGATGATGTTGAAGAGGACGTGGATCTGGAGGATGACGATGTGGAAATTCACGAGGTCAGCAGCGCCACTGTGTCGAAGCGCGAGAGTGCTGCCCATTCTCCTGTCCCGATTGAAGATTCCATCGCGCCTGTCGAATTCAAGCGTCACTCGCCTACCTTTACCAGGGCACGCCTTGTGACGATCCCTAAGCGGATTCCCCCGGCCCTTCCACCCCGGAACCCCCAGCGGACACCCGCTCCCGTCTCGACCTCGACCCCTAGCTCGCCCACGGCGAACCCTTACGCACACAGCCGCCGGCGTTCCGTGGCATCTAGCCCGGGACACGCCACGTATGGGTTCACAGAGATGCCTCTTTACCACAAGAGCGATTCGGAAAGTGACCTGTCCTCCGCTGGCGCTCCCGAGTCGTCCAACAAGCCGTCACCAGACCGCGAAGAGTTCCACTCGGTATCCAGTCTGCACGACTCGGACGTGGCATCCGAGAAGGAGACCGAGGCCAAGGAGGCCAAGGAGATCGAGACCGAGGAGAACCACGAGCCATCATCTGATGCGAGCACTCCCACATATGTTCACGAGTCTGACGTCTCGCCCTGGGCGAAGTCTGACACAGACCTGGCACCCACGAAGACCATCACTTCTGATGACCACGTCAAAGTTGATTCTACGGCACAGCCTCAGGCTGTGTGAGTGCTAACAGCACATTACCGCCACTTCTTGTATATATCCTTCTGGCATATTGTTATTGGGATTCATCCCGTTGCATATTGCATGTTGATTCCCACTGTGTTTCGGCTGTTTGTCTCAGAGCCATCAGCTCTTTTTGTTATGTTTTATGTTATAGTGTAATGCTAGCCTTAGCGTGCGTGGTGTTTGGATTTCAGATTGGGAATGGATACCTGGGCGTCTCGGGATGGATACTGGGACGTGGTAAGATGCTTGGAAGCGTTGATTTTGAGTTTGACAATATATCCCTATGTTTCTCTTCTCCACACCCTTTTACCGTAATTGCTAGGGCATCGTGTAGAGTGCATTGCCTTAATTAGAACCTACGAATCCTTGATTTGTATGTGACACCCGATCACCATCGAGCCACCTACATCATGGCGCGCTCTCAGATCCTCCGAACCAAAACAGTAATGTCGATCGTCCCGCCTGAACCAAGGCTGATTTTCCCTGCTGAAGCGTGTCATAAAGTGAAACATACTTTGTAGATAAACTCGGCAATTAACTGCCACTTACCCCATACATCGCTACCGGAGAGTGGAGCGAGTGCACGGCCATCAAGTGAAACTGATAACCGGCGATCCGCCGGCTTATCGGCGATGGCGTTATCAGAGGGACCTTAGTAGGTTGCACAGTTCACTAGTATTTATACTAAGTACTTCCTTCGCCTTGCTTAGTGCCCATGATTCGTCTTTTTCTTTTTCATTGGTGAATTGAACTACTCTCCTTGAGAGTTCTGTACAGGTTGAGATAGACAACCACCACCATCATGCCTTTTCCCTTTTCGTCCGCTCTTCTCGGCTATATCCTAACTACAAGCACTACTCTCACCTCCCTAGTCGCAGGACAATATTTCCCTCCGACGCCTGAGGATCTCACCGTTATTCATTCGGAGATATTCCCTGGTGCGAAGATCTCCTATAAACAAGTGAGAAATACACCACCCTTCTCCTCAATCCCAATCTAACACCCCATACTAATAATATATGACCAGCCCCTCGGCATCTGCACCACCACCCCTTCCACCCCCAGCTACTCCGGCTACATCCACCTCCCCCCACACACCCTCACCAATCTCTCCATTCCAGGAATCAGCATCTCGCAACCATACCCTATCAATACCTTTTTCTGGTACTTTCCTGCCCGCCATCACCACAACAATGATACATCCCCACTCACTATCTGGATGAACGGCGGGCCCGGCGGATCCTCCATGATTGGGCTATTCCAAGAGAACGGGCCATGTACGGTGAATACGGACTCGAATTCCACGGCCTATAATCCCTGGTCATGGAATGAGTACGTCGATATGTTGTATATTGAGCAGCCGGTGCAGACGGGGTTTAGTTATGATGTTTTGAGGAATGGGACGGTGGATTTGGTTAGTGGGGAGATAGATGTTAGTATCAGTGATGGTGAGTGGGATGGAGTAGGACAGAATGAGACGTTTTTGGTAGGGACGTTGCCGAGTCAGGATGTGCATGGGACGGTGAATGGGACGGTTAATGGGGGGAGGGCGCTTTGGGTTGCGTTGCAGGTTTGGTTGGGTGAATTTTCAGAATATGTTTCTTCTGTTGAGGGGAATGGTGGTGGTGATGACAGGGTGAGTATATGGACGGAGTCATATGGAGGACGGTATGGACCGGCATACACGGCGCTCTTTCAGGAGATGAATGAGAGGATCGAGAGTGGGGAGGTAAGTACCGGGAAGAAGATCCATTTGGATACGTTGGGCATTATCAATGGGTGTGTGGATTTACTCGTGCAGGTCCCTTCGTTCCCTGAGCAGGCGTATAACAATACGTATGGGATCGAGGGGATCAATCGCACGCTCTACGACCGGGCTATGGATAGTTGGAGCAAGCCTGGCGGATGCAGGGATTTGATCATCGAGTGTCGCGATGCTGGCGAGCTCGGAGATCCCCTCATGTACGGCGACAATGAGACAGTGAATAGCATCTGCGAGGAGGCGTCGGACTACTGTTCGCGGGAGATCAAGAGCCTGTATACGAATACCTCCGGGCGAGGATACTACGACATAGCGCATTTCACGCCGGATGCAGCTCTCGTGCCTTACTTCGTTGGGTTCTTAAATCGCCCGTGGGTGCAAAAAGCACTTGGGGTCCCGGTGAACTATACCATGTCGTCAGAGGCAGTGGGGAACAGTTTCGCCTCGACGGGCGATTATCCGCGAAATGATCCCCGCGGAATGATCGGGGATATTGGATACTTGCTTGACTCCGGTGTCAAGGTGGCTATGGTATATGGGGACCGGGACTATGCTTGTCCGTGGCGCGGCGGGGAAGATGTCAGCCTGCTGGTGGAGTATGAGGATGCGGAGAAGTTCCGTGCTGCTGGATATGCCGAAGTGCAGACGAAGTCATCCTACGTTGGGGGACTAGTAAGGCAGTATGGGAACTTCTCGTTCACGCGTGTCTTTCAGGCGGGCCATGAGGTGCCGTTTTATCAGCCCGAAACGGCGTATGAGATTTTTAATCGCGCTCAGTTTAATTGGGATATTGCGACGGGAGGCATTTCCCTGGAGCAGAATCAGAGCTATGGGACGGAGGGACCGTCGTCAACGTGGCATATTAAGAATAAAGTGCCGGAGAGCCCTGAGCCCACGTGCTATTTGTTGGCGATGGATTCAACTTGTACGGATGAGCAGAGGGAACGGGTGCTGAGTGGGGATGCGGTGGTGAGGGATTGGGTTGTCGTTGATGACATTGAGGCTGAGCTGAGGGCTCGTTCAGCGGTGTTGGTGATCAGCTGGCACAGGTCCCTTTGGGACATTGACGTTGGTTGCCGTATGTTGACAGTGTTGGTGGATGAAAGTGATATAGATGGATAAAGTTAGTGCATAAGTGCATAGCTGACTAAGTGTGAGCATCATTCATATATGGATAAGTCTGGCTAGCTCGATCCGGCAAGTGGCCGGCTGACTGCCTAAAGTGGAAGACTGGAAGCCTTCAGATTTCCATCAGTCCATCTCAATATCTCCATCTGGCTTGTCAAACTCCTATATCCACCGGCCGGACCCTTCTATTATTAACAGCGCCGCTATCACCCGGACAATCCATATGGCATCACGGGGTTGACCCCTCCATCGCGGCCATCGAACCTTCTCGAACCTTCTATTGGTCGACCGCTGCGGTCAACGTCACACGTCACCGCAGGCTCACCTGAAAGCCGCCGGCGTTGCACTATACATCAGCCCTCGTCCTCACACCTGGCTTTCTCCGCTAATCCTCCAAGTACACCATTCACTGTGCCTTGATGTCTTGAATCAACATCTATAAAAACTGCATTATCTCCCGTTCGATATAGCCTCTGATCGGATCGCGGATCGCTGAATCTTCTACGTCATTCGAGACTCTGCTCCCCTCCCCTCGATACTTCCCATCTCACACCGTGGTGTGACTCCCTCGTGGTGTGCTTATATGGTGTCTGGACTCGCCAATTAGCGCCCTGCATCACATTTCTACCACGTCTGTCGATTTCGTGACTACGGTTCCTTTGACCTATCCTCTGGCCCTCGCCAATCGACTCCACAATGGTTGCAGAAACGAAACTCTACGATGCCCTCTCGATCAGGCCCGATGCCTCGCAGGATGAGATCAAAAAAGCTTACCGTAAGGCGGCATTGAAGTACCACCCCGACAAGAACAAGGATAATCCGACCGCCTCGGAGAAGTTCAAAGGTATGTTCTGAGTCTACTTACCCCGCCCCAGCCTCCCTTTTAGGCCAGTGGTGCTAATTTTCAACAGAGGTGTCCCAGGCATACGAGGTTCTTTCCGACCCTGAGAAACGAAAAGTTTATGACCAATTCGGCCTTGAATATCTCCTTCGTGGCGGTCCCCCGCCGACCAGCGGTGGTGCTGGTGCCGACGGCCCCAACCCCTTCGAAGGTGGCATGCCCGGCGGGTTCTCATTCGGCGGCATGCCTGGTGGCGGCGGCGGCGGTACCCGGACATTCCACTTCTCTACTGGTCCCGGCGGTGGCGGTAGCGGGTTCCGGTTCAGCAATGCAGACGATATCTTCCGGAACTTTGCCAAAGGCAGCATGGGCGGTATGGGTGGTGGTATGGGCGGCGGTATGGATGACGACGATATCTTCTCAATGCTGGGAGGTGGGCTTGGCGGCGGTCGGAACTTCCGGAGTAGTCGCGGGCCTAGCGGATTCAAGCAATCGTCGCAGCGCGCGCCCACGCCCGAGCCCACGGTCATGGAGAAGGAGCTGCCGCTGACGCTGGAGGAGTTGATGCGCGGTACGACCAAGAAGGTGTCTGTGAAGAGCAAGACGTTCGATGCGAGCGGCAAGCGCACCGTGCAGGATGTGACGCTGGAAGCGAATATCAAGCCGGGTCTGCGCACCGGCTCGAAGATCAAGTACCGGGGAGTAGGCGATCAGGAGGAGGGTGGCCGACAGGACGTGCATTTGATTGTAACTGAGGTAGGTTTTTTTTTTTCCTCCATTCATATGATATTGGTAAATATACTAACGGCCAGCAGAAAGAACACCCCAACTTCAAACGCCAAGGCGACAACCTCGTGACAACAGTCGAACTCAGCCTAAAAGAAGCGCTCACCGGCTGGGAGCGCATCGTACGTACGATTGACGGCAAATCCATCCGAGTGTCCAAGCCCGGCCCGACACAGCCCGGACATGAAGAGCGGTTCCCCGGACTGGGCATGACGATCTCGAAGAAGCCCAGCGAGCGCGGCGATTTGGTGGTTCGGGTGAATGTGCGGTTCCCGGCTAGCCTGAGCGCGTCGCAGAAGGACATTCTCAAGGACGTTCTCCCGTGATTCCTTTTTCTTTTTGATACTCCTATTGTCTCTACCCTATTTCTATTCCCATTTCGTCGGTCTGTTAGCATTATGGCGTTGGGCGTGCGGCTGGTTCCGTGATGAGCGATGGATGTGATGATGACGATGCAGTAGTAGCTTGGAATAAAAGCTTATATACCTGTATGAGTGATAAATTGGTTAATGTAATGCTACCATATTAAATCCCTACAGAATACTGTTCATACCTACAAGTACACTATAATGGACACAGATAGAATAACTACCCAGCCTATCATATCATATCACATGTCCATCCGAAACAGGACCAGCTAGCTAGCTAGCTAGCTTATCGATAAGATAGCGGTCAACAACAACATCACACCTCACAGCTCCAGCTCGCTCCATCTCCGCAAGACAACCAAACCACTCACTACCAATCCATTCATTCCACCCCCCTCTTATCTCACCACCTTCCTTATCTTCCTAGCCACCACAATCGAAGAATTATTATAATAATTGAAAATGAAAACAAGAATAACCTACCTCCAACCCCCCTCCTCGCCATTCACCTCCACCCAAGCGACCCTCACCCCGTCATCACTCAAGATCAGCGATCTAGATGCTGCAAAGGAGGTCCGCGTTACGATCGATCTGAGTGAGGTGGATGATGATGAGGTATATTGCCCTTCTTTTCTTTTACTCCCTCGGTGTGGTGTAATTTAGCTAATGCATGTGAATCTCATCTATCTAGGTTCGGAGTATCTTGACCAATCTGCACGAAGTACATATCCGCTGGGCAAGGGAACAACCATATGGGATTGTTTCGCCGTTCGGGAGTAGGGTTTCGGCGGGGTTGGGGGTGGGTGTTAGTCCTCTTCAGGGTGGGGATGATGGGGATGGGGAAGGCGTATGTCGTCTCCTACGGAGGATGTTTGGCACGGGGATTGAGTGTGCTAATTACACGGTACGTTTTACATTTTCAGTTTTGGTGAGGTATGTACATGGGATGCTGATTCGGGATATATATATGTATGTAGGATTCATTCACCAGCCCTCCCGTCGTCTCTACGCGATTCGCGTCCACGTCCACGTATCAGTTCCACTCTTCCCTGCCGGAACATAATCTTGGGGAGTATATAGTGAAGAATATCTGTCGCGAGGAGGGTGCTGCGTGCGCTGCGGAATGGGGTGCCGCTGATAGCATCGACGTTGATTATGATGCTGTGTCGCGGGCGCTAGTGGTCTCCGGGTACTGGGGCCAGCCTGTTACTCCGGAGGGATGGACCGAGGAGATTCGTGCGCCGGGGAGGGATCGTGATCGCGTGGAGGTCGGGTTGTTGGGGACGGAGAAGGCGGTCGAGGCGGAGGATATCAAGGTTGGTGGGTTGTTGGGTGTTGTGGGTGTTGATAAGGAGTTGAGTATGTTTTCCCTTTCCTCTATTTGTTCGGTTGAGGAGATAGTGGTGTGCTAACTGCTCAGAACCAACGCTATTCTCCTTCCCCTCCAGACACCATGTCCTCCCTCGCGAGGCGACTTTCGACGTCTCCTTCCCCCGTCCGACGGGCACGCATCCAACCATGACCATTTCCCTGTCCCCGGCTGCGCTGGAGTACCCCGCTGCGCCGGAGGACACGACCTGTGCGCTGCATGCGTATCTGACGCTGCCGTCGTATATCTTCGGGGACAAGTACCAGCTGAGCACGGATGATCCGCTGTTCCTGGAGTCGCATCATCTGGTGGCGTTGCGGGCAGTGAGCGGGGCAACGGACCTGGAGGCGCCGGATTGGTTTGTCCCGCACTGGGGCTCGAATTGGCTGCTCGAGCTGGCGACGCCGTCTGCTGGCCAGGTGCCAGAGGAGTGGAACGTCACGGTGCCGCTGCATCTGCGGTACCTGCGGCCGTCGGAGAGTGGGTACCGCTCCGCGGGGGTGCCGTGGCCGGTGGTCTTCTGGGCTTGCACGGCGGAAGAGGGCACGAAGATGGGCACGAACCCGTTCGATCGCGTGAACCTCGGCTGGGATGGGATGTTTGGCCCACGGACGATGTTCTACCAGGTGCATCCTAGTGGAGAGAAGACCCGACATGTCGAAGACTTGAATGTCCCGGTGCTCCGGTTAGAGGAGCGCGGATTCTTCAGTAGCAAGACGGTGGAGCTGGGCACGATGGCAGCGATCGTCCTGGGATTGCTGTGGGTACTGTGGAAGCTGGGTAGTGTTGCGCGGTCTTCCGGACAGAAGAAGAGCGACAAGGAGAAGAAGTCGCAGTAACCCACCTCTCCAGCTCCAAAGAATGTGTTTAGCGTCGAACCTCCACATTATACATCAGTGTACATAAACCGCTCCATATCGAAACTGCCCAAACTAGGAATATCAATCAGCAGATCACTCAACCACGAGAACCCTGGATAATCAGCCAGCGAATGATGCGGCTCCGTAGAACCACCACCGCTATCAGCAGCAGGGCTAACCTCCTGTCCCATCTCAAACTGCTCGGCCGACGCCCCCGAATTAACCCTCAACACATCCTTCAACGCTTTCGTATCCTCCTCCTTCCTGCGTTGGTGCAATAAAATCAGCAAATACGCCGTACTATACGCCTCGCGCATCACCTCCGTATCATACGCGGCCGCCACCTCACGCAGCGTGCGCATCGCACCCCCCAACATGACCAACGACGCCCGATTGTCTATCGCCAGGAGCGTGCACACCACCTGGAACGGCACATTCGCGATCTGATGCCACGGACAGGTCGTTGCGACCATCTCCCTCGCTGCCTGGAGTCCCTTCACGGAGAGTGCCAGTACGCGGTCCAGTAAGTCCCCGGAGATAATGCAGTTCAGGGCGCGCAGGCGCCGGTAGATGCAGAGCATGAGGTTACATTGCACGAGGATTAATTGGGGTAAGACGTGGGATTGGTCAAGGACGTTGCGCAGCGCGGATTCGAGTTCTGGAGGGTCGGGGGTTTTGATTGTGTTTGGGTCGAGGCTTTCGGACATGGGTAGGAGGGTGAAGATTTCTGGGGTACCTGGGACGCGCGGTGTTGGGGGCAGGGAGGTTGCGCCGTGGAGAACGACGCGGGAGCGGGCGAGTTCAAAGGAGATCCAAACGTTGAGGTGGCGGGCCATTCCGAAGAGGCGCCGGCGGAGGTCCGGGTCGACTGGGGTGGGGAGCTGGTTGATGGCGTCAGAGGAGGGCTGTTCGAGGTGCAGGCCTGTAGCTTCAATGAGGTGCATTAGGGTGCAGCTGGCTGTCCAGGCGAGGTTCGGGGTGGAGGTCAAGCGGAGGTAGGCGACGCGGAGAACCCAGGCTGTTACAGTGTCGAGAGTGGGTGTAGTGTCTGATAGTAGGGTTTGTTCAAGGATGAGCCGGGCTGTTTCGGCGAGTTGGAGCTCTGTGGAGCTGGACTGTCTGCGGGAGAAGAGGTAGCCGAATGCTGCGACGCCGCTGAGGACGGCGTCGTAGGGGCTGTAGAGGAGAGCGGACTCGGCTGTGGGTGGAAGCCAGCGTCTGCTGACTTGGCGAAGGAGGGTGTCGCGGTCGACGAAAGGGTAGCATGGGTCGACTTTGTCGAAGAAGATGGCTACGAGGGAGCGCATCTCGTCCTGCGAGATGGTGTCCGTGATAGGGACTGCTTTGGGGGCCGATGATGGTGGCATTGATGGAGGTGGAAGATGACGCGCGCCGACGTTCCATGCGAATAGATGCATCTTGGGCGCATTGGTGGGATCGACCTTGAGGCCGAGTCGTCTGGCGAATGCTGCGCCGGAGTTGGCATCTAGCGAGCTGAGTCGGGCTGCTGTCTCCTCTGGGGAGATCTTGTGCTCGTGGCGCGGAGGATGCGCTGCATCCGGGGCCACTGGGGATTCTGCAGAAGCGGCGGACTGCAGTTGGAATAGCCTGGCATCGCGCTTCCTGCGTGATTGGAGGTCATAGTGGCAGTCGGAGCCGAACTGGGCGCATGTTGTGCATGGCTGGTCGCCGGAGCATTTGCGCTTGCGCGATTGGCATAGTGTGCAGGCAACACGGGAACGCTTCCTGGAGGGTTCGGTCATGTCTCCCTCGGCAGACCATGTTCATGACCGGAGGGTCTGAGGTTTTGATAGGTGTGAATGTGGAATAAGATCAGGAAGTTGATTCCGGTCAGTTGATGTTGATAATAGTGCGGAGCATGTGATATATGAATGAGTCAGCATGACATTGTGCGGCAGCATAAGATTTATCCGCATCTTATCTCTACTTGCTGATCTACATTGGACCGATCGACTATTTGCGAGGGTCTCAACATTGGCGATAGTGTCACTCTGTCGTCCTTCACAGTTTCAGTGCTTTTTAGAGGCTGAGACTCCATTGACAAAGTTCATTTCAAATCCACCAACAGCAAAATGCAATGTAAGATATCCACAAATACGAGCCATCGGAGTCGGAGCCTCGCAGGCTCCGCTCCGCTTCAGCCCCCATGGCAGCGATGCCAGCATGGGTTTATATTGTCTGACGATGAGTATGATGCCTGTGTAACTTTGTAACTGGCGTCAAAATGCCAGCCGTACGGGCCTGTACAAACTGTGTCCGAGCAAAGACGAGATGTGCCCTCAGTGGAGCTTCCGGGACATGTGAACGGTTAGTCCGCTCTCATTGATATGCTAGTCAAGCTGACAGACCTAAAGATGTGTACGCCTTCGGAAGGCCTGTCAGCCATCGCCTCCCGTGCGCAAGCGCCGGGTAGTGGCCAAGGCCTCTGCGAAAGATGTCCAGAAGCTGGAGGAGAAGCTGGACGGACTGTACAGTATCCTCCAGGGCCAGACGGGTCTGCTGAACGGACCGATGCAGCCGGCCCAGGAGCCTGTAATTCCAGCACCTCACACGGACGAAACCGTATCGTTGCCTATTCCTCTAACACAAGATCTGTCAGGAACAACATGTAGTCCGGCTGCTCCGTCTTTGGAACAGCCTCGGGCCACTTCTTACGAGCCTAACGATGATGATGCCGAGCTGTATTTAGCTAGGTTCCGCTCTGACTTTATTGGCCATTTGCCCTTTCTTGACATTTCAGTATCTCAAAGTGCCCATCAGCTGCGTCAGGAGAGTCCGCTGCTGTGGCTAGCTATAATGACTGTTGCATCTACTCGGACCACGCAGCAGAAAGCCATGTCCAGGCAGATGAGAGAGACATTTGGTCGCGAGGCGTTTGTAGAAGGCACGAGGAGTATAGACTTCTTGTTGTCAGTCCTGGTATATGCCACCTGGGATCGCTACTACGCCCTTGACAAGCCGCTTTTTACTAGTTTGATGCAGTTGGCTATTGCAATTGTATACGACCTAGGCCTGGACAAGCCGCCGGTGCAGGACCCGAGTCTTCTGCTTAGCTATGACCTGAAGGGACACAATCGGCCGTCCCATTACTCTCGGCTGCCTACCATGCAGGAACGCAGAGCTTTGCTGGGGTGCTTTCTTGTGAGCTTTACGTGGGTGCAATGGAACTGTGTTATAGATGCCTTCTGACGTTCCAAGGTCGAATGTGTCCCGAAACGGCGAGCCACTTCAGTGGACGCCCTCATTCGACGACTGTCTTCACGTATTCGAAGAAGAAAAAGAATCAACCAATGACACTCTGCTGGTGCAGCTTGTCAAACTACGCCTCATCACAGGAAAGGTGATGGACGCACCAGGGACGGAGCCAAGTGACACCCAAATCCTGCGGCCATCGGCTTCAATCTATTTACAGTCATTTCAGAAGCAAATTCGCACATTCCGATCACAAATCCCTCTCGAACTCACCAACAACAGTAAGATCCCATTCCCAATCAAATACCCAGCTAACGGCATCACAGAGATCCTGCAAATGGAGTTATACAGCGCAGAAATGATGATCCACGAGATTGGCTTCTCATCAGACCCAACTATCTTTCCTCGGCAATCAAACCAACAATTTGAATGCCTCTGTGCCTGCCTCCAAACCATCAAGTCATGGACCGACAACATCCTGGCCCTGCAACCTGTAGAGTATGTCGGGCTTTCGTGCTTGATGTGTGCCAACATGGCGCGCAGCTTCATCAACCTCTACCGGCTCACTGTCTGTGACTATCCCGTTTGGGACCGTAAGCTGGTGCAGGAAACGATAGACGTGTCCTGGGTACTGGAAACGGCGGCGCAGCGGTTCACGCAGGTCAAAGACGCGGCGGGACTCGATCCAGAAGGCACTCAGGAACTGGATTTCTTCATGATTATGGTAGCGAAAATGGAGGCCATGAAGATGTCGTGGGACACGGCGGTGATGCCGATGATGGAAGACTCGTGGGAGCCGACTTTGGATGATCTGGACATGTTCTCTAGCGAATTCCGCAATATGTGGAGTTGGTGATACCTCTGCAGCTGGGGAACAGTAAGAATACAAGACTTTTCGGTGCTTACCAATAAGCAGTTTCCCAACCCGTTTGCAGGCGGAGGAATCTGAGGCAATGTCCGGTCCATCGGAGCGGAGTGTCACATCTCCCACTCCGTTCCAGATATAGTTCAACATCCTTCCCATATAAAGAAGCAGCCATGTCATGACTATACTCCAATTGATCTCCTCATCCTTATCAATTCCTCAAGCTTCTCTATCCATTTCCATCACCACCCCTTCACCCACCACACCCACCACACCCTCCCATACCCACCACCAACAGCACAACATGCCCTTCCAACCCACCAAAGACATACCGGACCTAACGGGCAAAACCATCCTCATCACCGGCGCCAACAGCGGCCTAGGCAAGACCTCCGTGCTAGAATTCTCGCGTCACAACCCCTCCCAAATTTGGCTCGCCGCGCGCAACCTCACCAAAGCACAATCCGCGGCGGACGAAATCAAACAACAAGTACCCACAGCCCGCATTCACCTCCTCGAACTCGACCTCTCTTCCTTCGCCTCCATTCAAAAAGCTGTAGAAGTATTCCTCTCCACCGCCACCCGCCTCGACATCCTCATGCTCAACGCCGGCGTCATGGCCGCACCACCGGGAATGACGCCCAACGGACGATACGAGGTGCAATTCGGGACGAATTACATGGGTCATGCGCTGCTCACGAGGCTGCTGTTGCCCATTATGGAGAAGACGGCGAAGCGGGATGATGCTGGTGTAGGTGGGCGTGTGAGGATTGTTGCTGTGGCGTCGCATGGGCAGCGGTATGCGCCGCCTGGAGGGTTGCAGTTCGAGACGTTCAAGACGAGCGGGGAGAGTATGGGCCCGTTTGCGAGGTATGGGCAGAGTAAGCTGGCTCTTGTGCTTTGGGTGAGGATGTTGGCGCAGTTGTATCCGTGGTTGACTGCTGCTTCAATCGATCCTGGGGTGGTGGGCACGACGCTGGGGGATGGGGCTACGGGTGCACCGAGGTATATTCAATTTTTGTTCAAGGTGGCGTTGGTGTTGAGGCTCGCGGCAAGTTTGGAAAACGGGGTGAGGAATCAGTTATGGGCAGCTGTGTCGAGGGAGGTGAACAGTGGGGAGTATTATGATCCTGTTGGGGTGGTGGGGAAGTCGGCGCTTGGAAGGGATGAGGAGTTGGCGAGGAGGTTGTGGGTGTGGACGGAGGGGGAGTTGGATAATTATCTGGGGGTAAGAGATTGAGTTCGTATTGTATGTTCTTTTGTTGGTGAGTTGCTTGGTTATGGTTTGATTTCTCCCATGGCTTGGTTTGATGTACTTCGGTGATACACGGTGTTTGGTATGAAGTGCATAGTATCAGATCTAATGATTGCTCTCACCTTGTCATATTACAGAATGCAGTCACAATCAATCCTTGGTACACTTGGTACACTTGGAGTATATCTTGGTATGGGTCAATCTTCATATCTCTTCTCATCAGGATACCCCATATATCCTTCCAACTTCTTCCAATCCGGCGTTCAGCCGGCCCAAGCATATATAGCGACCCACAATCGGGTAATGTCCTACAACGGTGAAGCTGATGATCTCGTGGATAAGCGTGAAGAGCTTCGTCATGACCTTTTTCCAGGATCTTGAAGGAGTCCCAGATGTGAGGTTTTAGAAACTTAGATGCAGTTTGTCGAAGGGGATGAGGCCCTCGCCGTTGCAGTGGGTGTCATTAGGGGTTGAGAGTGTGCAGGAGAGGGAGTGAGGAGGGTTTAATTATTGTTGGTGTTGATGGTGTGGCTGGGGAGGGTGAGGGCGTGTGTTAGGGCTGGGAGCATGAAGATATTGAGGTATTCGAGGTGTATTAATATGCTATGTAGTAGGTAGGATATAGTTTGGGTGTTATGATGCTGATGCACGACATATACTGTAATGTAGGTTTTATTGATGCTATTATATATTGGTCTGATCAAGTCTTCGAGTACATAATCTGCCGTGTATCACGGTCATGTATAATGCAGGAAAAGAGCCGGTGCTGCATTAGATGGCTCTGTGGTAAGTTTAGCGGACTGTCTGCAGCTGGTTGGCTCCTCTGATTACAGTTGCACATCTTCCTAAGGATGTGTCTGAGCAATGCGACGGGTCAATTGGTTGTTGAGTCGTAAACGTCTTCCTTGTGCTGACTAGCCGTGCGACTCTCGGTGCCAACTCCCAGGTTATATACCATCACCATCTACCCTTTAGCAGTAGTGGTCGTATACTATGATGTAGTAAAATAACCCCAGCATTCTTATATTCCGTCCGGGGTTTAGACTATTTATATTAGTCAAGAATATGCCGGAAAGAGAGAATGAAGGCTATCAGTTATGTAAAAGTTAGTCACCGAGATCTGCCATACTTGGGGTTATCAGAACCACGAAACCCACCAAGTGGAGAGACTTACATCAATAGTGAGTCATGGCGAGTGCTCAGTGGAAGGAAAGGGAGAACCCGCCCCCCTGTTTGGGGCAGCCATGGGATGGCTGGGTAGCTGTTCCTGTTGTTGAGCTGGCAGAGCTGCACTAATCCCTAGTGTTCAGAGGAACTGGGGTTCATTATTGAAGAAAAAATGGATCCATCAAGTGAAGGGCGCGAGAATCGGCGGATGCGTGAGTCAACGGGATGAATAAAACCCTGCCAAAGTTGGCCTCCCCGATAGCGGACTGCCTCAATGGCCGCCTTCCGATTGGCCGGACCAGCCAAACCAAGTCGGTGAGAGAGGACGGCACGTGCCACCCGACCGGGCCGGCACACTTTTTCCCTTCTTTTTTAATCTCTTGGTCTCTCCCTCTCTTTCTCTCCCTTTCTTTCTTCTCCGTATCCCAGATTACTCCCCCAGAATCATCAGCTCAACTTCCATGTCTAACTAATTAGACCCCCCTCCCATCCAAATCCATCTTGTATACCAATCCTCAGTGACTGGTAACAGCACAGTCGCGCTTATGCGTTTGGCACCTTCCGTCTTCACTTCTCAGGTACGTTGTCTCTCCCACTATGGGTTCCCATGGCTACTCCGCATTCCCCCCCTCCCCGCCACTATCGTCACTCGCCATGACCATCCCAACATTCAATTGAAAGGCATTGATAGAATACTGACATGATATCTGCAGGACTACATCTCGGATCACCTCTGGAAAGCTTCCGGAAACTTCTGAATCCACTTCACACAACCCGCCGTATTCTTTTCTCGCAACAAATAAATCCATATCACAATGTTCGCTCGTGTGTTCAAGGCCATGCCCGCCAGGGCCCCTGCCTTCACCTCCGTGAATGCTTCCATCCAGTCCCGCTTCATGGCTACCGTCCGTCAGGGACGTCCCGCCACTGAACGTGCCACTTTTACGATCCGAGATGGCCCCATCTTCCATGGGAAGTCCTTTGGAGCCCGCTCCAACATTTCGGGTGAAGCCGTTTTCACCACTTCCCTGGTCGGATACCCCGAGTCTCTGACCGACCCCTCCTACCGTGGTCAGATCCTGGTCTTCACCCAGCCTCTGATCGGTAACTACGGTGTTCCCTCCGCTGAGAGGGACCAGCACGGTCTGCTCAAGTACTTTGAGTCTCCCAACCTCCAGGCCGCTGGTGTCGTCGTCGCCGATGTGGCTGAGCAGTACAGCCACTGGACTGCCGTCGAGAGTCTCGGTGAATGGTGTGCCCGTGAGGGTGTGCCCGCCATCTCCGGCGTCGACACTCGTGCCATTGTCACCTACCTCCGTGAGCAGGGTTCTTCCCTCGCTCGTATCACCGTTGGTGAGGAGTACGACGCTGACCAGGATGAGGCCTTCGTCGACCCTGAGCAGATCCACCTGGTCCGTCAGGTCAGCACCAAGGCTCCTTTCCACGTCAGCGCCGCCGACCCCCAGTGCCACGTCGCTGTGATCGACTGCGGTGTCAAGGAGAACATTCTGCGTAGCTTGGTCAGCCGTGGAGCCAGTATCACTGTGTTCCCCTTCGACTACCCCATCCACAAGGTCGCTCACCACTTTGATGGTGTCTTCATCTCCAACGGCCCCGGTGACCCGACTCACTGCCAGGACACCGTCTACCACCTCCGTCGCCTGATGGAGACCTCCCAGGTGCCCATCTTCGGTATCTGTCTGGGTCACCAGCTCCTGGCTCTGGCCAACGGTGCTCGTACCATCAAGCTCAAGTATGGTAACCGTGCCCACAACATCCCGGCACTGGACACCACTACTGGCCGCTGCCACATCACCAGCCAGAACCACGGTTATGCTGTTGATGCCTCCACCCTGCCTTCCGACTGGAAGCCCTACTTTGTCAACCTGAACGATTCTAGCAACGAGGGTATGATCCACAAGACTCGTCCCATCTTCAGCACCCAGTTCCACCCCGAGGCCAAGGGCGGTCCCCTGGACTCCTCTTACCTCTTCGACATCTACCTGGACAGCGTCGTCAAGTACAAGAACCACCAGCTGGCGTTCCACCCCAACCGGAACACCGTCCCCAGCCCTCTCTTGGTTGACCTCCTGGCCAAGGAGCGTGTGGGCGTCCAGCCTACCATTGGCATGCAGAACGTGGCTGCCGCCGCTGCTGCTGCCGTTGCTGCCGCTTAGAAGGAATGTCATGTGGAACTGGAGTTTGGGTTTGGGTTTAGGTCGGAATATCTTTGGTTGTACATGATTCTTTCGGTTTAGTTTGGGTACATTTCGGTTTAGGAATATATTTTACTTAACATACTACTTCTATCTCCCTCTTCAACATCAAAGTAGACAATAGTCATGTAGCCGATAACTTGATTTGTCCCGTGTACCACTCAGTACTCGCAGCGCATACCTGCGCTGCTCATTTCGTTACACATGCATAAGAGTTGAGGCATTATTCATTTGCTGATACGAGCCCCAATCACCTTGCCTAGCATAACACGTCTATATCCCCATCAAATCACATGAGTTCAATATTTGACTCCTACTCATAACCCTATAAATACACTATACAATGAATATAGAGATCTTTCACTTATACACACGTAGTACATACACACTATGAAATCCAGCTGATTGCCAGAACATCCCCTAATACAGCGGCAGCTCGTAAGCATCAAAATCATACACCCAAGTCTGGTACGACTCCTCATCAAAGACACAGGTCAACTCCGTCCCATTGTTCACATAGTAGGGTCTGAGCGGCCAAGCACACAATTGCTGAACCTGACCGTAGTTCTCACCCTCCTGGACCGTCGCATTCAGCCTATCAGGCTTCTGGCCGTTCTCTACCCAGTCAAATAACGTCGGCAGGGTGCTCTGCGGCCAGCCGCCATTCGGCTGGTCCGTGCTGTACGAGCAGTGCGCCGCGCCAGGGACGAGGTACAGACGATTCCAGTCGTTCAGGGCGTCGGAGGACTCGTTAAAGGAGAGGGAACTGTACATCGTCTTGCGGACGGATTCGTGGTAGTGCACGGACGAGCCGGTGGGGATACTGGGGTCGGATTCGCCGTGGACGTGGATGATCTTGCCGCCGTTGGAGTGGAACGGGGTCAGGTCGGGCCAGGTGGTTTGGAGGACGTCTTCGTAGCGTTGCCAGCCCAGAGACATCCAGTTCGTCATGACATCGTAGGTGACATTGTCGAGGGTGGAGAGGTTATCGACATCGTGGAGTTCGAGGAATTTGGCGACCCATTCGCCGCCGAGGGAGGTGATGTCGAGTTCCCAGGAGTCGGTGTCGGAGTTGTATTCCGTTTCGGCGTCGTCGAAGGTCGCGCTGGGTTGGTACCAGATGTAAGCGCGTTTGCCGTCGAGGGTCTTCAGGCCGTCGAGGATCTTGGCGGCGACGGCGGCGCCTTCTTTGGTGACGGTGCCGTTTTGAGCTGGGGTGGTGTTGCTGGTGGAGAGGCGCTTCTTGAGCACGGTGGTAGTGGTTTCGGCGGGACAGTAGTAGGGGGCGCCGATGGTGGAGTTAACGTTGAAGTGCAGCTTGCAGAGGTCGGTGCGGGCGACGACGCCGTCCTTCTTGCCGTCGAGGGCGTCGCAGGCGGCGATGGTCAGGTTGTTGATCTTCTCGAGTTCGCAGGGCGGGGGGTAGTAGCCCATCGTGTATTCGACGAGACCCGGGTAGAGGTGGTTGGGCTGCTGCTGGCCGTAGCGGATGGCAGGGGCGCCGATGACAGCGCCATCCCATTCCTCGCCGAAGCGCTGGATTTGGGACCAACCCTCGCGGCCACCTTCAGAGCAGCCCTGGTAGTAGGAGTAGAGCTTGGAGGAGCCGAGGTTGAAGAAGTTCTTGGTGAAGGCCTTGCCGACAGCGCTGAGTTCGTAGTGGGCTTGGTAGCCGAACATGTAGAGGGCCTGGCGGTCAATGGTGCCGTTGGCCTTCAGGAAGACGGCGTCGAATTCGGTGGAGAAGCTACCGAAACCACCGTCAGTCTGGCCGGAGGCAGCACCATACATGACACCGCCGGGCAGGTCAGCGCTGTCGCCGTTGATGGCATAGCCGAAACCACCGGTGGAGAGCCAGCGGTTCTTGAAGTCGGCTGGGGCAGGGAGCCAGAACTGCAGCAGGACCTGGTCATCGAGCCCGTCGTGGGTGTAGGCCAGAGTGACGTTGCAGAAGTCGAAGGTGGAGGCAGGCCAGAAGGCCGTGGAGGCGGAGCTGTAGTTGTAGACCGGGTTGGCTGTGATGGAAGTGGTGTCCACGGTGACGCCCATGAGGGGGCTGCTGGGGGCCACGGAACGAGCATAGGAGGATGTGCAGACATCCGCCAGGCTGGTCGCCTGGGCAAGAGAAAGTGCGGCCGTGCCGGCCAGAAGGCTCATCTTGGAGCGCATTGCGAGAGAGTGACTGAAATGAGTGACTTTCAATGCGAGAAAGAATGTGCTTGCCGGCGTGAATTACTGGGCAGATCCTAGCTGGCAGTAGAGTGATTTTATATCATTCAAGAATTTGAGAATGGCCGTTGCCTAGTGTGTAGTCCTGCTATCATCGCCATGGGTATCTGGCAAAGCCATACAACTGTTGTATCTAGATTAAGGAGGACAAGCATCATCGACCCACCCCGGACATCGGAATTTCGGAATACGATAGAAAGTCACGACAGGCCATTGGTCAACGGGGAAGATGTACGCGTCCCCTGGGTTCGAGAGTGAAGTGCTTAGCAACTGACCCGGGCCATAGATCGTCAGGCACCATTTGTGTCATCTGTGGACCGGTTAGCTCGGAATTAACGGGATGGGTGAGGACGTTGGTCGGTAGTGTTTTGCTTACCACGAAGATGCTGGATAAAGCCGTGATGGATGTGGCCATGTCTGATGCAAGGCAAAGAGGGCGAAGTAATTGGCGTGGTGGAAGGAGGGGGAAATAATTATAACAATGAGAGCAAAGAGGACTGCAGACAGAGACCGAGGGATGAAGAAGAGGAAGTTGCTTTATCCGGTGGGGAGACGATAAGTCCGAGAAAAGCGGATGTTTCCACCCCAATAAGGAAGTCAAATCCTCAGGCTAAGCTTTGGCAGGGTCGGAACTCAATACCCTGACGCGTGTACCCTTAAACTAAATTTTTTCTATTCCCTGCCAGGTGGATCCTGAACACTGAAGAATGATGACGAGCCTGACGTGACTTGTTCTCCATCACTTCCAAGATCCATGCCCGGGGGATTTCCGCCGGTGGGTTCATACGACAAAATGAGATCTGCAGAAAGTACACCAAGTCTAGTATCTACTCCGGCCGGAAATGTTCAGAGAAGGCGCCGTTGGTTTGACTAAAGCGTAGTTGCATGAACTATATTCCGCTTCATTTAGCAACAATCGACACCACGTCCTCATCCGACACCACATGTCCCAAGCCCACCCGCTGTGGGATATGGCGTGCACTCGCTCCCCATACCATCGCATACTTGAATGTCTCCTTCAACGTGCGGTGGATGTTATCGCACACATCCTCGATGGTTGAGTTGCTGCGGCAGATCAACGCCTCGGAGAAATCGGGTTCCTCGCCTTTCCTGTAGCATCGTTAGCAATGTCTCACTCGTAAAAATAGATGACTGATCGTTGGCTGAACGAACCGTTTCGTGTAGACCCGGATCAGACGGAGTTCCTTCCAGATGCGATCCACGACGTCTTCCACACCCAGATCCAGTTCACAACTCATGACGGCTGTGTACGGTTCACGGGCTAGTTGGTCAAGGAAGTCCAGACTGACGCCATCAATCTTGTTGTAGACGTAGAGACTGTAATCATATTAGATAAGTGATGAATGTTGATAGACGGGTAAAGGTATACCATCTGATGTATTTACGGTGATCCTTCATGATCACGTCAATGAAGTCGTCGATCGTGGCTAGATTCATGTCAGCGATGAGACTCAAACGGATAGTAAAACATTATTCGTACCATATTCATCACGAACCAACACTTCGCAGTTAAGCATCTTGTAATCGCGGAGAACATTGTAGATCATCTTCTCATCAAGGTACTTGGGCGGCGTCTGGAAGGTGATCTTCATACCGCCGGCCTTCTTCTGCTTAAGGTAGATGTTCCTACACCCATTAGCCCGATACCTTAAGTCAACAACGCTTGAAATACTCACGGAGGCTCCTTGTTCAACCTGATGCCTACAGCATCCAATTCCGCCTCCAGTAGCGCTCGTTGCTCCGCTCGTTTCGTAGCATCCAACACCATCAGAATGAGATCACTCGTCTAGGCCAAATTAGCCCCAGAATTTTAGACAATACCTCAGATGCAGGGATCGAACAAACCTTAGCGGCCGAAATGACCTGTCTTCCACGTCCCTTACCCTCAGACGCACCCTCAATGATACCCGGAAGATCAAGAATTTGGATCTCCGCACCACCATACTCGAGCACACCAGGAATGGCAGTAAGCGTAGTGAACGCATACGCGGCCGTCTCACTCTTCGTCTTGGTGATCTTGCTCAGGAAGGTAGATTTACCGACGGAGGGGAAACCGACAAGAGCTACACGCGCATCACCACTCTTGCTCACATCGAAGCCGGCACCACCACCACCGGAGCCGCCTGTTGGCTCCAGGAGCTGGGCTCGTAGACGGGCAAGTTTTCTGCGTAGCAGTTAGTGCTGGTTCCGCATGGCGGGGTAGACTTGAAGATGAGGGGCATGAGCTCGACTTACCCCTTCAGTAGACCAAGATGGTACTCTATAGTCAAGAGTACGTTAATATGGACCTAAGATGGCATCAACGGAGACATCAAATCGCACCTGTGGCCTTGTTCTCTGTGCACAGGTTAGCATGGCGGGGCTATCGAGACCTTGATATGCGATCGGAATACTTACTCTGCGTCCTGCGCATCTCATCTTCAATCCTATAAAGCGAGACCCAAGCGTAAGCAAGACATACCCCACGGACAGTAACCGCAGACCTGCAATATGGGCAACATACTCCTTGATCTTTTCCGTAATGTTCACCATCTTGCCGGTTATGAGCCCCGCGGACTCGATTTCCCAGATACAACAAACGACACAACCAGACAACCGAAGCAAGATTTCGCCGTAAGCAAAGTCTCTCAAATATCTATCAAACGAGCGAGATAATCCCCCGAAAATCGATTTGATTGCAGCGCAAGAACACGAGCAGCTCTGGATTGGGAAAATCGTCCTCAAAATCATCCGCCGCGCCAAGCAACCACCCCGCTTACGTAATTGCCACCTCCGGCGGAATCTTCGAACTTCCCGACATCAAACATCAACATCCCATCCTTTCCATCAACTTCACCTCATATCATCCCCAATCCCTCCACCATCACAGTAGCCATGGCTGAAGCAACACCCCCAACTGAAACAGTAACCCCTCCTACGGAGGAGGTCGTCGAAGACCAACAACAAACCCAGCAACAAGAAAACGAAACAACAGAAGAAACCACCGCCCTAACAACCACCGCCGACGGCGCCGTCGAACCGCAAAAGAAGACCAAAAAGATAATCCGACGCAAGCGCCGCCCAGCACGCCCACAAGTCGACCCAGCGACAATCAAATCCGAGCCCCCGCCCCAAGTCGGCACAATCTTCAACATCTGGTACAACAAATGGAGCGGCGGTGACCGCGAAAATTCCTACCTAAGCAAGACGGCAGCACCCTCACGATGCAACATCGCGCGCGACAGCGGCTACACACGGGCCGACAAAGTGCCCGGGTCATACTTCTGCCTGTTCTTCGCGCGCGGGATATGCCCGCGCGGCGCAGAGTGCGAGTACCTGCACCGTTTACCAACACTGCACGACATATTTAACCCGAACGTGGATTGCTTTGGACGGGACAAGTTCAGTGATTATCGGGATGATATGGGCGGTGTAGGATCGTTCATGAGACAGAATCGCACATTGTATGTGGGACGGATTCATGTGACGGATTCGATTGAGGAGGTGGTGGCGAGGAATTTCCAGGAATGGGGACAGATTGATCGGATTCGGGTGCTTACGTCTCGGGGCGTTGCGTTTGTGACGTATACGAATGAGGCGAATGCGCAATTTGCGAAAGAGGCGATGGCGCATCAGAGCTTGGATCATAATGAGATTCTGAATGTGAGGTGGGCTACGGTCGATCCGAATCCGTTGGCGCAGAAGAGGGAGGCGAGACGGCTGGAAGAGCAGGCTGCTGAGGCGGTTAGGAGGGCGTTGCCGGCGGAGTTTGTGGCTGAGTTGGAGGGTAGGGATCCTGAGGCCAAGAAGAGGAAGAAGATTGAGGGGAGTTATGGGTTGCAGGGGTATGAGCCGCCGGATGAGGTGTGGTTCTCGCGTGCGAAGGAGTTGGAGGATGCGAATGCGATTGCGCAATTGGAGGCTCCAGAGCAGCCGCTGATGATTGAGGGTGCTTCTGAGACTGCTGCTGCTGCTCCGCAGGAGGAACAGGCCGGAGGGATCTTCTCCAGCTCTGCTGTTGCGGCGTTGAAGGGCCTGGCTGGGGGTGCTGTCACGACGCAGCAGGCGCCTAAAGCTGCCGGACCTCTGGTGGCGTACGGGAGTGACGATGATAGCGAGTAATTTGGTTGATATTCATTGCATGCATTCTTACGTGTACTATAGCAGAGATACCTGAAAAATGTGCTTGGCTTGACTGGATTTCATTTCATCGTTTGGCTTCTATGGAACGGCTAATTTCAACGCTTGTTTGCATGGCATAATTGTGGGTATATTCGAAAAGAGGAGATTCAATCAACGGCAGATACAATAAGAGACACATAACACGTAACATCACACATCATTTCATCTGTCGGCTGCGCTTCCAAGGTCGTAGTATATGCATGACCCTGTGCGGTAGTTGTATATAAAAGCATTGCTGAAACTCTCCATCCCATCTACACGACTCTCGTTGGCAAGGTCTAGTAATAGTTCGTGGACCTGCGTGAGGTATTTCCGTTCTGTCAAGGGCGCGTTTTGGATGACTGTGCGCCAACTTTCAGGATCAGAGAGACGGGTATTCCTGATGGCCTCTAGCAACTCATCGCGAGTATCGATAGCAGCAACGGGCCCGTTCAGGGCATCCTCAACCACCTCGCGGGATCGGAATAGTGCTGGAAAGAGTTAGAGGGATCCTGTGATATCAAAGGGACAAATTGAACATACCTGTCTCGACAATATTCCTGCGGTTGGACTTCTTGCTTCGGTGCTGCGGTACAAGAATGCGGACATCGCTGAATCGCTCGTTGAATGAAGGCCCCGGGTCTGCTTGGCTGGGCAGACGAGACTGCCGTAAGGGGTCCGCGCCCTCTCGCTGGTAGCGCGCACGTATCTCGTTCCGCAGCCAAGGAACAAGTTCAGAGCCCCGGATATCGAACTCTTCCCTTGGGGAGAGACTCTTGACCTTGAAACCCCTCTCCTGACTGTCTTGCTTTGCAATAACAATCCAGCCATGGCTGTCATCTCTGTACTTGTTCAGGAGTTCTTCCAGCGAGGAGGCATCCACAGCCAACTCTGCACTGACGTCATTGAGCCACAGATCCTGGACGATTTTGATGCCCATGGTACGCAACACTGTGGGATCGAAACTTGCAACAAGCACATCGCACTGCCAGCTGTTAGCATCTCTCGGTTACTAAAATGGTGGGCATTCGACTTACCCTACGTGTCTTCCAGAAAGCTCCAGCCTCCATATCAAAACTCTTCGCTGGAGTCTTAGCAGGAGTTCCGAGGTACTCCAACATAGCCGAGCTGAGGCGATCCCAGCTCAGGTTGAACCCCACCGCATGAGTCTGAGAACGACTAGCCAAGACTTTGGGTCGGAACTCTTGGACCAGCGAGTCATACCGTCCGCCAGCCGCGAACACATCGCGCCGCTTACTGTCAAAGACACACTGGAAGAGAATACTGCCTCGAAAGAACTTATCGTTCAGACTGCCGAGAGGGTTCATGTAAACCTTCCGCTTGACATCAAAGTTCTGCAGATAAGCCACGAGCAGATTAATTCGAGCAAAGATAGGTGCCAATCGCTCAGCAAATATCGTGCCCTGCATAATAGCCCGCAGTCGTTTCTGAACCTGCTTTGGAGAGTCTCTGAAGTCGAACCGTGCCAGGTCATCCAGCGAGGTCGAGGCAACACCGATCGCAGGGGAGCGAAGCTCACTTCGAATCTTCTGCATCGTCCATTTTCCCACGTTCAGCTTGCTAACAACCTCCTTAACACGAGGGATCTGAGAAGGTGTGATCCGGCAAAACTCCATAATGATCTGAAGCAGGTCCGAATGATTGATAACAAAGCACATAGGGGAAGATCTTAGGGGCGGGAATTCTTCGATAATCTCATCCAGCACTCTGATTACCTCGGCTTCTTTCAAAGCCAGATCCAAAGTGTTGTGTGATACAATATCGAAGTCTACCTCCTTATGAGTTCTGGGCTCGCCACCATGGGGCAGTTCCCTGTAGACCGTTCCAAAAGCGTATGTCTTTTCCAGTGAAGGATCTTGTCGTGGAATAGCACGCGCATTGGGCAGGGTAAGATCAAACGGCAGTTGAAGCAAGTTGCCAGAGGAGTCAAGCAATCTCACAGCGCCGTTATTGTAGTGTTGAGATCTGGGGAACAGCATCTGCCTCTGAGTTTCAACCGCCCCATGGCGGCGGAAGATCGACGTTAGCTTCTCTTTAACGAGGCCCTGAATTAGCAACTCGGTGGCACCTGGTGTACCGCGAGAGTCCATATCCCAGGCGATGTCTTCGAACTTCTTTGGTGATTGAGAAAAGATACCGGATAAGATCTTTTTGTAGTCGGGCGAGTTCGGATCAGAGAGTAGATGCATGATCGCGCGCCTAAAGGTTTCTTCTTCGACCTGCAGAGGAATCTTTCCGCTACGGAGAAGATCCGAGGCTGTGGGCCGCTCGCTCGGGTTATGGCTCAATAACGAATTAATGATCCTACCCTGGACTACCTTCTCTGAAGACTGAAAGGTAGACGGCAGGGTATGGTTTGGTTCGCGGATAGCCCGCAGTGTTTGGTCTCGCTCCATGCCTGTGGATAAGGCATGGCACATTTCAAAAAAGATCACACCCAGAGAATACATCTATGTCCCGTTAGACCTTCTCTCGCTTGATTGAGTTGGGTTGCACTTACATCAACTTTCTCATTGTAGTTGCCCGTGAAGCCCGACTTCATCTCGGGAGCGACATAGTAGGTCGTGCCCAGGCTGCGAGTAAAGTTGCCTTCAAAATCTGCGGTGGTGGAAGAGCGCACGGCTGTCGTAAACTGACCACTCGTAGCAAGACCAAAGTCTCCAATACGGGGGTTGTTCGCCACATCAATAAAGATATTGTCTGGCTTGAGATCCCGATGGATAATACCATGGCCGTGGATATGGCTCAGTCCATCCAGGATCTGCCGGAACAAGCGCCAGGACCGGTCAACATCATCGTACAGACCATTTCTTATCAGATCACGAAGTGTCTATGTAAGTCAGCATCAGCTGCGTAATGTTTAGGCACAACAACACGGTACTCACATGTTTTTCGCAATACTCCATCTGGATAAAGAGCGTAGTAAGCACGGGCCTGCCCTGGGAGCCTGACCGCACCCGACTAAGCTCCTTGCCTGTGGCACTCTCCGTCTCAAACGTCGAGGGCGTGTCGCCCTTATCTCCATTGGACAAAGTTCCATCGTTATCCTCCTCACTGTCGGAGCCAAATTCAATCTTAGGATAGCCGCTCGAGCTGATAAAGTCAAGCCCGCCGGTACTATAATCATAGGCATGCGTGTCCCGACTAGCAAAGACGTCACTCTCCGTGGAAGAAATGGCTTCCTCGTCTACATAATCATAATCCTCCTCGATCCACGCAGTATAATAACGTACTACGTAAGGATGATTTAGCCGGGACAAGAGCATAATCTCCGACAGTGTATCTTTCAGGGCCGCGGTAGACTTCTGAGTAATCTTCTTGACAGCGTAAAAGCGGCCATCGAGCTTATTCCTTGCCTTAACCACCTGACCAAAACCTCCTTTCCCTAATCGCCCAGCTTCATCAAAGTCCTGGTTGTACCGCGAGAACGCGGGCAAGCCGTTCAAGGAGTCGAGCCGTGGACGCCTCGGCAGGGAGATTGAATTTGAGGCACTTGTGCGGGAAATCAAGGGAGTGTCCACTCGGAAGAATT